GAGAGAGAGAGAGCGCGCGCGCGAGAGAGAGAAACTCCCTTCTCTTTTCCAACAGCGCCCCAGGAGATCTACTAACGTTCCCCCCCTCCCACCCCTCTCCCCCACTCCCACCTGAACAGAGCACAGACCGGACGAGAGAGAGAGAGAGTGTGAGGTTTAACGTCTCAACCGTAAGACGGCGTCTCTGGAAAATCAACCTGGACTCCGATGTGGGGCTTGAACCCACAACCTTTCGACTCGGAGGCAATAGAAGAGAGAGAGAGAGAGAGAGAGAGAGAAACTGCTGCTCACTGAACCAGGCTAGTTCTCCTGTTCTCTCCCCCCCCCCAACTAACCCCCAACCATTTGCTTTAACGCATGTTTGAATGCTTTGGTGCGGCCGCTGCGTTTGCGTCGCTGGAGGCACGAGCGGAACTTTATTTGCGCAATTGCGTTCAAGACGCCAGAAGGAGGGAGTTTGTAAAATAGATCCAGCGCAGCCCGGCAGCGTCGCGTCGCTGGGAGCTCCTGGGTACGAAAAGCTGACGTCGCTCCTTATCTTTCATCGTAGGAAACAACCGTCACGCGCAGTGACTGTGTGTTTTGCGTGGCGAACGCAGCAGCCGCTTTGCAGCCGCCCGTGGCTGATCATAACAATAATAATAATAATAATAATAATCCTTGTGTTTGAGACGTCTCAAAAGCACTTCACAGAACGTATCCGTAGAGTGGGGTGGCTGTGTGTTTTTGTGGACGGAAACGCGACAGCGCACAAATTCCTTCGCCTCGCACTTTCTCTTTCTCTCCCCCTCTCCCACCCGCGCCCCCACCCCCTCCTCCTTTAAATCAGGAAACGCATGACCTCTCTTTATAAAATGGCTCAGACTTGCAACTGGAATTTACAGTTAATGGCTCTCTCTGCCGGCTGGTGGGGGAATGACTCGCGACCAGACGAAGAACAGATTTATTTAATCACAGTATTTTTATTCCTCCCCTTCCATGTTTCCCTGATTTTCCCCTCTCGCCTCCAACCTAAACACTTTTTGCTCCTACTGGGGCCACAGCAGCTAAACCCTCTCTCTTCCTCGTACACCTTCTACTCACCGCTCCTCAACTGTGAAACTTGACACATACGCACGCACACCATTCACACATACACACGCGCACACGCGCGCGCGTGTGTATACGCACACGCGCGCACACCCGCGCCCACAAGAATGTACACTGACACACACTCCATTCCATACGCACACACACACACACACACACAGCAAACCCATTCACATACATTCACGCACACGCACATACACTGACACGCGAACTCCCACAAACGCACAGGCACATCCTCGCGCGCACACAGGCCCGCGCGCCGCACGGACGACTCACGCGATTCGCCCACGAAACACACAGTCACTTCACTTTGCAATACATCCTGAGAAGTGCTTTGAAGACGACTCGAAGCCACCACGATTAGGCGCTACTTTGAGACGTCTGGAAGACGTGATTGGGCAAGGATTATATCAAATGGAAGGATTATTATTATTATTATTTGCCGTTGAAGAAGCTTTGGCGCAGATCTGTGAGCTCACAGCGCCCTCCGGAGACGATCAGACAATTTGCAGTATGTTTTTTTGCTCGGAGTTGTGTTGTGTGCCTGCAAACATCCTCTGTCACTTCCGGGACTATTTTGTGGCAATTTCCTTCCCCCCTTTTCCTCTCCCTCTCTCTGCTTTCGAAAGCTATCTCCCCCCCCCCCCCCCCACCACCACCGCCGCAGGCAGCCCTCAGACACTTCGTTCACCCGAGCGTTTGAAACATCTTGAGGGTGTTTAAGGCATCGCTGAGCCTGATAGTGGGAGGGTGGGGGGGGGAGGGGTGGGAGTGGGGTTGGAGGGGATTGGGGGTAAGGAAGAGGGGCTTTGTATTAAATGAGGGCAAGGTGGAGATAGAGATGGAGACGTGTCAAGCTCCGCCACTGTTAAGTGCTCCCAGTCGCTGTTGATGGGACTTTGCTGTGCATTCACCTTCGAAACACACAGTCACTACACTTTTCTGCAAATGCTGTGCTGCGCTGAGACATTCTCCTGGCGCTGTAAGGGGCGCTGTATCAGATGCAAGGTTTATTACGATTAAACTGCTAAGCGCAGACCCATCCAGGAGACTGTCTGCGTATACGTGTGGACGTGAAATTACTCAGGAAATGATGGTGGAAAATAGTGTCAGTTATAAGTGGTTTGGTTTTGTAAGGTTTGGCTCAGGAAATAGTTTCCTCACTGTCTCTCTCCCCCCACCCCCACCCCCGCCGTCCCCCCCTGACCCCATATCACCTTCCCCCCCCCATTCCTGTCTCCCCTGTGTTTATGTCGTCACGGCAACCAGCATCACCATCATCGGCTGTGTTAGTTTGTGAGACTTGTAAAAATTATTCAGAGATTGTTACACCCCGATCAACTGTGTGTGGGGGTGGGGGGGTGGGGGGGAGAGGGTGGGCGGAGTGTGCCTCGGAGAAGAGGTGGGGAGGGGGGGGGAGAGAGGAGAGAGGGAGAGTGCGGGAGAGAGGGGGGTGGGGGGCAAAGTGTGTGGGGGCTTGGCATCGGAATTTAATCCATTCCTGTCCTGGCGGAGGCCCCCAGCTATGAGTTCCCACAGCAATTCTTCCCTGGTGGAGGAAAGCTCGAAGGTTCTGAACCGCTTGCCCCACTTGTTGAAATCCTGGAAGGACCCTTGGAATATCGTGGGCTTGTTCATGGTCCTCGTGTTCAGCGGCGCCGTGATCTTCCTGGCGCTCCTGGCGCTGTGCTATAGCTGCCTGCCGTGTTTTGACGGCCAGGGGATGAGTTCCAGCCTCACCTGCTGCCCCGCGATGCAGAGAGCGAGGGGAGCGAAGGGAGGGAAGACGAAGAAGAAGGAGGAGCAAGTGGTGAAGCAGAAGCAGATGGAAGAGGGGAAGAAGGAAGAAGGGAAGGTGGAGAAAACGGAGGGGGAGAAGGGAAAAAAGAAGGGGAAGAAGGAGAAAACGAAGGGGAAGAAGGAGAAAACGGAGGGCGAGGAAGAGAAAACGGAGGGGGAGAAGGGAAAAGAGAAGAAGCAAAAGAAGTGAGGAAAGATGGTAGGGGAAAAAAAGGAAGGAAAAAGGGGAAATGGTCACCAAGAAGTCTGAAAATATTAGGAGTTAAGATCGACGTTGAGTTTCAGAATCCCCTCACCCAACCCCTCACTGCCACCCCCACTCCATCGCCCCTTTCCCGTTCCTTAGAATTATTCTCCCAGTTTTATAAAGATACTTTCTGTGACAGAGAGGAAGAAGGAACGTCTGTTTTTCACTGGAGAAAAATTCCTTCCCCTCCTGTGTTGTAGTTATTTTTTTTGGTGTAATTTGGGAGACAGAGAGAGAGAGAGAGGCAGAGCTTTGCGGAGCTGTTTGTGCAGTCGGAGAGGAGAGTGTCCGTCCTCATCATCATCATCATCATCCTCGGGTCTCGAGGAAGGAAATAAAACGGTGAAGGTTACAAATAAAGAAATGTGGGGTTCTGTGGGGTTTGGTAGTTAGAGCCCTCTCCTCGCAGGCGAGTGAGAGGCCCCGGGTTCGATTCCCAGCCGGATCCGGGTCAAACCATAGGCAAGTTTCCTCACACACACACCCGCGCACCCACACACACACGCACACCCACACACACACACCCACACACACCCACACATGTGTGCCTCTGTTTACTCAGCAGTAAGTAGGGACCCGGTTGTTAGTCAACTGGCAAATCGCTTTCTAGGGGTAATAATCCCTCCCCCCCCACTCTGCCCGGCTCGGTGCCAGAAGAGCGCTGCGTGTAATGCAAGTTGTTGTGGTTGTGCTTGTTGTTGTTGTCGTCGTCATGACCCGAAATCAAGGCCTTTAAAGTCACCAACTCACAGACCAGTGGATATCGTTTCTCCCTGTTTTACTTCCCACTCTGCCCCGGGGTTCCCGGGCCGACCCGTAACAAAAGCCCCTGCGGTCAGACTTACAAACAGTTCCCGTTGCAGTGTGCCCCCGGTCGCTGGTGTACTCTCCGGTCAGAAGGTGGTGTAGCTTCAAGTCCCTCAGATCCACGCCAGGGTTTGAGCTCAGGGTCTAAGCAGCGCAGTCCAGGGTGGAGGTTGGGGGAGAATCCTGTATAGTCCTTCTACAAGTGAAGTCCTTTCACCTCAGCGTCCTGCCCGATAACCACCGCTGGCGGACGTTAAAACCCAGGACACCCATCCCGCCGAACACAATTACCGCTGTAAAAATTACCCGAAGGGTCTTGGTGCCGTTTGGCCAGGAGGAGGCATTGTCTCTCCCTTGCGCTGCCCCCGCTCTCTCTCTCTCTCTCTCTCTCTCTCTCTCGCGGTTAGCCCCCGCTACGAGCTGTTGATCCATTCCACCAGGCTGGTCTCTGGGAGTCGGGTTTTCCGGGCAGGCACGCTGCTGAAAGTCACGATTCCCTCGCCATCCGTATCCTCCGGTCTTTCCTCCTCCGTCGACCTGGGCTGGGACCAGAACTTGAAGAGGCTGCGTCTCTTACACGTCCCTCTCTGCAGCTCCAGACTCGTGCTCCGGTGGAAAGTTCTGGCGCGAGGGCTAGGGGTGCGGGTCCGGTCGGTGTCTCCGCCCTCGCCTGACGCTCCGGGGCTGAAGTCACAGCTGTGCTCACTGCAGCTGTCCATGGGCCAAAAGACATCGTCTTCATCCAAGCTGCCCTCGTCACCTGCTAGAAATCGGAGGCAGAAGGATTTGGGTTTAACCCACGGCTGTTTGTGGGGACTCTGCTGTGCGCAGTCGGCTGCCGCATTTCATCCACTAAATATACAGTCAATCGACTTTACAGTATATTCCGTGATGTCTCAATAACCTGATAAGGCACCATATCAAATGCAAGGGTTATTATTATTATTATATTCAGTTAAACCTCACTCCTCGGCTGTGGTCTGTTCAGGGGAACTTTACCCCCTGCAAAGCGCTCAGCCAATCGACTAACAACCGGGTTCCCAATTACTCCTAGGTAAACAGAGGCGCGTGTGTGGAGTAAGGAAACTTGCCTAGTCTTTTGATCTGCCTGGAAATCGAATCAAACTCAAGTCCTCGCGCTTTCGAGGCGAGCGCGGTAACCACTAGGCTTCAGCACTCCTCTATGTAGCGCTATTATGTCATTGAGGCGTTTCAACAAGACAAGGGCATAACTCAAAAGAACATCCACTCCTCAGGGGCTCTGTGTTATTCCCCATTGGACCTACCAGGTTGGATGGTAGAATTCTGGTTGTCTGTACAAAGTTCTGGTTTCATCAAGGTCGCTGTGTCTAAGATGCAAGACAGAAGGGTTCCAGTTGGAGGCTGTCTGTATCTGGCATAGTGTAGGACATCTGTGATCCAACGCACATCCCTCCATATATCATCCAGACGCTGAGAAAGGGAATAATCATAATAATCCTTGAATTTGATTACAGCACCTTATTCTTCAAGACGTCTCAAAGTGCTTCACAGGGTATCCTGTAAAGTGAATTGACCACGAACTTTGTCCCAATTGCGCACAGTAGTGTCCCACAAACAGTCACGGATTGAGCGACCAAATTATTATCATTATTGTATATTTTTTGAAGGGATTATTACCCCTGGAAAAGCGATCCACCAATCGACTAACAACCCGGTTCCACTTACTGCTAGGTAATCAGAAGCGTGTGGCGTAAGGAAACTTGCCTAAGGTTTCGCCTTATCCCGCCCGGGAATCAAACCCAGGTCCTCTCTAACCACTGAGCTATAGGACTCAGAGGGAGTGTAGGATTGCGTGCTAATCTGATACTCATTTGGCACAGTCACACACATAAGAACATAAGAAATACTAGACGAAAAAAAGACCAAGAACCATCTAGTTTGCCTTCCCTTCCACCTTCCTGGCGGTCGCATGCGCATAGGTCCCAAACTACTGTTATTGCCCAAAAGAAAGCGAGCTAATCTGAGTGTGAAAGGGGTTCACCCGCTCGCCATTCACTCACCTGAATGAGATCAGTGACCTGCCCATGCTTCTCCTTGGCTTTCACCAGTTCACAGTTGTCTATGGCTTCTCTCAAAGCTTGCTGAGATAGCAGGGAGTCGAGCTCCAGTAAGATGGAGGCTTGGCAGTACTGGGCGAGAAGATCTTGCTCATAGGTGCAGAAATGAACTGCAAGGATCAAGAGAATCACTTTGTCAAGACTGAGTCGGACAGATTTCTGTCAGGACAGTGGATCAAGGGATACGGGGCAAAGGCGGGTAATTGGATTTGAGGTACAGATCAGCCATAATCTAATAGAATGGCGGAACAGGCTCAAAGGAGCTGAATGGCCTCCTCCTGTTCCTAAGTGGAGTCCTGCAGCTCAGTGGTTAGAGCACAATTGGCTGCCACGTTTCACCCACAAAATACGCAGTCACTCCACTTAAGTGAAGTGATTTGAGACGTCTCTACGACGTGATAAGGCACTGTTATCAAATGCGAGGAATATTATTATTGTTATTATTACTACTACTATGTGTGGGATACTCGGTGTGGTCTAAGCGCGGCGATGGGTTTCCACTGAGCAAGAAACAAAATGGTGTTAGCGCCAATCTATACCCACTGTGCTCGAAGATCTGAAGTGGGAGCGTCAGGAACCCCGAGAGCTGTCCGTCTTGTCCAGGGGCTGAGCACACATCATCTGAGGGCGGCAGCAACAACAGGAAGGAGACTTCCTTCCCAAACTCCAGCAATTGCTGCGTGTACAGACGGAAATCTCTGGCCTGGAGGGAGATACGAGCACAAAGTCCTGTAGTGTAGTGTTTAGACCCTTCGCCTCGCAAGCCAGAGGACCCGGGTTCGATTTCCCCCGGCCGGACAGGACAAGGTGTGTGGTGTAAGGAAACCTGAGGCAAGTTTCCTTACTCCACACACACACACACTCCTCTGTTTACCCGGCAGTAAGTAGGAACACAGTTGTTAGTCGATTGGCGGATCGCTTTTCCGGGGGTAATAATCCCTTAACAAAGACAATAATAATTTGGTGACTCGATCCACGACTGTTTGTGGGGACGCTGCTGTGCTTTCGCTATAAAAATATACAAAAAATATACGTTTTACAGTATATGCTGTGAAGCACTTTGAGACGTCTCAAAGACGTGATAAGTTGTTTTATCAAATGCAAGGATTCTAACTATTAAGTCTCATCGCACCCTGAATAAATAGGCTCTTGGGGACAGGGTATAAGATAGCGATTAGGATAACGTGACCATATTATTATAATATAACAATAATCCTACTTTATTCAATAGATTCATTGATAAACCGTGAGTGAGTGAGTGAGCGTGTGTGTGTGCGTGTGAGGGAGGGAGGGAGGGAGAGAGGGACTGAATACCTGCCATAGAGGGACATCCAGCTGTTTCAGGAGGCTCTTAACACCGGTACAAAGTCCCTTTAAGAACGGACACTGAGGACTCCCTGTGTGCTCGCCTGAGCCTACGGAATCACTTGGTGATGTCTGCCTTTGCAGCCAAACCCACTCCTCCCTGAAACACAGGAACAAACACGCTGTAGGTGTCAGCAAACCTTGTGTTCCGAGCAACGGAAAGAGATGTGGGTTCGTCGATGGCAGCTCTGTGGATCCGTTTCAACTTCTGTGTAAAAAATAGCTTCCTGCTTGTCCTTCGTGCCCTCCGCTCTGCCATCAGCGGCCGCACTTCCAACCACTACTCCCCGAAACTCTTATCACTCCCTCCCGCAATCCCTCCACCTGGCTCCCTCCTTCCCCTCTTTTAGATCACGACCAAAGACCTTCCTCTTGAAACACGCTTAAGGTCACCCCCTTCCTCCCCTCCAGCTCAGTGTCAGGCTCCGCCACTGTTAATCGCTCCGAGATGCTACCCCGCGTGTATTGGCGCTGTGTAAATGCGAGTTGTTGTTGTTGGGTGTAATACCTTGACACATTCTTGTTGTCCCGCAGTTTGGTGTGGCACAAAACGTTGGGTAGTTTTTGAGGCACGAGGACCTTGATCTGATCAACGGAGCTGCAGAGCTTGAGGTACCCAAGGTAGAGGCCTGGAGGCAAGTGTTGACTGCTCCTCCGGTGGTAGGCCAGCTTCTCCTGGAGAACATGGAATCAGACAGTCACCAAGACAGTCAGTAACACAACAAAGGTAACCAATAACCTACAAACAACATTTACACAGCGCTTCTCACGTCACGAGGACGTCCCACGGCCCTGGACAGTCAAGGAATTGCACCCAAGATGGGGCTCGGGATCAGGAGGGGTAGAGGACAGGGAGGTATTATTACCCCAAGAAAGCGATCTGTCAATCGACTAACAACCTGAGTAAGAGGATGTGCCTTACATAAAGCGAGAGGACCTGGGTTGTATTCCTGGTCAGGGCAAAACGTTGGGCAAGTTTCCTTACTCCACACGCCTGTTTACTCAGCAGTAAGTAGGAACCTGGTTGTTAGTCAATTGGCGGATGGCTTTTCCGGGGATAATAATCCCTTCAAAATAATAATAATAATAAATTGGTCACTCAATTCATGACTGTCTGTGGGACGCTGCTGTGCGCAATGTACTTTGGCTGCTGCGTTTCGCCCACAAAATATACAGTTAATTGACTTTACAGTTCTATGAAGCGCTTTGAGACATCTCGGAGACATGATAAGACGCTGTATCAAGGATTATTATTATTACTATTACTACTTACCTTGATGGTTGCAAACAACAGGTCAAGGGCAGTGGATTCCTTGAGGGGAGACACTGATCTCTGGAGCTTGGAAAGGGCAGACCATCTCACATTCTCCAGTGTCTGTGACGGAGGTAATTCCTTCACCGTCAGGATCAACACATTCCCCAGTTTGTCCTTGATCGGCTCAAAGTACACCCTTCCCAGGTCCTGGGTCCCCAACGAGTTCTGCGGTGTGCAAGGGAATCAGTCACACAAACAACAACAACAACTTGCATTTACACAGCAGCCCTCATGCAGGGTAATTACCTGTAGCTGAGCTGTTGCCAACAGCATCTTCTGTCTCGTCTGTAGCACTGAGGAGGAAGAGGAGAGTGCTGAGCTCATTCCCTGCTGTAACTGTTGAATGTCCTTCCACATGCAAGAGAGCTGCGTGCGGGAGAAGTAATAATCATTAATCTGATCACTTCTGGAGGACGTCCCAAAGCACTTCTGTTCCCTGAAACAAGGGAGCACCCGGAATTTGAACCCATAAAATGTACAGTCAATTCACTTCACTATCCTGGGAAGCGCTTTGAGACGTCTCAAAGGTGTGATATGGTGCTATGTCAAAGGCAAGGATTATTATTATTATTATTATTAACTCTATCTGGTTATAGAAGGCCTCTTGATCTGCAGTCAAATGCTCTACCCTTCACATGCAATTAGTAATAATCACCCTCGCATTTGATGTCGCGCCTTATCACGTCGTTAAGACGTCTCAAAGAGCTTCACAGGATTATACTGTGAAGTGAATTGAGTGTGTATTGCGTGGGCGACACACGGCAGCCAATTGCGCACAGCGGCGGCCGTCCCACAAGCAGTCGTGGATTGTTTGAGTGACCAAATTATTATATTTTTTTTCTCTGGGGAGGTATTATTACCCCCGGAAAGCAATTAATTCACCAATCGATGAACAACCAGGTTCCTACTTACTGCTGGGCGAACAGAGGCGTGTGTGTGTGTGTGTGTGTGTGTGAGGAAACGTGCTCTGACCTGACCCGCCTGGGAATCGAACCCGGGTCCTCTCGCTTGCGAGGCGAGCTCTCTGACCACCGAGCTACGTTGGCCTTCGTTGGGGGACCTTCTCTTTACCTTTGTGAACCAGAGAAACTCCTGCATGTCAAAGCTGGAGCAGGAACCGTCAATCTCGACGATCGGCAGCTGCTCTTCATTCGTAAGCAGGATGTTATCCTTCTGGAAGAAAATGGCTGCCAAGTACACACCCCTGCAAATAACCAGAGATAGAGTTAATAATAATCCTTGCATTTGGTACAGTGCCTTGTCACGTCTTTGAGACGTCTCAGAGCGCTTCACAGAATATACTGTAAAGTGGGGTGACTGGGTATATTTTGTGGGCAAAATGTGGCAGCCAATAGTCTAACAACCGCTTAAAACCATTTTAAAATTTTTTTAATTTGAAGTCAAGGGCTTAAAGAGTGGCACTGAGCTATAATAATAACAATAACAATAATAATAATAACAACAATAATAATAACAATAATAATCCTTGCATTTGATTTTGCATCTCATCACGTCGTTGAGACGTCTCTTCACTCCACTATCCTCTCCTCACTCCCTTCCCCTTTCCTTACTTCTCACTCCCCTCTCCTTACTCCTCACTTCCCTCCCCTCTCCTTACTCCTCACTCCACACCCCTCACCTTACTCCTCACTCCACTCCATACCTTCCACCAGTTCAGACCTGCCCCTGTACAGCCCGGCCCGGCCCTGACTAGTTCACACACGCGATTACCGTTGTAGAGTCCTGACAAACTTGCTGGAGCTCTGGAAAAGCGACTTGAGACTCCGAGACACAGAGAGCTTCTTACTGGGCGGGTGAACCTTGGCCGTGTCTGAAAGAGACCCAGTTTACAACACAAACACCGTTAAACCTTTTAAACCTTTTACCCCAAGACCACAACGACGACAACAACTTACTCCCCTCGCTCAGGGTAACCCCGCTCCCCAGAGCGCTTGACAGTGGCGGAGCACGACGAGGAAGCTAGGGAAGGAAGGAATAATGCGGAGGGATAGAGGGAGAGAGAGTGTTCCTCTTCGGTCACCCTCCTTACCCCACCCTCCCTGCCCTCCCAACCGCCAGCTCGGGTCTCAATTCCCTGACTGTCCAGGGCTTTGGAACGTCCTCCAGATGTGAAAGGCGCCGCATAAATGGAATATTTGTTGTTGTCGTTGTTGTTTCCTTTCCCTCCGGGGCTCACCGTGGAAGAAGCTACGATAGCCGGGATCCCAGACTTGTTGCAGGACTTGCTGGACGGCTTGGCTTTGCTCCTTTGGTCTCAGGTTCACAACAGAACACTCCTTCCAGCCTGTGGAGATCAGAGTACAGGCAATGAAACCTCTCCGTGTGTTCAGACACTCCTACTCGTTGTGGCGTCCCGTAGGGCAGTGGTTAGAGCACTCGCCTCGCAAGCGAGAGGACCCGGGTTCAATTCCCGGGCGGGTGGGCGGGCAGGGCGAAACCTTAGACAAGTTTCTTTATTCCAAACACACGCACACACGCGCCTCTGTTTACGCAGCAGTAAGTAGGAACCCGATTGTTAATCGATTGGTGGATCGCTTTCCGGTGGTAATGATCGCTCCCCAAAAATGTGGTCACTCAATCCACGACTGTTTGTCTTGAGGTCCTGAGATGGGCCTCGAAGGAGGCAAGGGAGGCGGGTGAGGTAGACGAGATGGAGTTCCAGAGGGTGGGGTCAGAAAGGCTGAAGGCTCGACCGCTGATGGTGGAGTGGGCAGAGTAGGCAGAGTGGGGGACATGGAGCAGGCCAATGCCTACTGAGTAGAGGGAACGGACAGCTTGGCATTGCGTTATGCGTGACACGGGTAGGGAGGGGGGAATGAAAGTGCATCTTGCTTGCTCCTCGGGGTTGAAATGATTTGAGGTCACTGTGGAAAGACAAGGTCACTTACTGGAGGGAGCGGCACATGGAGGCATTGTAACCTGGGGCCGTCCCCAGCCCTTTATGTTGTTCGCTGAGACCCGGACATAATAGAGTGTTCCCTGGAGACAGGAAAGGAGGTATTAAACAGAGCAAAATCACCCCCCACACAGCGAGAGGCATCCAGCCACAACAATCATATAACATTATCATTATACCTGGACTGACTTGGGGAGATGATTCCACCTGGGTCGAGATTTACTCTCTATGTAATAATAATAATAATTCTTGCATTTGTTATCGCACCTTATCATGTCGTTGAGACATCTCAAAGCGCTTCAAATTGGCTTCTGCATTTCTCCTGCAAAATTACACAGTCACTGCACTTTGCAGGGAGTGAGCGAACAGGGCTAAATATAAAGGCAGGTCGAATAAAGCAAAGGGCAAGTGAAGAGACTTCTACTGCTTACTGTAGTGAGGTCTCCAATTGTGCAGTGCAAGGCTTCTGGGTCCTCAACGATAGTATCTCCTTGGATGGGGTTGAAGGTTTCCGAGTGACTCCATTCCACTGAAAGAGACCAGCACGCAGGCATGATAAACAATAAAAAATAATAATTATGTGGTCACTCACTCCGCGGCTGTTCGTGGGGACGCTGCTGTGTGCAATTGGCTGCCGAGTTTCGCCCACAAAACACACAGTCAATTCACTTTACAGCGTAGCCTTTACAGTGAATTCTCGATGTCGTGATAAGGCGCTGTATCAAATGCAAGGATTATTATTAGTAGTAGTAGTATTATTATGCGCAGGTTGGCGAGAACCAAGGCTTGGGGTGGGGGGGAACCAGAGTATTAGTTTGGGGGATAAGTGTTGGGAGTCGAACCATGGCTTGCCATTGAGTAGCGCTGTCTGGTAAGCTTTCCCTCTGCTTGTCCAGCTGTGACCACTCCAGCTGTTAAGGGCTTTGGCTGAGCAGGAGCTGAGTGGGAAGAGTAAAAGGTTCCTGTTACCTCTGTATCTGGTGACTATCAGCGAGTTGTTCTTTGGCGGCTCCTGGAACGTCACGCTCAGGGAGTTGGTGTCACTGACTAACAGGCACACGTTGGCTGGAGGCTCAGGAACTCCTAGAGGGCAGATCACACGATCACAAGAGAGTGAGGTTTGAATCGAGACGAACGTTCGGCCATCTATGATTTCATCCCTCCAGAGTTAGGTGTAAGATATTTTAATTGTACGGAGTCCTGCAGCGTACAATAACAACAACGTGCATTTATATATAGCGTCCCTCACGCGGGCTAGTGTCCCGAAGTGCTTATGTAGTGGTTAGAGCACTTGGCTGACAAGCAAGAGGACCCTGGTTCGATTCCCGGGTGGGACAGGGCGAAACCTTTGGCAAGTTTCCTTACTCCACCGCAGCAGTAAATAGGAACCCGGTTTGTTAGTCGATTGGCGGATCGCTTTTCCGGGAGTAACAATCCCTCTCCCCACGCACAGAAAAAAATGCGGTCACTCAATCCACGACTGGGATGTTGCCTTCAGCAAATTGGCTGCCGCGTTTCAATCGATTACTACTTAGCAGTATATCCTGTGCAGCGCTTTGAGACGTCTCGAGGGTGCGATCGGGCGCCAGAGCAAACGGAAGGATTATTATTATTATTATTACTACCATCTGTTGATGGCAGACTGTACTACCCAATAGGTCACGAGGGGGAGCTCTGCTACAGTTGTGAGAAGGTTCGTCTGGTTGGCTGGATGATTAATGGTGACGTGAGACCCAGAGGTACATCTTGAGACTTTCAGAGCCTTGGGCCGTCCTCCTCGACAAACCCGGGTCCTCTCGCCTGCGAGGCAACTGCTCTAACCACTACCCTACAGATACTTCACAGCTGTACATCCTCTCTCGCTCGACGACGACAACAAAAATAACACAGTTACTTACGAGCGTTTTCAAAGACCGATCGCATCTGCCTCCACAGCCTGTGCCGTAACCTCCAGGCGTGACGTTCCCGTCGGTTTCTCTGCCAGTCGGGATCAGGAGGCCCTCCCGAGTGTTCGGATAGCTCTCTGACCTTGTTTTCCGCCGTCAACACCAGAGCGGCGAGTCGCGAGACCCACTGACACTCGTCCAGAGCTGAGCGAGGAGAGGAAGAGGGCGTCAATCCTAGTGTCCTATATCAGGGCTATGGGGAAAGAGCGGGTGGGGTGGGGGGGGGAGTGGGACTAGTTGGTAGCTCTTCCAAAGAGTCAGCACAGGCACGATGGGCCGAATGGCCGCCTTCTGTGCTGTAATATTCTTTGATTCGATTCAGTGCCCGTGACTCCGAAACATCTCGAAGTGCCTCGCAGGGAAATAATAACCGTCATAATAATCTTTGCGTTTAATACAGCGCCTTTTCACATCATTGAGGCGTCTCAAAGCCCTTCACAGGATACACTGTATAGTAGAGTGACTGTGCTTTTTATGGGCCATAAGTGGCAACCAATCGCGCACAACAGCGTCCTACAAACAACTGTGGATTGAGTGACCAAATTATTATTATTATTACTTATTTATGAAGGCATTATTACCCCCTAGAAATCAACCAGGTTCCTACTTATCCTTAGGTAAACAGAGGTGTGTGTGTGTGTGTGGAGTAAAGAAACTTGTCTAAGGTTCTGTCCCGACCTGCCTGGGAATCGAACCCAGGTCCTCTCACTTGCGATGCGAATGCTCTCACCATTAGGCGTGTGATACTCACAGAAGTGATTGAACTTGGCTCCAGCTTTCATTAGGAGTCTTGCCATCGGCACGTTGTTGGTCAGGAGAGCGATGTCCAAAGGCACCAAACCCTCGGTGCTAACACCGTTCAGCCCATCCCTCGTTGTGTCTCCACCCAGGAGCCTCTGAACTGCATCAATGTCTCCGTTCTCCACAGCGTCGAAGACCGAATTATAGTGTACACTCTGTAAGTAATAATTATAATAATTATAATAACAATAATAATCCTTGCATTCGATACAGCGCCTCGGTTTAACATCACATTCGACAATGTAACACTGAATTGGAGCATCAGCTTAGACCAGTGATTCCAAGTCCTGACGTGTTGGAGGCTTGAACCCACAACCTTCTGACTCAGAGGTGAGAGAGAGAGCGAGAGAGAGAGAGAGCGCTCCCCACTGCACCACAGGCTGAAAAGTTTCGACAAAAGCACGTAGACCCCAGAGACGCTAGAGCCTGAAATGAGCACCAATTACAGTTTATGTCTGGGCGTGATTTGCTTTGCCCGACCCCAATTAGGTTGTGGGTTCAAGCCGACCCTCAAGATAGCACTGCTGACGCTCCAGAGGTGTCCGAGGTGTTGTTAAACCTCCTGAAATGAAAACTCACCAGTGACGAGGCTTTCCTGTTCCTATCCTTGTCCGTCTTTTTGATCAGCCCGGTCTCATCTGAGGTCGAGTTTCCCTTTAACCTGAACGACAGATTACGATACAGTCTCTTGACGTGGTTAGGGGACATCGGGCCTAAAGATCTTCTCCTCTGGAGGGGCTCGCGGACTGGCTGTTTCATATCACTCATCTTGTGCCTGCAAAGAAAAAAAATCATACAGTGCTTTATTAATAATAGTAGTAACAATAATCCTTGCATTCGATATAGCACCTCATCACGTCATCGAGACAGCTCAAAGTGCTTCATGGGTACACCGTGAAGAGATAGTGACTGTGTATTTTGTGGGCGAAACCTGGCAGCCGATTGTGCACAGCAGTGTTCCGCAAACAGTTGTGGATTAAGTGACCAAATTGTCATAAATTTTTTTTTTTGAAGGGTTTATTATCCCCGGAAAGTGATCTGCCAATTGACTAACAACCGGGTTACACATTGCTGCTCGGTAAACAGAGGCGTGTGGAGTAAGAAAACTTTCTTAAGGGTTTGCCCTTAGGACACCGAGAGAGAGAGAGAGAAACTCCCTCCCTTCTCTTTTCTCGGAACAGTGTTGCGGGAGATCTTTAACGTCCACCCGAACAGGGCATAAAAGGTGGAGCTCGATTTAACATCACATCTAAAGGATGTCACCTCTGACAACGAGACACTCTCCCAGAGCTGCAATGGAGCATCAGCCTAAACCACACGAGTCTACAACAAAAACAGAAGTCGCTGGGAACACTCAGCAGGTCAGGCAGCATCTATGGAGAAAAGAAAGTGAGTCAAAGTTTCGGGTCCATGACCCTTCATGGACTGGGGCGTTTGGGAGGGAGAGGCTTTTAAGGGCTAACAGAGAGAGGGGGGAGGCAGGACAAGGAAGACAAAGGAAAGAATGGGGTCGAGGACAGGTGGATGATGGGTTAAAGAGGTATTGATGAGGCAAAACAAAGTGGGGAGGTGGGGGGATTGCAACAAAACCCCCAGAACAGAGAGAGAAAAGGTGTGTCCGGCACCCGGGTGATGTGGCAATGGTCACAGGGGAGTGGGGAAGGTGAGCTGTGAGTCTATGGTGCTGGTCAATGGTTCACTGGTTCATTCTGCAAAGGAAACAGGCAATAAACGGGTAAGAGGAGGCCGGACATAAACAATAAGTATTATATTCAAAACCACTTTCAACATGAGTCACGGTGTGCCTCCGCGCTTATTAAAGTGCAAGGGAATATTCTCACAGTCAGATTGTGGTTGCAGCTCTCTATAAAGAGTGACTTCAGTCGCACGCACATTAATTGAACCTGCCGTACACAACACACGGCCTCTTTCAAGGCCCACGGACCTCCACACCTAGAATAGACTCAAAGCACAGACTTTAACCAGAATTACATTTTTGGAGTCTGTTTGCGTCTCAAAGGTCTTCGCAGATCATTATACTCAAGCGAAGCAACTGTGTGTTTATAGGGCTAGCTTGAAGTCCAGTTTATCTGTTCAGGTGGACGATAAAGATCCCGCACACTATTGGAAAAGACAAAGGCATTTCTCTCTCCTGGTGTCTAGCCAACAATCTCCGAGATAGATTGCCGACAAGCTCCACTTAACTAATCTGTTGCTCACTCGATTTGCTCCCAAACCATTCTACTTTGCTATTTCTCTCTCTCCCTCTCTCTCTCTCTGCATTCCAAAACCTCCTTAAAAATCATCCACAAGAACAAGTTGCATTTCTACAGCACCTTTCACGCAGGATAGCGTCTCGAAAAGAGAAGGAAGTTTCTCTCTCCCGACGCGCTGGACAACCAGATAAAACTGGTCACTTACTCCACGGCTGTTTGTGGGACACTGCTGTCCGCGACTAGCTCTTGTGTTTTGCTCACAAAGTACACAGTCACTCCACTCTACAGTATATCCAGTGAGACGGCTTGAGACGTCTCAATGACGTGATAAGGCGCTATATCAAATGCAAGGATTATTATAATTGCAAACCCGCAGCCTTTCGAACCCACAACCTTTTGACCCAAAGCAAGTGAGACAACAGGAAATAGTTGACATGAAGCCATTCGGCCCGTCGTGTCTGTGCCGGGCTCTTTGCCAACTTGTCCTCTCCAAATAATTATCTACTTCTCTCTTGAAAGTTGTTATGTAATCGGCTTCCACCGCCCTTTCAGGTGAGCTCCGTCAGAAACCAGTGTGTGAATGTCAATGAAGACGTTTGCAAGAATTGACATCACAAACACAGACCTTTACAGCTGTGACCACAGGTAAACCGACAGACACTGCGTGTTTGTGTGTGTGTATGTGTGTATGTGCGCGGAGAATTGCTGCAAGTTGAAATCAACCCAAACCAAACTCCCCCAGCTCATAGACGCACGTAGGCACTTCTTGAAAGTCTGCAACGCTGGGTTTTGGTGCAGTTGTGACATGATCAGAGGCTTTGTCTGTCTGTGCCTGAGCGAGACATACATTTCACAAGATGTCTTACTCGCCCACCCACCAAGCCGCCACTGTTTGTGGGACACTGCGCAATTACCTGCCGTGTTTGGCCCACCAGACATACAGTCAATTCACTTTACAGTATACTCGTGAAGCGCTTTGAGACGTCTCAACGACGTGAGTAGGCGCTGTATCAAATGCAAGGAGTAGTCCGATTATTGTTGTAGAAACAGGAACTTGCATCTTCCTGCAATGGTAACAGGGGGAAAAAAACAGGTCTCAGCCTGGATCAGACCTCTGAGTCAAAGGGTTGTGTGATCAGCGGGCTCCAGCCCGCTCCGTGGCCCCCTCCCTACCTGCCCCACTATCGGCAGTCGGGCCTTCAGCTTCTCTGCCCCACCCTTTGGAACTCCATCCCACAGTCTCTTCGCCTCGCCCCCGCCATTGCCTCTTTCAAGGCCCACGTCAAGATCCTCCTCTTCGACGGCGCCTTTGACCACCCTCCTATCCCTACCTTCCCTGCCCTCTACCCCTCCTGATCCCAACCCCCAGCTCGGGTGCAGATCCCTGACTGTCCAGCGCCTTGGGACATCCTCCCGACGTGAAAGGCACTGTACAAATGTAATGTTGTTGTTGTTGTTGTTGCTGATACTCCAAAGCCCAAGTGCTGTAGAATTTGACACATTTGCATTTGACACAGCGCCTTATCATGACTTCGAGATGACTCAAAGCCCTTCACAGAATATACTGTAAAGTGAATTGACTGTATACGTTGTGGGAGAAACATGAAGACATTTTCTGCACAGAAAAGAGGCTATTCAAGTCTTTGTGTCTGTCACACCACATGCTATTTTNCTGAATAATTTCTAAAAAATTGATGCCTTTTCCCTGCTCACTCCCCCCTACACACACACGCGCACACACACACACACACATATTGCTTTTAATGTTTCGCTGCTTATTCATTCCCCTTCAAAAGAGACTCACAAATTTCAAAGACTACGTGAGTTACTGGGGAACGTACAGATGTCTCCCAAGTTGCGACACTGAAACACTGTGACTTATTAATAATAATAATCCTTGATATGGCGCTTATCACTTCTTTGAGAATTTCAGAGCGCTTCCCAGAACATACTTTAAAGTGAATTGGCTGTATATTTTGTGGGCGAGACGCAGCAGCCAATTGCACACAGCAGTGTCCCACAAACAGTCGTGGACTGAGTGACCAACTTTGGGCGATTGTTGGACAGGACACCGATAGCGTAAAAGTCCCTTGTCTTTTCGAGACACTATCATGCGTGAAAAGCACTGTAGAAATGCAGCGTATTCTTGTTGATGTTTTTTAGGAGGCTTTTGAAAGCAGAGAGACACACACAGAGAGAGAGAGAATGCTTTTTGAGCAAAATTAAGCGACCAAATTATTATTATTTTTCAGAGGCTTATACCCCCTGGAAAGTGATCCGCCAATAGACTAACAACCTGGGTTCTTACTTACTGTTGGTAAAGAAAGGTGTGTGGAGAAGGTTTTGCCCTGCCCAGGAATTGAACCCGGGTCATCTCGCTTGCGAGACGAGCGCAGTAACCACTAAGCTAAAGAATTTCACAATTTGAACAACCGTTACAAAACTCTCTCTCTCTCTCTCTTTGAAGCTCCACAACACACGGATCTTGAGGGAACAGTTTGGCCCGCAGTCGCAGCCTCTGAGCTCAGTGACTAACCTGCATTATTAAACAGTTTCAACATACCAGAAGGAAACAGAAGGGAAATATAAAGGGAAAGAAGGCACCTACCAGCGATTTGTGGCATTCAGGCGAGTGGTTTGAGCTGCAAGTGATGAAGTGCTGAGCTCCCCCAACTACATCACAGTTTCCTGCCCACTAGTCGAGCAGGAAGCCAGCAAGATTTGCACTTGTTTTGTTTTGAAAGGAAATTCATTTGCCGAGAGAAAAACAACTTCTCTCACTCGCACGAGACTTTCGCCTGAGTTTACCATCCCTACACCTCGCTTCCTTATCACGTCGGAAGGATGTCTCAAAGGGCTTCATGGGATTCTGTGAAACGGAGAGGTTGTAGGTAAACGCAGCAGCATATAATTGTGCAGAGCAACGTCCCACAAACAGCCATGAAATTAATCACCAATTTTATTTGGGAGTTTGTTGGCCAGGGCATAGGAGAGAGAAACTCCCTTCTCTTGTTGAATTGTGTGGAATCCTGTAGCTTAGTGGTTAGAGCACTCGCTTTGCAAGTGAGAGACCTGAGTTCAATTCCAGGCAGAGGGCGAAACCTTGGGCAAGTTTCCTTACTCCACACAGAGCCTAATAATAATCCCTCCAAAAACCAAAAACAATAATTAAATTGGTCATTTTCAATCTACGACTGTTTGTGGGACATTGCTGTGCGCAATTGGCTGCCGCGTTCGCCCACAAATATACAGTCAATTCACTTTGGGACGTCCTCCAGACGTGAAAAGCGCTATATCAAATGCAAGGATTATTATTATTATTATTAATTGCGCTACGGGATATCTTTAACATCCACCAGAAGAGGCACAAATGGGACCTTGGTTTGATGTCTCACCCGAAGGACGGCACCTCCGACAATGCAAACCCGTAACGCCCCTCCACACACACTGAAGTATCAGCTGATTCCTTTGGTCATCGGGTTTAATAATAATAATCCTTGCATTTTGACATAGCGCCTTATCACGTTGCGGATCAGAGTTTCAGCTGCGTTGAGTGTGAGGTACGTTTGGAGGCGGGCAATGTGGCGTCTCAGAATGCTTCACAGAATATACTGTAAAATATTACAAACAGTTGTGGATCGATGTGCGCAATTATTATTTTTTTTTAAAGGGACTGTTACCCCCAGAAAACCGCTCCAGCATTTGCCTAACAACTGGGCTCCTCCTGACTGCGAGGTAAACAGACAGAGGCGTGTGAGTGGAGTAAGGAAACTTGCCTAAGGTTCTGCCCTGCCCGGGAATCGAACCCAGGTCCTCTCGCTCGTGCCTGGGGCGAGTGCTCTAACCGCCCAGCTACGGGGACTCCACGACTGTCATCTTACAAGCCCTTCTCCGTTTGAGATACGAGGCTCAGTAGCTCGGGCGGGTATGGTTTCATGTCCAATGCTCAGGTGGTACGTGTGACCTAGTTAGGTGTACCGTAGCCTCTCGGTGGTGCTGTGTCTCTCTCTCTCTCGCTCTGTAAGAGGTGAAACCACACACTAGGATTTAAGAGAGAGTTCACACGCCCCCCCGCCGCGGCCCCCCCCCCGCCGCGGACCCCCCACGCCGCGCCCCCCACCCCGCACACTGAGTAACGAGAGATCGAGCGACTGCGTTAAGAACGAAAAGGGTCTCCGCTCCGAAGCAGTCGGACTCGCGCCGAACGTTCGGGTCGGGCGGGAGTGAACCGTTTTCCCGGAGCGCGGGGGCCGGGCACATTGGCCAGAGCGGACCCCTCCTCGCCAGGCGGGGGGGCTTCGTGCCGCCGGGGGGGGGGCTGGCAGCCGGCCACCAAGACCTGCAGTCGCTCCGCTTGGCAGTACACCCCGTGAAGCGCTGCGAGACGACCGCGACGGCGGCGACGGTGACGACAGCGACGACAACGATCGGGCGCCGCGTCAATCGCCGATGGTCATTGGTATCATTTGGAGTCCAACCCAATCTATGGCCAACTTGCTGCGGGCTGCAATTTGATTGGTCCGCGGCGGGGGGGGGCGTGGTGGTGGGGAAGCGAGCGCTGTGATTGGCCTGTGAGGGTTGAGGCGCTGATTGGTCGCTGGATGGGGGTGTGGCGGGAGGAGCGAGGGCTGTGATTGGCCTGTGAGGGCTGAGGCTCTGATTGGTCGTTAGAAGGGGGTGTGGCGGGAGGAGCGAGGGCTGTGATTGGCCTGTGCGGGTTGAGGCTCTGATTGGTCGTTAGATGGGGGTGTGGCGGGAGGAGGAGCGAGGGCTGTGATTGGCCTGTGCGGGTGCGAGCTCTGATTGGTCCACGTAGGCGGCGGGAGGGCGGGGCGGAGTGAGGAGCGCGAGAGGCGCCGTCGACGGTTGGTCCGGGTTTGAGCCTCGCGCGGTTCGGGCGCTTCGTGCACCGGAGACCCGCCTCGAGCCCCTCCTCTCCCCCCCCCAACCCCGGGCCTCGAGCCCCTCCCCCCCCAACCCCGGGCCTCGAGCCTCGTGTGGCTTAAGACCAAGGTAACGCGGTTGGCGGCCCGCGGGCCGCACCCGGCCCCCCCCGACCTCCGCCTCATCCGGCCGCCCCGCCCCTCCCCTCCCCACCGCGAACCGTACATGTTCACGTGATGCTCCCGCGAGGGAACTGCAGCATTGATGCCTCTGCGGCTCGCAGACGCTTCTCAGATAAGATAGGGCCATCCAGCCCCGGGCGGCCAAAAGGTTGGATGCTCCCCCCTCCCCCCACCCCTCCCCCACCGACACCCCCCCACCACCGGGTTTAGGACCATTCCAACTAAACGTAATAATATTTTGTTCTTTTTTTAATTCCAAAAACCAGGACAAGGAAACCCCGCCCGGGGATGGAAGACTCGGGCGTCGTCAGCGGCAACGTGGTTTGCGAGCGGCTTCACTCCCGCCACGATGGCCGCTGGGTGTTGAGGCTCGGAGAGGACGCGGGACCCGGCCAGACCGGGGCGGGGCAGCAGCGGCGCAGCTCTGTGTCGCCTGCGTGATCGAGATACTGGAGCAGACGGCTGTCTCGGTGAGAGTCCCCTCCCCCCCCTCACCCCCAAAAAAAGGAATTGGTTTATGGTGATTGTCACGCACCCCCCGATGAACCGCATTCCCTTTCTAATCGCCCTCTGTCGGAACTAAGATGCTAGATACCCCGTAGTTCAATGCGTCTCTTGCAGGCGTCGAGGTCTCGCAGGAAGTCTGGAAGATTAGCCCAAATTCCACAGCGTTCGGGAGGAAATTGGTTTTCCGATAAAACGGTTACTCATGTCTACAATGCCGATGTCACGGTTCCTTTCTGCAACTCCGGCTCCGACGGGTTGCTAAATCAGTGCCAAATTACTGGCGGTTTGGGGTTGTGAGCTCTCGCTCCCCTCCAGGAGTTAAGGCTGACACTGGCCTTGACTGACTGAGCCTCCCAAGTGTTTCATCCCATTTTGTCTTACTCTCTCTTCCACCTTTATTTTTTAGGTTGTTCGTAAGAAGCACGCACTGTCTTGTTTCTGTGATGTGCTGACGCGGTTTCCCAGTGCAGTGTTGGAGCTGCTGGCGATAGATACCCGCGTGTGTACCCACTTTATAGTCACTCTGCTGGGTAAGTCTTTGGAATAATAATAATAATAATAATAATAATCCTTGCATAAACACAGAAGTCGCTGGGAACACGCAGCAGGTCAGGCAGCATCCACGGAAAGAGGAAAATAAAATCCTTGCATTTGATATAGTGCCTTAACACCTACGTCATTGAGACGTCTCGAAGGGTTTCACAAGATATATTGTAAAGTGTAGTTTCTGGGCACGCGGCAGCCAATTGCCCACAGAAATGTCCCACAAACAGTCGTGGATTGAGTGACCAATTTTTTTAAGGGAGTGGGATTACTACCCCGGAAGGTGGTCTACCAATCGACTACCAACCAGGTTCCTACTTACTGCTAGGGAAACAGGTGTGTGGAGTAAGGAAACTTGCCTCAGTGTGTGTGAGTGTGTATATATAAGGTCTCGCACTGCCCGGGAATCAAACACAGGTCCTCTCACTTGCGAGGTGAGCGCATTAACCATTCCGCTACGGTACTTCAGAATTTGGTTTAACTACACCAAAATAAATTTTCTTATAAGGCTTTTCAGAGCAAAGTAATTATATATCCTGGCTCTTCAGATAAATCCTTTCGGGTGACCCATAACCTGAAATTGGATTAAGTCTAATCTTTCAACGGTACTGATTTATTGAGAAATAGAAACGAGACGAATAAAATAAATGTACGTCTGTGGTTCCTTGTTAGAAAGATCTGTGACGTGCACAGTATAGCACAGTGTTGCTGTTTGCCTGACATGCTCTAATTGTCACAGTTGTGCAGAGTATTACTTGACCTTTAAAGAGCTCTCTCTGCCTCTGCGTTAATTGCAGGTACGCTACAAAGTGTTGAAGATCACATCACGTTAGACCTGGTGATTGAAGGTTAGATTGATTCCTTCATTATGTGACTCACACAATGTGGCACTGTTGTACCAAGTGCCTTGAACCTCAACGCTACAAACATTATTCAGCAATTGATCCACGAAAGCAGCTTCTACAGCTTTGTGTGTCAAGACACGAACATACATGAAAGGCCTCTTTTATAAGTGCAAGTTGCTGTGTGTAAAAATTATACAAAGAAACCTAAATTGAGGTCTCAAGTGATTTTTTGGGGGTCAGCCGGAAACCCATCCTGGTGCTTAAGAGTCAAAACAAAACTGAGAATTCCATGCATCCCACCGGAAATTCCAGAGATAGACCACTGATTCATTAATTTTGAATATTGATTATTTAACTGTTCGTTATCTCAGTCCTGCCTTATTATTTATGCATACCCTCTTGCAGCCTTTATAAAGTACTACAACAACAACTTGCATTTACGCAGCACCCCTCATGCAGGGTAGGGTCCCAGAGCCCTTGACAGCTTTGGAGCAAGATGCCGAGCTGGGGTGGGGGGAGGTTAGGTGACCGTAAGCACGGTTGAAGAGGAAGATCTTCAGGCACGCCCTAAGGATGTGAAAGGAAGGGGTAAGGCGGAGGGATTGAGGAAGTGTGTTCCAGAGATTCGGGGCGTAGTGGCTGAAAGCGCATTCACCTATGGTGGAACGGAGGGCACGAGGGACATGCAGGAGGCCGGAGCTAGTTGAGCGGAGGCAGCGTGTCGTGGGTTGGGGAGAGAGGTGCCAGGGCATGAAGTGCTTGACGTTTTACAAAAAGCAGCAGACTTGAGCAATAAGTTTCCAGGGGATAATGGAACAAATGTCTGACTCAAAACACGATAAACCCGCAGTAGTGTGACATTTATTTCAGGGTTACAGGGAAGTAATATGTCTTACATTTGAGATCACTCCTGATTGTTAAACATAATTTGTTTTCCATCTTTATAATGGCATTTTTCATTTAAAACAAAAAGCGAAAGATTGGTTACTTTTAGGATAGGCTAAAATTCTGTGACGTATTGATTTGATTTAAGTGTTTTATAACTGATATTAAATAGATAAGTACCTTCTAGAACGATTAGAAGGCTGCGATCTGATTGAGTTTGCAAATCAGTCATAGGAGAAGGGAAAGCACAGTGGAGTACTGTTAGCAGTGTAGATTTTTGATAAAAGTGATACCTAGTTGACGCAAAACTACTTGTGGAACAAACCACATCCTAATAACTGAGTAAAAACATTTCTTCGCTAAGATTTTGTTTTACTTTCATAATAACCTGGTGTTGATGCCCACTTGTTGCAGATTCACCAATATAATAATACTTATTTTGATATAGTGTCTTTCATGTTGGGGTAGGCCATTCAGCCCCTTGAGCCTGTTCTGCCATTCTATTAAATCATGGCTGAGCTGTACATCGACTCCAAATACCCTCCTATGACCCATATCCCGTTGCACTGTTCAGGATCCGCTGCAAATTGGAGTCACTGTGTATTTTGTAGACGACTATTTTTGAAGGCGACTATATTTTCATAGCGCTATATATTACCATATTCAAGGATTATGTTATTATTAAAGTATACCTGTAGTTCGCTCATGGGTTGCTCCCACCAATTGGTGCCTCTAAGAGTGAAACGAAACATGAATCTTTTATTTGTGTGGCTCATTTACAGCTTCAGTCAATGCTCCAGCAGTCTATGCATTTGTCTTCCTTTTCAGTCCTCGTCAGCCTTGTGGTGGAGTTGAAGTCGGAACAGTTTGTGTGCTGTGTGTTCGAGGAATGCCAGAACCAGGTTAGCAGATGGCTAGGATCTCTAGTTTTTTAGTGACGCTATTAATTGGAAGAAGTATCAGGCAATATACATATTGCTCAATGTCATTGCCTCCTTGTGGAAGGTCACATTTCCGTTTTAATAATCCGTCCCATCCTTCGAATGAGACATTAAACCGAGGTCCCGTCTCTGTCTGTTCAGGTGGACGGATGTTAAAATCTGCAGTGGCGCTATTGGAAAAGAAAAAGGAGATTCCCTCTCTCTCTCTCTCTCCCTCCTGGTGTTCTGGCCAACAATCTCCCAGATAAAATTGGTCACTCACTGCATGCATGTTTGTGGGACACTACTGTGTGCAACTGGTTGCCGCATCTTGCCAACAAACACCATTATCTGTTACGACAAAGAAGTTATTTTCTTAAGATCAATGATCCTCTTCATATCGTAAGACATGAGTTATTTTTATGCCATCTTTAACATCTTCAGAGGAATAGATAATTCCACAAAGCATTTACTCTGTACAGAAATCACTGATATCTCCATACACCTGTGCTTTTTCTAGTTGTCACAGAAAAACAGCATGAGACGGAGTTTGCCAGTCTTCACGTTATTGGGCAAGCTGCTGTTTTCTATCCCGGTCTTAGCGACAAAGATGATCCAGGAATATGGTGAGTCTGGGAAAATAGATAAGAGTAAACCTCACATGAGTCGTATTAGTTGACGTCCTCCCATACGTGAAAGGTGCTCTATAAATGAAATCTTGTTGTTGTTGTTGTTTGAGGTGTTCTCCTGACATGACTCCGACCCTTTATCCAACTGGCCCTTCCTCATGTGTGAGCTTAGACGTGAGGTGTCAGCAGTCTTTTTGACGGGGATGGGTGTGGGGGATAATCATTGCCCTGTTCCGCTTCACACTTGACACTCATGTACTTACCAGGAGGTGTTTCTGGGTATTGATGAGCTGCAGAAACTCTGACTGCTACTTTGCTTCCCGACCCCAGGAGCACTACGGCTAATTACTGCCAAAGGTCATCCAAATTCAAAACCTCAGTTGAATGGTGGATTACGTTTACAGCATTGAAATCTTCCATGTCTTTGTGGAGTCCTGTAACTTAGTGGTTAGAGCCTTGCAAGCGAGAGATCTGAGTTTGATTCCCAAGCAGGGTGAAACCTTAGGCAAGTTTCCTTACTCCATATGCCTCTGTTTACTTAGCAGTAAGTGGGAACCCGGTTGTTGGTCGATTGGCGGATCGGTTTTCCGGGGGTAATAATCCCTTTGTATGAAAAAAATTGGTTGTTCAATCCACGACTGTTTGTGGGACACCGCTGTACACAATCGGCTGCCGCATTTCACCCACAAAATACAGTCACTCCAGTCTACAGTATATTCTGTGAAGTGCTTTGAGACATCTCAAAGATGTGATACGCTGCTATAACAAATGCGAGGATTATTATATTGTTAATTATTTTGTTGTACTTTTCTTTCCTCAAGGGGCTATTTTGGAACATATGCAAGCAGGACTGGTTTACCCCGATGAGGCGGTGAAAGCATCCGTGTGTTATATTTTCTGTTTGTTGTACAACTGCCCTCTTGTTGCAGAGAAACTACATACGTACATCAGTGAGAAGCTTTGTCAGCTACTCCTGTCTGTAATGGAGTCAGCAGAGACCAAAGAACTTCAAATAAACTCTCTTGGTAGGCTTTAGGAATGTATTAGTCTACATAAAGGTAAAATAGTCTGTTGTTTCTTTCGTTCGGTTAATTGCTGGATTTAAATTTAGTTGATATTAAATGGCGTTATTTAGGAGGGCGAACAGACCTAAAATTGGTCCATCCTCCATTTTGTTTCCTATATTATCCTCTAGTGTATTAGTTAGACACTTTCCTCCCAACGGAGAGGACACAGGTTCGATTCCCGGGTGGGGCGAAACCGTAGGCAAGTTTCCTTACTCTGCACACATGCCTCTATTTACCTAAGTAGGAACCCGGTTGATCGCTCTCCGGGAGTAATAATCCCTTCAAAAAAAAATTATAATTTGATCATTGCTGTGCGCAATTAGCTGCCGGGAAATAAATTAAAAGTTACCCTCAGTCATGAGAATAATTAGTTGTATCAGAGCTGGTGATGCTAAAATATAGGAATTTTGATAAAAATCAAACTAATACATGCTATTTTTCCAGGACTTCTGAAGCAGTTACTGCAGTTCAGACAGTTTGTGACTCTGATAATGAGTGTGTTTGCCACCAAGGACCTCACGACTGAAGATGATTCATCGTCACAGGGTACAAGTAGCACCCATCCAGTGAATGATTATATTTCCAGAAGTGGAGAGACTACAATTAATACTAGATTCACATATAGGCACTTATCCGCAATATCAGAAAAGTGCTACATTTCCCACTGTGAAGTTGTCCATTTCTCCGATTGAGAATCTGGGGCTAAACGTTGACAAGACGGAACCCATACTGTACTCCTTGGCTCCCGTCAACATCTTTTCGCCTGTGGCTCTGACCACCTCAACCTGGCTGGCCTCTTCCTGAGACTTACCAAACTTGTATGTAACCTAGGCATTGGGTTTGATTCTCAGTTGTCCTTTCTACCCCACATCTGGTCCCTGATTAGGACTACTTTCCATCACATTGCCCGCCTCCGACCTTACCTCACATTCAATGCAGCTGAAACTCTTATCCACGATGTAATGTAATAAGGCGCTATATCAAATGCAAGGATTATTATTAAGATTGACTTTTTTTTTCTAGGTGGCAGTTCACTGCTGTTACTGTTGAAAAAGGTAAGAGTCACAATCTTCGTCCAAATTTTCTGCAGTTAGTGTGGGATAGTGTAGGACCACTGACTGTTCTCTGCATATTGGTGTTTTATTTTCAGCTGCTGCTCAGCAGGGATGAAATGCTGCAAGTTGTAAGTGTGCAGTGTATGACTTCTATACTGGTGCACTCTCAAGTACAGTATGCCCCTGCTCTCATATATGCAGATATTCCAGGTAAGAAGTACACCCAGTGCCTGACGGTGTCAATAGCCGGTTTCGACAACAGGTGAAATCTGTTTTGCTGTGAATACTCTTTAGCTAATCATCTTGCAGATTCAGAAATTCTAGCACGGGTTTTCTGCTCATTATTCTGTCAGTGCTGTGCGTGACCCAGTGGAAGTCATCCATTATAATCCTATATCTTTTCACATAAAAGTCAATCACACCCCAGATGGGACTCGAACCCACAATCCCTGGCTCCGGAAACCAGTGCCTTATCCATTAGGCCACTGGGGCTTTGCCTTGTGCTAATGTAGCTGAAAGACGTCAGAACTCAAAGAGAACCATTATGCAGTGGATCAAATAATAGGTTCAGAAGCCTCATATAGCCAAAGATCAGGTTAAGAAGCAAATGACAGTGCTATTACATTGCTGTTTCAAATTCTTAAAAGGTTACTGCAGTCACAAAAGTCCTTTCAGTTCTCGTAATTAGGGAAAATGTGGTATGATTTTTCTCCCATTTAGTCTTTTCTTAACAGCAGCACTTCATACAAAATTGCATTTGTAATGTGCTTTTCACGCTGGGAGGAAGCCCCAAGGTGCTTAAGACCTATCAGTTTGATTCATTTGGTACCACTGTGGTCTGTGGAGTTGGAAGTGCAAGTTCCACCCCAGGATTTGACTTCATTATCACTACTATCACGCCATTGCAGTTCCAGTTACAGTCACCTCCTCCCTCCGCTCGGCTCGTTGTCACTTAAGTGTCATTGTTAAGCGCTCCCAAGACGCTGCCCTGCATGAAAGGTGCTATATAACTTCTTGTTGCATTATTAGTTGCTATCCTTCAAATGAAGCATTAGACCTGAAAATCAAACACTCATATCCCCAAACTACTGGATAGTTTATAATAAATCTGTTGTCTTTTCTTCAGAATTTCTGTTTGAACGGCTCTCTAGTACAGATGAGGTCCTGGTGTGGTCACTCTACAGTTGTCTTCTGCTGCTAACGGAGGAGAAACTTTTCTTTTCTAAGTGCCAGAGCGTTTACGGTAAGTAAACTGACAAGAGAAGCCGGCGTGCGAGGACGCTCAGCAGCCATTGGATTTAACAAAGGGCCCAGAGTAATCCCTTCCCTCCCTCACACCTCCCTAACTGTGATCTCAAGTTTTAATCTGCTCGTACCCGCTCCACTCAGCAGTTTGGGCCAACCCAAGCCCTCCCCTCCATCATCAGGAACTTGGTGTTGGCCACTATGGGGTTTCTCCCTCAATTCCTCCACCTTGCCTCCTCCTTCCCCACTTTCCAATCCTGCCTGAAGACCTTTCAATCATGCTCTCCCTTTCCCCGTGGCTCAGGGTCAGGTTCTGCAACTGTCAAGCACTCCGGTATGTTACACTGTGTGAAGGGCACTATATAAATGTAAGTTGTTGTTGTTAAGGTACTTCTAGAACTCCCTCCCTCAACTCCTACCATCTCACCTCTCTATCCATCTATCCATCCACCCACCCACTGATAAAAATTTCTCTTCTACCATGCTTACAGTCACCTCCCTCTTCTACCTCTGTGCTTGATGTCCAGCCCAATATATGTATAGTACTGCAAGACCTTAATATGCATAAAGGCTGCTATACTGCATGTTGGTGTTACTCAATGGTTCCAAATGGAAAGCACAGCTAGCACCATCTTGTTTTTGTTTTAAACACAGGTATTGAATCCTTAGTTCGAAGCTTGAAAGAGACTTTGAGACTGACCAATGTGGAGGTACAGAAGCAAGGGTTACTGCTATTTGGAGAGATTTTAAAACGGTAGGACCCAAAGGACTGGGGACAAATTTGGGCAAACTCAGTACAGACCAGGATTTGAAGCAGCGAGTTCCTGGTCTGTATGCACAAGTGATTAAACTGTTCACTAAGCGCCAACTGATTAACATTTGTTGGAAACTAAGGAAACCCATTTGTCCTGAGTGTAAAAAGACTTAACACATAAGTCTTAACCAGAATATTTAGTTCCTCTGAATACCTGTGACCTAGCCAACAATCCCACCAATTAGTCATTCACTTCATTGCTGTGTCCAAATTGGATGCCGCAAATAGTCAGAAAGCACTTTGCAGTAAAGTCCTTTGAAGCGCTTTGAGACCTCTCACTATATCAAATGCAGTGCTTATTAGGAATTAATATTAATATACGTAACTGGAAATGTTCTGTTCAACTGATCTCTGATGGGGAGTATGTGCCCTCTTTCAGGCAGCCCGCAGGGATAAAGCTGTTTGTGAATTTTACCAGTTGGCAGGGAGCCATTGCCATGTTACAAGAAGGAATGGACAGCCCCAATATGGAAGTAACAACAGAGACGGCCAACGCTGTGGCTGCCTTTCTCAGGTAAACGAACATATTTTATCCAGCTTATACATATCGAAACCAAACGGTTCAGAGAAATTTTAAAAGCCATCAAAATACAAGGGTATAACACTAGAAAAAGTGTCAGACAATGTGTGTGTGTGTGGTGCAGAAAATTGATGGGAAGAAAAATATCAAACTTGTCAACTGATTTAATATGTTAGCCGTATATTGTATGTTTTTTTTTCTTTTGCTCAACGCGGAAACACTTTGCCACACTTAAAGAGCATTGGGGCTGAGAGTTCTACATATGTACGGCACATAGACCTGGAGAGTTTTGTATATCTGGAATGGAACGTGCACGCTCTCTCCCTGGAGGGACGCATTTTGCTTACCTAATCCTGGAGAGGATTGGGCGCAGATTTGCAAGAGCCAAAACTTGGGGAACCCAGAGTGAGCATTGGCTTAACTACTGGAGTCCAACCAGCTCAAGCCGCACAGCTTGCAGTGTAGATGTAAGATAATGTGACTGGGAAGAGCAAAGACAAGTATGTTCAGTGTTGCATTATTAATACTGTATTCAGGAAGGACCACCTCGCAGTGCCTGTTCAGTACCAGGAGCTCCAGCGACTGATTGAAGCCATGTTGACCCGCTGCACAGACACTTCTATTCCTTGTCTGATCAGAAGCAAGGGCAGTGGGAATGACAGTAAAGGGGTAATGTATTCTAATTTGTGTAGGCATTATTTAGAGTCTGTGTCCTTACTGTTTGTCAAGGTCTATACTGGCTGAACTTTTAGAATAGAAATTGTTAGTAACACTTCATCTGTAAAACACTTTATTTTCAAAAGGAGCCCTTTAAACTGTTGAGAAAGGTGGATTGTGGAGAAGGAATGTTTTCACCCAGAGAGTAGTTGGGGTGTGGAATGCCCTATAAGTAGGGTGGTGGAGGCAGAGTCCATTGTAGATTTTAAGAGGGAGGTAGATAGATATATGAAAGAGGGGCTTCAACGGGCGTGGGTCTAAGGCTGGCCGTGGGATTGAGTTGATCTCTTTGCTTTTGTGAGCTGGTGCGGACTTGGAAGTGCCAAATAGACCACCAATAGAACTGAGCCCATCAATAGAATAGTGCTGTAGATTTCTATATTTTATGCCAGAGTTAAAAATAGCAAATTTGTAATCCAAATTTCCATGTTAGCACTTAACAAGGATTTCCCAAGGTAATCTTTTATGTTAAGATTAAGATAACCTTCACAAATGTCTTGGATAACTGATTGATAATCTCTTCTTAACGTTGCCTGGGAAATCATGAGCCTATTGGGAACAATCACAATAGACTTGGCATAAGCAATTGTGAAATTTATGAGAATTGGTGCTGAAATGAAATGAGTTGTAGCTGAAGCTAATCTTCAAAGTATGGTTATCACCTGGAAATGTACAGTTTCTAGTTTTATAGTTTATCATTATAATGGTCCAGGATAATAATGGAGGATACATTCAAATCCATTTGAATTGGCAAAATGCATGTTGTTTGGATCAGTCAACTTGGCTCAGTTGATAGCAGTCTTGTAGCCATGTGCTCTAAGCTGCTAACCAGGACTTTGAGTTCACAGTATCCTGCCATTTCAGTCCTCCAGATACATTTGACATTCACTTCATGACTGTTTGTGGAACATTGCGTAATTTGTGTGTAATTTGCCTACAAATACATAGTCACTACACTTTACATCAAATTCTCGTGAATCGCTTTACGATGGTTCAATGTCACAAATGTTGTCAATCCTAAGGATTATTTACAATGAGGGTTATTTTATCCTCAATCTTTTTGAGCATCAGTTACCATCCAAGTTCTTTTTTCAGGCAAAAAAACATATCGAGTGGGATTTTTTTAACAAAAGATACCATTAACAATGGATCGCACATACAGATTTGGCATTTAGTCTTAATCTTGTCTCACTCCAGAGCCAGGCTGGGAGGAGGGAACAGAACAGAAGTTTATCCAGAAAAGGGCAGTTTCTACACAGTACTTTGGAGGCTTTTCACAGTGCTTGCAGGTAATTAATAATATTAATATTCCTTGCATTTCATATAGCGCTTTATCAAGCTTCAAAGCGCTTCACAGAACATACTGTAAACTGAGTTGACTATATTTTGTGGGTGAAACGCTGTAGCCAATTGTCCATAGCAGTGTCCCACAAAAAATCGTGGCCACAAAATTATTTTTTTTATATACTGATTGATTTGTTGGTTGATTTATTTATGGGGAAATGCAAACAAACCACGTAATGGGTAGCTAAACAAACTGAAGCAAAGAAGTGATCAATTGTGATTTGTTTGAAAGAATCTATAAACAGATGCTTAGAGATGTAGTACATCTGATAAAACAGATTGCTGGTAGTTAGTTACAAGGCTGTACTTCTATTTAGAACCAGAAAGACTTGAATTGCTGCTCTAAGGATTACTCCTGTGTTGTGCAGGCTCACATTTTTCTAAGACATTGCACTTTCCCCAGTGGTTTCGACAGGTTTGGCAACAGAATGGTGAAATAGAGCCAGCCCTCTGTGGCTGTCTCTTTTGGTAGCCAGGCACTGCTGATGACGGCACAGCCAGCCTGGCTCATCGGCAGGACCTGGAAGGGCAAACCAGTCACTGGGGGCAGGGAATCCTCCCACTCAGCTCCTGTTAACCCTGCAAGTGGGTAGGGTGGTCCTAGCTGGATAAGCAGCGGGAAGCTTATTTAGAAAAATAATATTGGTGCTTTGCAAAGCCCGGGTTGGTAAAATCACAGTCCCTGATGTGTAACAACTATACGAGCCTGGATTTGATTCTGTGCTGCGTTATCTTATCGAAGCCTCAGCAGCAGGCAAGGTGTTTCAGATGGCATCAGTTCCCTGGGCTGGCAGACAAAGATACAGAGCTCTCTGCTGCGATTTGCTTGTACTGTATTTTACCTTCCGGGGAGATTTCATTCCATAAATGTTTCAAGGCTATAATTATCCCCAGGTGAACAAATACATTACTTTGTATTTGTGTTACATTTCAACACCTTGTATAGCTCAGGCAGTGGAGACTAGTTTAGTATGCTGGTGCCGTTGCTCAGAGCTGCTCACCTTTTTGAGGTCAATAAAATGGCAGCAAGCAATGCCAGAAGGCTCCACAATACTCCACGGTTATCCTTGGGATGTCCGCTCAATGTAATTTGTTGTTGTTATCGAAGGAAGACTTGGATGTACCCTTGCCTCTGTGAGTCAAATTCCTAACAGATTTGGGCCATGCTGCCCCATTACTTCTGTTTTATGCCATATTGTTTTATGCCATATTCTGGCTGTATCGTTCAACACAGGCATTTGCAAATCTTCTTCCAATGTAAAAAACTATGTATGTATATTTGTAGGTTAGCAATCGAGTGTCAGGTGGACCCCAGTGTGCAGGAGAATGCTTTCACAGCACCCGGGACCACAAGTGAGAACACACTAGAGGAGTTCTCAAAGTTCCTGCTCGCCACTTGCGACACTTTGTGCATCCCAGTCGTCATGGTAAGTTTTTTTTATTAATTAAACTGCGATTAACAAAGGCAAATTAATAATAATAATCTTTGCATTTGACATAGCCCTTATCACATCTTCGAGACGTCTCAAAGCACTTCGCAGCATATATTGCTGAAGGAATTGATTGTATATTTTGTCGGCGAAACTCCAAAATTAATTAGTGATCCATTTCAGCAATGTCTTATTTGAGCAATATTCCCTAAAGATACATTTCCTCTGAATCCAGCCTCACCTCACTCTGATCAGTAAACTTGTACTGAGCAAATTCTGCTAATATCTCTGAGGAAGAAAGAAAGTAATCTGTGCATCTCCTGTGGTTCAAACAATAATTGAAACAGTGACTCCTTTCATGGTTTACTGTAAGTCAGCCCACAGATTTGGCCTTCTTCCCACACAAGGGAGAAATGGTCGTGAATCATTCGGTATGTATGTGATGATTCAGTCCAAATGCTCCTCAGAACTGCAGTCTGTGTTGTTGATTGCTGGATTGTCAAAACGCTGTATCCAGATCAGCACATACTGAAATAAAGAGCACTCGCCTCGCAAACAGAAGACCTGGGTTTGATTCCTGGCAGGTCAGGGCAAAATCTTGGGCAAATTTTCTTACTGATGATAATCGCTCAGGAAAAAAAAACAATAATAAATTGATCACTTCAATCCACGGCTGTTTGTGGGGACGCTGCTGTGCGCAATTGGATAAGCAACAACATAGTATTTGCTCAAGATTTACTTCATTAGTGCTAATGCTGTTGTGCTCTGGCCATTACTATTTTTCATTTATTTGTATATGACTTTCTCGCAGAAATATTATGACAAGGCTCCCAGTGTAACAGTAATGGAGGTTTTCTTCTCCATACTCTGTGCCCAGTACACTCTCCAGCCCAGCATGGTGAAGCCACTTTCTGTAAAACTAGGTACGAGTGTTTAAATTATTCCATACCTAACTCACTTCCATCTCTGATGATGACAATAATTATTGAAGCTTTAAATGTGTATTGTAGAACACTCCTGTGCCTGTTTTATACTCCCTGAAACTCTGGAACACTCTTCCTCTATCCCTCTGCCACCATCTTGCCCTCAATGAGGGGTTGCTGTATAAATTCAAGTCGTTTACAACTAATTTCAGTTTCTAACCACGCATGCACGACCCACTTTCAATATTCTGCATTTGCTCAAACAGCTTCTTGAAATGTCACGCTTTTTTATGTTTACAGCTTCCTCATCTTTCATAAGGTTTACCCTGGAACTGAAAGCCAAGTTCTGTACTGGAGCTAGGTAAGCGTGAGCCATCTGTTGTTTAATCTGTTAACGTACTGAAGTGGCTATCTGTTCATTATAGCAAATGGCATTCTGAGCAATGCAGCAGCACCACACTTGAAGAATGACATTTAGAAATTCTTACATACAGTATTCCCAAACTCCCACTCCCTCTGCCACCATATTCCCATTCCCACGGCCGGCCCTGGGAACCTTGGCTTTGCTCGGAATTCTCGCTCTCTTCCCCTACTCCGTCTCCCTCCCCCCCCCCCCCCATGCCCCACCGGTCACTTAAAACCACAACTGTTTGTGGGACACTTGTGTGCAATTGGCTGCCGCATTTCACCCTCAAATATCGGTCAATTCACTCTACAGTCTATGCTGTGAAGTGCTTTGAGACGCCTGAAAAGCGCTCTATCAAATGCAAGGATTATTAATATCATCTGTCCATTGTAAAAATGTTGCTCTCTACTTCATTAGAAATCCAAAGTTGAATGGGACGTGCTCTGATTTCCTTTGCCGTATGTGCAGCATCTTGCTTTCGGTTACGGAAAATGCAGTGAACTCTCAGCATGGTAAGTAAGCCCTCATTTTAATTACTTTCTATCTTTCACAAACTTTCTACTCCCCTCCCCTACTCCTGCCCCGAATGATTCTGACAACCGCAGAATTCCCTCTAGTTGGGAGAACAGAATAGTCTTGATTTGTAGATTTTGACAAATTCTCCTACAAAATATACAGTCACTCTACTTTAAATATATGCCCCGAAACTCTGGAGCTCTCTCCTTCAATCCCTCTGCCTTGCCCCTTCCTCCTCACTTTCAAACCCCGTCTAAAGACTCTCCTTTTTGATTGTGCTTGGTCCTCCCTCCCTCTCCCCCTGGCTAGGGATCAGACTTGGCTACTGTCGAGCACTCCGTTTCGCTACCCCACGTGAAGGGTGCTATATAAATGCAAATTGTTGTTTACAAAATATTCTGTGAATGTATTTGGGACATCCCGACGACGTGATACGGCGCTAAAATCAAATACAAGTATTATTATAATTTTGCAAGATGGCAGACATTGCGATCATCCAGCAGGCAGTATAATTCAGGCAATCAAATTGATCTGTGTTAGACTCTCTGTCCCCCTAAGATAAGGCTCCATGTATCTGTGTGTCGGTTGCTCCAGAACTAAGCTCGATTGCCTGAACTCTCCCAGCTGAGCTTGTTGAAGAAACCGCTGCAAAACACAAAGTCCCTGTTCTCGGACTTTATTTCAAAAGAGAGAGCGACGGTGATCGCTGGGAGATTGGGGTCTCTTCCCCCCCAACCCAAACCAAAATACAACAAAGGACAGCCACCATCTGCTTGTGGACTTGACACTGTGTGCCGTTGTCATTGAATGAATAGCGTCTCAGGCAGGCTGGTAAAAATTAGGACTTATTGTAACTAAATAAAATGGTGCAAACAATGAATGCTATTTTAGCATAGAGTGTATCCTGTGAAGCACTTTGACGTGAAAGGCCATTTACCAAATGCAAGGATAATTATTGTTATTATGATTTATTATTTTCGGCCTCTTATCCCACAATTTATTTATGTTCTAGGGTTCAATCGGATATCTGCTCTCTTGGAGAAGTACGTTCCGCAACTGAATTATATGTTCTCGGAAAGCATAATGGTGCTTTCAGAAAATTCAGATCTATTTGGAATAGATGAAGATCTTCGCAACAGTCAATATTGTATTTTAGTAATCCTCTATCTGGCTCACGTGTACGAAAACAGGTGAGAACGTGTGAGGGAAGGCTAATTTGTTTTAGCTGAAGATTTACAATAAAATAAATAATGCATTTGATGCAGTGCCTATTATGTCAAAATACTGATTAAATTGTTGTCAGAGACGTCTCAATGATGTGACAAGGTAGAGTAAAATCTTACACAAGTTTCTTTACTCCACACGCCTCTGTAGGAACCCGGTTGTTAGTTGATTGGCAGATCGCTTTTCCAGGGGTCATAATTCCTTCAAAATAAGTCAAAATAATTTGGTCGCTGAATCCACGGCTGTTTGTGGGGATGTTGCTGTGCGCAATTGGCTGCCGCATTTCGCCCACAAAAGTCGATTCACTTTACATATTCTGTGAAGCGCTTTGAGACGTGATAAGACGTTATATCAAATGCAAGGATTATTATTATTAGGCAGGTTCTGGTACACATTAGGGATTGTGAATTATTTTTGTATTTTTGTCTGCTTTAGGCTTGATTCGGAAGCTCCCTTGTTTGGAGCTATTGGCAGCTTTTTGCACACAGCACTGGAGCAAGGGGACTCGCCTCCACCACTTATCCTGAAGGCAGGACTGTACCTGCTCTCTGTGTGTCAGGACAAGGGTGGAGCCTTGGATCCGGTAAACAGATCACACTTTTTTTTGTTGCTGATAATGAACAAAATCAATCCTAGCAATTGGATTGTAATAGGAAGATCTGGGGTGGGGGGCGATTAAGGATCCACAATTTTGTGGGACGACAAAAGAATGTTTTAGAGTAGGATAATGAGAGGTTATGATCAAGAACCTCTTCAGCCTATTTGATCTCATCCTTCCCTGCAGAATCCCTGCTCTACCATCACAACATCAAGCTGTTTTTTATGCGCCCACAAATACTGTTCCCGGTATTATGGTCTAGTCATTATTTATCCTCTGGTTATAAAGAAATATTTCCTGGTGTCAATCCTAATTGCCCTTTGCAACCATTCAAACTGGGTCCTCCAATTCTGCTGTCTGAGTGCATCTGAAAGTGTTGTTAATGGATTCACTTTCTCAATATTGCATTTAAAACCTTGCACACCTCTGTAAGGTTTCCTTGGAGATTCGTTTCAAGACTGACGTTTTTTGTCGAGACAATGCAATGCTTCGATTTCAACAATGGGAGGCAAGGGGAAGGAAGAGTGTGTAAGGCGCTGAGTATTTGGAGCTTAGAGATAATAAGTCAGTCATCATTACCTTCAGACAACTATTTTAATTTTTTATATTGTCTCTTTCAGGCTCAGTTGAACTCCATCTGTAAGCACCTAGAGGCTGTACCCAGTTTCTCCTCTGTGTATCATCCTCAGGTGCTGAAATTCATATTTCGCTACCCACAACTGACAGACAAATTTGGTCACAGCGTCCTGAAGTGCTGGTTCGTGCATGCTGATATCAGCTGCTTTGAGGATGAAAACCAAGTTGCTGATCCCCACAGTGATGTTAGTTGCGTTATGAACATTGTACTCAGCAATCCCAAATTACTCATCGTTCTGCTGGTAAGTGGGAGTCAGTGTAAAATAGGAAACATTGTCATTCTAATCCTTAATCAGTCTCTCCGTCCCACCATTGGTGGGTGAGCTTTCAGCCATTTTCTCCCCTGCTGTTTGAGAAAGAAAATCCAGAACTTTAGAACAAGAGGATACAGGTTAGGAGTTGCGAAGGATAATTCAGGACATGCACCAGGAAGCTTTTCGAGTTAACGAGTAGAATAGCTTACCGCCAAGGAGTCTAGGATTCATTTAAAAACAGTTTGAAACCTAATGATATAATATAATTAATGATGTAATGGTGTTGCTTGGTTAGGATATAGTTCACACTGCAGACATGGAATTGGCTTTCAAGGCACTACTAACACTGAAAGAGTTTCTGAGGGACAGTAACAGCATGCTGCCTACCTCTGACCTGCTCCGGCCTCGCCTGCTTCGCATCTTACAGAGGTTCACAATAGAAAACAACACGCAGTCAGCTAAAGGTAAATAACTGCCTTTAGATTCTCAAACGTTACTGTGTGCAAATTGGCTGCCATGTTCTAGAAAATGTAATCACTCTGCTTTACATCCTATCATAGAAACAGGAGTAGGCTATTCAGCTCCTCGAGCCTATTCTGCCATCTTATAAGATCATGACTGATCTGTACCTCAAGTCCAGTTACTCGCCCCATATTCCTTATCCCGTGAAGCACGTATCCCGTGAAGCACTTTGAGATGTGCTCCCAATGTGAAAGCGCTATACAAAATGCAAGGATTATTGTTGTGAATATTCTGTATTTGCTGCACTGTTGTTGTGAGGTTTGAACAAACCAGATATTGCTGTAACCAGTATTTCTTTCATGTAGAAAACCAGAACCTGCCATTGGTACTAGACCTTCTTTCACTGATACAGATAAAAAACAGTGACCTTGAGGAGATGGACACGATAGATTTCAAGCTCCTCTACCATGGTATGATCATTGTTCACTGGCGAAATGAAGAAGCACGATGCTTTTTTTTATCTCTGGCTTCAACTAAGTGCAGAAGGATGTTATTTGGTCCATTTTGTCTGTGTTACTTGTCATTTTTCTCTTCCTATTGTGGAGTCCTGTAGCATATTGGTTAGCGCACTCACCTCGAAAGCGAGAGGACTTGGGTTCGATTCCTAGGTAGGGTGAAACTTTAGGCAAGTTTCGTTACTCCACACGACTCTCCCAGTAGTAAGTGGGAACCCGGTTGTTAGTCGATTGGCAGATTGCTTTCCGGGGATAACAATCCCTTCAAAAAATTGCGTTACAATTGCAGCATATTCTGTGAAGCGCTTTGAGATGTCTTGAAGACATGATAAGCTTAATAATAATAATCCTTGCATTTGATATAGCGCTTTTTACGTCGGGAGGACGTCCCAAAGCGCTTCACAGAATATACTGTAAAGTGAATTGACTGTATATTTGTGGGCGAACGCGGCAGCCAATTGCGCACAGCAATGTCCCACAAACAGTCGTAGATTGAAAATGACCAATTTATTATTGTTTTGGGTTTTTTGGAGGGATTATTATTAGGCGTGTGGAGTAAGGAAACTTGCCCAAGGTTTCGCCCTGCCTGGAAATGAACCCAGGTCTCTCGCTTGCAAAGCAAGTGCTCTAACCACTGAGCTGCAGGACTCCACTTCTGTATCAAATGCAAGGATTATTATTATGTTGTATGTTGTTCTCTGGCCTAGAAACCAGTCAAACTACCTTCTCACAATTTTGTTAGTGAGCTAACCATCGGGAGCTTGTGTTGTCCTCCTCTCAATATAATACAAAATTTACATTTATATAGCAGATTTCACCTCAGGAGACTCACATTACAAGTTGCTTTATTGAAACACGCCATGTGTTGGTGCTCTATGATATAGCCCACTTGAGGACCAGAGCTCTAAATACATGATTTTCTCCAACAACTTGCATTTATATAACAACCCTTCAGTCTCACTTCACTTGTGTTTAACTGGAATCCAAAGTTTGAGTGATTGGGTTGATATTACTGATGATTCATCCTGTTCTAGAGTGCAAATTGGAAGCAGTTTATAGTATCAGATGACTAATGCCAAGGCAAACTCATCAGACTTTGAAAACCCTGAAAAAGAGCTGCTTAGCTGTTCTTTAGACCGAGCTGGTGAACAAGTGGATGAACCCCTCACTTTTCTCTTCCTAATTAGATGGTGACTAAAATCAGGAGCTCACTGACTGGGAAATCATTTGCAAAACATTGCAAAACATCAGGTTCTTATGCTGAGTATTTCTGAAGCACTGAAATGTTGAGACCTGCCTACAGGAGTGACATGATACAAGTGCATGTTGTTCATGTTGCAAGTTCCATTTTGTACCGAGTTAGTTACCTGCCTTCAGTTGGGCAATCAGTGAAGTTCTAGCGTTTGAGTTTTAGGATGCACAGTAGATCTCTGGCATACTCCTCAACTCCTCGTTTGCGAGCCGAGCGCCCGATGTTATTGGAGTCCATTAGTGGTTAGAGCACTTGTGTGCAATTGGCTAATGGGTTTTGCTGACAAAATACACAGTCAATCCAATTAACAATATATTCTGTGAAGCACTTTGAGATGCCTCAATGAAGTAATAAGGCACTTTATCAAATGCAAGGATTATTATTGTAATTGTTAAATTGTTGTCTTCTGATCCCCATTGGGGACGTGAAAGGCGCTATACAAATGTAATCTTGTTGTTGTATATTTCAGCATATGTTTTGATATCACTGCAATGCCAACAACAATGTTTTCTATGCCAGATCACACTCAATTCAGGACATAATTAGTTGCTGATCTCATTCATGCTGCTAGGGCAAACGGAGGTCTAACGTGACTTGGGATTTTCCATTACAAGCAAGTATTGAATAGATTGCTATTTTAGTGTGTGGTAGAGCTCCTTAGATAGATGCCAGTTGATTTGCTAAAGGGAGAGAAGCAAAATCAGAGGGCGATTAACTCCAGGCTCCTCTGGCATATCTTGCTGGCTGTAAAACAAAATTGGCAGAAATTTGAGTGGAAGGTTATTTTACCCTCACTGCTTAATGCATGGCACTGCTACTACTAATAATCCTTGCGTTTGATATAGTGCCTTATCACGTCTTTGACACGTCTCAAAGCGCTTCACAGAGTATACTGTAAAGTGAATTGTCTGTAAAAGGGGTGGGGGGAACTAGGTTCTTAAAACAATAATTAAAGGTTACATACATGTGGTATACTGAGAAAATTGTAAAATGTCATAATCTGTTAAATCTCCAAATCTGACTGGGTTACATGTTTCCAAAGACAAATCAAACCATTTTTGTCATCTTCTGTTACTTCTAAGATTACTGTTCTCTTAAACCCTAAATTGATAGCGTTTTAACATAAAAAAACACAGTGAATGGGTCATTTCATTCTTTTGAGTACAATCAGGGTTTATGTAAGAATTCTAACACTTGCTGCATTGGAAAGCAGAGCAATCCTCAACTATGTCTATGCTGTTTGTTCTGTTATAGTAAGTAACTTAGCTGGAAAGTGCAAAGCCTTGAATCCAAGATCCTGGAGCCTGCATTTAATTTCTTCTACTGCAGTTTGAAACAGACCTCGACTTACAATAAGAGCAGAGGTAATATTTTTTTTAAAAAAAGTGTCACGCAATCCTGCACCTTTGCGTATGTCTCTTGTAAATTGCAGCCAAGCAATTGCCACAGTCAATTTATTTACCCGCCTTTGTCCATCTGTAAAGCAAAACAGCTTTCATATGTAATAAAAAGGTGTCTCTCCTGTTGTCTTTAATCCTTCGTTGTTCCTTTACAAGGTAGCACAAATCTTCCCTCACTCCTTTTCTCTTCAACCGTGCCTCAAATCACAATCTTTTAATCTCCCTCTAGCTTGCTCGGTGCCGACTGCTACCTCTGTTCTTTGAGAGACATTAGCACATTAGACCCCCGTTAATGTGTAGACAATGTTTATGTTTTTATACATCAGCCTCTGCCCCTACCCTTTGGAACTCCATCCCACACTCCCTTTGCTTCACTGCCTTCCTTGCCTACTTCAAGACCCATCTCACGACCCTCCTCTTCGACCATGCGTTCGGTCACCCTCCTACCCCTATTCTCTCTCTACACCCTCCTGCTCCCAACCCCCAGCTCGGGTCCAAATCCCTGACTGTCCAGCATCTTGAGACATCCTCCCTACATGAAAGGCGCTTGTCATTTGTTGTTGTTATACATGTCATTAAAGATAGGTAGAAAGTGGAGGGGGTGAGAGCAGGGGTTAGGGTCAGAACTTAAACATGAAATGTAAAGTAATAAGATAAATACCACAACATTATTATTGCTGCATAAAATCTGAGCTCTCACTGAAACACCTCTCGAATGGCAGCACTTATGTTTAATGTAAAAATATTGATATGAACCATGTTATCTTTTGTTAATTACTGTAATTGTGACAATAATTATTTCAGTTTAAAGCTATTGCTGGATTCACGCTAGCAACAAGAAGTGTACAGTTTGTTGAACTTTACATGTTACTCACTCCAAAGTGTTAGCATTTAAAAAACGTTCATGGTTTTCGCTTTCCCTAACCCTGGAAAGGCCATAGACAATTAGCCTCCCCGTGGATCAACTTACTCAAGAGAGGCCTGATAGCAGGTTCATCCTCTGTTAGGAAACAGTGCGATTTGAAGGCCCTAAAGAGAGAGGACACATTGAAATCGATTGGGTATTTATTTAGTATAAAGTGCACTGCCAAATTATGATCCCGTATTTATTTCTATTGGTTTCTGTGTGAAAGTTTCTACAATGTAATTACTGTTAATTCCGCAGTTGTGTCCACGCTGCTCTCCAACTGCTCTCTGATGGAATTACTGGAGAAGATTTTAGACCTGAGCTGGTCAGAGCAGGTGAATCCCGAACCCCCCTCAGATACCCTCATCTGTTCCGGCTGGTTATTAACAGGGTCTTTAATCCAAAACCACGCCAACTGTGGGTCTGAGGTCAGTATTCCAGACAAATTAAGTACACCAATGCTATATTTTATCTGATAGAGATATTTACGAAGCAGAGTGGACCTTTCTCTTTGACTGTGCCTTCACTCATTACCTCCTTCATTACCTTCCCTGCCCTCCCTCCACCCCTCCTGATCCCAAACCCCAGCTCGGGTGCATATCCCTGACTGTCCAGCCCCTTGGGACATCCTTCCGATGTGAAAGGAGCTATATATGTAATGTGTGGTTGTGTTGTTGGAGTGAAGGACCAGCAGAGATACTGTATATTCACACATAACTAAGAATACTTTTAAGTTTTTTTTTAATCCATTCTTCGTTTGTTTAAGATCTTAGGATTTGTAGAGTCACAGTAATCTGCAAAAAATTCAAAAACATTTAGCAAGTTATAATATATTATCCCTCGTGCCTGTGTTCTTGTAGCCAGCAAAGACACAATGGACTAAATGGCCATAAATTTCTATGGTTCTCTGGGAACAAAGAAAATGAGGTAACTCACAAGGAGGAAGGAGTTATTTTGCTTAGAATGGGTGGAGACAAACACAATAGGACATTCATAATGAGTATAGACACAGTCCAGCACACTCATTATTGTCCCTTCGTTCCGGAGTGTTAATTATAAATAGAAAAACAAATTGAAGTCACAGACAAGCTTGCACGTTTCGTCAGCTAACAAACTGAGAGGAAATAAAACAATTTGAGTCTTGCCTGGATGGAGCATGTCATTGGCAGAAATGTGATACTTGTCTGTGGATTGATTCCACAGGTTCACAGGACAGTCGGTGTGAACTTAGATAAGCTCCTTCATGGCATCAGCTTCAGAAAGAAGACAAGCTCACTGCTGCAAGGTGCCTTCTGTTTCTTTATTCTATTCTAAGTAAATCGCTTGTTTAAGGTCCATCTCGAGACCTGTCTCTTTGTCGGCACTTTTTGGTCACTTCCCTGTCACAACCCTCTCGGCTCCCATCCCCTTCTCAGGCGCCAAACCAAGAACGTTAAATGCAAGTTGTTATTGTAGTTGTTGTTTGAGGCAGTTATCAGGACCCACTGCATTTGTTAGGCGACTGTTCCACCTCATGTTTCTCCCTCCTAATGTACAACCATAATCCTCCTTGCATTTGATATAGCGCCTTATCACATCTCCAAAGCGCTTCACAGAATGTACCACAAGCGAACTGATGAAACTGGTTTTATCCTGTTATTGAAAATGTTTTGGATTCAGTAAGAGATTTTCAGGTGTTTTCAGCTTTTCCAGTCATTTATTGATCCCCCCCCTCCCCAGTGTGTTTTCTTCAGTTTTTGCAGATATTCCTGAGACACAACCTTGAATCTCCTCTGCTCACTCTCACCGTCTCCAACACCAAGCGCTGCCCACTGCAGGATCAAGAGGCTGAGCTCTACCCCTCTCCTACCACCAGGTCTTCTCAGTTTTCATCCGTCTGCAGAATTTACTGGCCCAGGTAAAGATATTAGCCCAAAAGATAAAGATCAGAGTCTTGCTTCAGTGAGATTGAATATGTATTTCTAATAATAATAATCCTTGTATTATCACAGCTTTGAGATGTGCAAAGCGTTTCGCAAAATATACTATAAAGCAAATTCACTGTATATTGTGTGGGTGAAATGCGGCAGCCAATTGCACACGGCGGTGTCCCCACAAACAGTCATGGATTGAGTGACCAAGTTATTATTTTTTTGAAGGAGTTATTATTACCCCTGGAAAAGTGATCCGCCAGTCGACTAGCAACCGGGTTCCTACTTACTGCTGGGTAAAAGGAGGTGTGGAGCAAGGAAACCTGCCCAACATTTCGCCCTGTCAGGATCGAACCCAGGTCTTGCATGCAAGGCGAGGGCTCTAACCGCTAAGCTACAGGACTCCACGTTTGGATGTGAGAGGAAGGATGCACTGTGCGTGTGTGTGATCATGGGCCTCTCTGTGCGAAAGCATGTCCTCTTAGTACAGTGCAGTAACAAAACCCCCGATTGATAAATATTCTAACATTGCTAAACAATAAAGCCCCAAAATAAAATCAGAAGCCTTAATTGTATTATATTATTCTGCTATGTTTCGTGTTACACCACTCAATCATATGCTGCTCCTGTCGGTCGGCAGCTGTGAGCATTCAGGAGTGCGTGGGCGATTGGAAGAAACTAACAGTTAATAGTTCCCTCAAAGGTTGTTACTTTTCATTGTAGGGAGATGAGCTGCTTCTCTATTCCGCTATTGGGTGTCTGGAAGCATTGATGCAATACTTACACAAGATGAGCAAGGTCACAGGTATTGTAAGCTTCCCTGGAGAACTGATCATTGAATTCACTGACTCCTGAGCACTGCTTGTCTTTATTGTCTTTTGCCTGGCCCCTGCACAGCTTAGTGGGTTTATAAAATCAGTGGTGTGTACGTTTTAGTCTGAGGATTACTGAGAGAAAATTATTGTAGCTCATGGCTAATAATTCGAGTGATTAAAACTGAATTTCATATTGAAGTATCTACTGCTTTTACCGGTAAAAATATGAGTTTTTTNGTAATGTTATACCATGTTAGGAAACAATACTCAAATACATCAACGGTTATAGTTAGATGACAGAACCTAGCGTCCTTGGGAACATAAGCTTCAGTTTCTGATGTAAGGCATGTCTCAGGCACACTGCAGATGCATCAGTTAACTGGTACGTATGTATATCCCCTACAGATATGTCAAAATGGGTGATGTTGATTTCTGACTTTGGGGTACATTAAGCCTCTGGTTATAATAATATTAATGCTTGCAGTTGATATAGCGCCTTAGCACCTCCTTGAGACGTTTCAAATAGCTTCACAGAATATAGTGTAAGGTGAAGTGAATTAATTGACTGAAGTGAATGATGTATATTTTTGTGAGCGAAATATAAAATGTTTAGGTTGTTTGTGGGAGCTGAGTGTGAGGGGTGCTTTGTATAGTTTCCATTAGAGAGGCACCGTAAGTAAAGCATATTGGCCCAAAGGTTGAGGTGCAGTGCATATATACCATCAGTGCCTTGGGACGTCCTCCTGATGTGAAAGGCACTATACACATGTCATTTCATATTGTATAAGGTTAACACTCAAACAGGTTTTGTCGTACATGGGTTTACGGCGGAGACGCATGGTTTGTGATGTTGACCTGTGACGTTCATGTGGCTCCTGTGTAAGATCTTCCTGGTTCTGCCCATGTCTTTGATAATAGGAGACCGAGCCAGTTCTTGCGATAGTTAGCCAGTCCATTGCTGACAGCAGCAGTACAGCCAGTTTCCCATGTTGTTTAAGTTCATATGTAGGGCTCCCTTAAACCAATTCCATTTCTCTCTCTCTTCTTGCTTCTCAAAGTTCGTATCCTCCTATCCTTGACTAAATGAGGAATCTGCCCTTTGTTTTGAATGGTCCAGACAAATCCGCACTGCGCCAACTGTGCACAGTGGCAGTGTATTCCATAACTTAACATTCGAGAGAGAGAGAGAGAGAGACTTACTCTCCAGGTCATATTTAGCAGGAAATTTCCTTCAGCAATTTGGCTGTATGCCTCCTTCAACCAGATGCTGTTGGCTACTCTAAAGCAGGGATTCATGTATCATATGTAGACATTTAGACTTACAGTTTACAAGAGGTAAAAGACTAGCTACTTACAGTCCTTTGTGCTATGTATAAGATCTTTTTCATGGTCAGCCGGGTGTCTGCAACACCGTGCTTAAGAGTATGAGATTCCCAGGCACATGAAAATCGCAGAGATAGATTCTTGTAATGGAATGCTCTCGCTCTCTCTCTCTCGCTCTCTTTCCCTCAAGGAACACATCCTGCTTACCTAATTCCGTAAAATATTAGGCATAGGTTGGGAAGAGCCAAGGCTTGCGGGAGCCCAGAGTGTGTGTTTGGGTAACTGCTGGAGTCTGATATTTATAGACTAATTACGAGTTCATTTAACAATTTACTTTGTATTTATAGCTTCCCACTTGGTCTCTCAGCCCTGGAGTCGGTTCCTGATATTCACTATGTTGAGCTCTTCTGAGAATTGCATCAATGCCGGGTTTCTTAGACTCCTTACTTTGGTAAGCAATATTAACACTCGCTTCTCCAATTTCCATTGATGTGAACACTGAACAAGGGAATAGTTAGATATAATATGTGATGCGGGGTCTACTGTCACAGTTATAGCATCGTTATAGTACAGGCAAAGTAGCCGATAAAGTCTGCCCAGTGTGTTTCTCCACTGACTCTAATCCCACTCTGCTGTTTTGCTGCCCATATAGTTTAATATTCCCTCTTGGTGAGCATCTATCTAACTCACTTTTAAAAGAATTCACAAACTCCATTCCATCAAGGATTTGTGGCAGAGAAGCAATGTTTTCTAACCTCTCCTCTGATTCTTTTTGTGATTATCTTATCTCCGGAACACTCTCTCTCTCTATCCCTTCATCTTGCTCCTTCCTTCCCCAACCTCAGGTCCCTCCTGAAGACCTTCGGTCACCTCCTCACTCCCCCGGCTCAGTGTCGTGTTCCGCCACTGTCAAGCGCTCTGGGACTTACCCTGTGTGAGTGACGCTGTATAAATGCAAGGTGTTATCTTAAATCTGTGCCCTATTTGTTGCTGCGTTCTTGTAACAATCTATTATCTACAGTGGCTTTGTGATCTTGAAAGACAGCTCAGTCATCCTCATGAAACCATTTTGTGTGGTTGGACATAGCACACAGTGAAGGTGTTTTTNCCTCAGCTGGTGTTTGTGGTTTACATTTGTTTTTATTTACACAGTTTCTGAAATATTGCAGCAAGAATATTATTTCAGAGTCGGACGTGAGCCATGTCCTACAGATGGCAGGAAACCTGAAGGTGGAGGAATTGAGCAGTGCCACAGCTGAGGCTTTGATCCTCTTCCTGAACCAAGTAATAATAATAATTCTTTCAGCATTTGACAATTGTCTTACCACGTTGTTGAGACGTCTCAAAGCACTTCACAGAACAATGCTAAATTCTCTGTTCCCCTCGCAGTGGCAGCTTCTGTTGAGAATACGGGTCAACTGTTGTCAACTGCACTTATCAAATAACTCAAGTTGGTTCATTTAGAAAGACGCCAGCGCAATAGTGGACAGCACTTCCATGCCAGACTTGGTGTTTGTCAAATAAAACATTAACGCTGAGGTCTTGCTGCTGGGTTGGTTTGGGTGGATGTTAAAGATACCGTGACACTATCCAACAAGAGAAGTGAGCTCCTCCTGATGTTTGTTGGATCACTAAAATTCCAACCCGATGACGCAGAATCAAGTGGAAAGCTGTCTGGTAAAGTGAGTCAGCCTTCCGTGAGCATGCGGTGACTCAAGAAGTGTTAATCAATGTTTGTGTCCTGTTGCCATTTTATCTCCCCACAAATACTGTTACAACTGCGTATAACTTTGCACAGTGGGATAAGCGTAAGGCTATACATTTGAATTTTCTCCCGTCACTTATATTGTAAAAAACAAGTTGCTCAACTGCTGTGTTAGTTGCAGAGCGGCAAAGCCTCCTGCCTGGATCAGAAAGTCAAGGCCATTACTGGCTCCTTACTGGAGAAGCTGCAAAGCAGGTCCTCGTTTCCACCAGACACCAGGAAAATTGTGTATCCTTTACTCGATCTGTATGCTCTTATCAGCTTGTCAAGATCTAATAGCAGTTGATCTAATGATCCCTGTCAGAAAGTGTGTGTGAGAGGCAGGATTGTACTTGGCAGTGAATCCGTTCTATGTCCCTTGTCCTGACAGACTTGCGAGAGGTCTGAAAGCGATGCCTTAGCCTGAGGAACTATAGTCGAGATTGAAGCACTGAGGAGTGGATGGAGAAAAGAAAGTTATAGTATTAATAATAATCCTTACATTTTTAATCATTCGTAATTCCTGCCATCCGAAGCATCATGTTAAACAGGCAATAAAGTGTTCCTTTCGTCTGCTTTTAACAAATATCCTGGTGACACCACAAATTGTGGCTCGTGAGCAGAACTACATCTGGCCCTGCTTCACAACTGTTAAGTGGCTTTATCTTTAAACAGCATTGGAAAGCCTGCAAAATACCCTATGCGGGTGTGTACGGGGTTTTATGTTCTATTGAAAAACTTGCGTGAGAATTGTTCTGCTTTGTGGCGCTGACGCCTGAAGCCAAGTGCAGTCTCCGCTTTGTGCTCAGTTGAACGCGAGAACATAAGAATTTGCTAGTTTGTCTCCCACCATCCTGCCAGTCACTTTACATGCAGTGTCCCAAACTATATACTGTATCCCAAGATACTATTTTCTAGCAAAAAATCTCTCTTAATTGTCTTGAAACAAACGACAGACTTGACAGGTGCAGTATAGAAAATGCTCCAATTGGCATCAGTATTCCTGAGCTACGGAGGTGGGTGGGGGGAGTGAACTTTCTACTTGAATGCTGTTCAATGCACTATGCGGGAAAGGAAAGGGCAGAAAGGTGCTCGTCAAGACAGCATCAGGTCCCAGTTTGCCATTCTACTCTGTTGAATTAGCTGATCTCAGGTTTGCTTACTCCACACGCCTCTGATACCGAGCAGTAAGTAGGAACCCGGTCATTAGTCGACTGGCGGATTGCTTTCCTGGGGTAATAATTCCTTTTTTTTACAAAAAAATTGGTCATGCAATCCACGACTCCTGGGACACTGCTGGCTGCCGCGTTTCGCCCACAAAATATACAGTCAATGAGACTTCTAGAAGATGTGATAAGGCGCTATGTCAAATACAAGGATTCTTATGCAGTGAACCTTTTGAAGCAGCCACGGTTGGATCGAAGCCCGGAGGATATTTTGTCACATGTCTGAACTGAGTTGTGTGTCGTAATTAATTAATCTAGTTATTTTCTTTAACCAAGTGCTATAGATTTTTTGGCGGGCTAGCCGTGTGCCTGTCAGACATCTCATCGGTTGCAACCAGGAGATAGAATGAAAGAACTTAAATCGTTTTCTCTTGTTAAGAGACTAAAACTAATCTTGTTTCTACAACATGAGCTCCCACAGCTCCCCACAGAGCATTATTGCGCTTGCTTTAAGGATGAATAAACTGATTCATCTTGCATAAAAATGGTACAAATCTCATTTGATTGAGGAAAGTGAAGATTCTGCTACTGATCATATTTGGTTTGGTTTATCCTCTGATGTGCCTGTGTCTGATCGATATGAACATGAGGCATAATGGAGAGGTAATGATTGAAGTGCTCAACCAAGGCCTTTGGCTTCCTAGACACCTTTTGATGTCTGATTAAGCAACTGGGAGCAGAAGCCTGGGAGCAGATCGCGCACACATTCCTGTCTAGTTGAAGATGAGTGTGAGAGGAGTCTCAAACAAAGGAGAACTGCTGGGTGGAGCTCATGTGGCATATAAACACAATCACAAATGAGTTGGTGGTGATAGCCTGTCTTGGTGCTGTGCAGTTTGTAAACTCAGTGGGCTGAAATTTCCCCTCCTTAGCTGTAGTTTTGTGCCTTCCATTCCACCACTTTCAGCCACGACGCCTCGAAACTCTTCCTCTATCCCTCCACCTTGCCACCTCCTTCCCCATCTTCAAGTCATGCCTGAAGAACTTCCTCTGCAACTGTGCCTACGGTCACCACCCCCCGGCTCGGTGTTGTGCTCCGCCACCATCAAGCGCTCTGGGACACTGCCCTGCTTGAGGGGCGCTGTGTAAAATACACGTTGTTACTGTCATTTAAATTCTGAAGCAACCAGTGCCTAATATTGCAAACCCTGTCAAAAATGTATTGATGCTTGTGTGTTCTGTCTCTGAAAATGAGATATACTTGTCTTTGTCTTCCAATGTCGTTACAAAAAAAACATAAAGTGCACTTCGGTGACTGGGGAGCAATAAACAGACTGGAGCAATTGTTCAGCAATTACTTTCCTGATTTGCTTTTTTTTAAGCTCGCTTACTCAGATTTCAGAGGCCAAGCCAGAAGATAAATCGATTCTGCTAACCTGACAGAATAGACGATGAACTCATCATCAAGCTAGTGCACTTGACTGCAAATCATAAGAGTGAGTTTGTATCTCAGAGCGACCTGGATTCAAAAGCGTCGGTCTTGTTGGGTGAGTTTAACGCCAACATGCACTTATATAGCAGCACAGCGTCTAAATTGATTATCAATTGAGCTTTTAGTTGGTACATAGAAATAGGAGGAGGCCATTCAGCCCCTTGAGCCTGTTCCGCCATTCTATAAGATCGTGGTTGATCTGTACCTCAAGTCCAATTACCCGCCTTTACCCCATATCCCTTAATATTGCCTGATCTGTCCACCTCAGTCTTGAAAAAGGGAATGGATCCAGCCATAATCCACAGCCTTTTGGAGGAGGCAGTTCCAGATTTACAGGCTGAATCTTGTTGGATATACAGGTGACCCAGTAATGATGAGCCAGAGAGAGGCAGGAGATGTTAAACTAGATGTTAAATCGCCATGTTTAGGTGGACAGGCCAATATTGGCTAGTAGGTCACAGAGGTAGGGAGGAGCAAGGCAGTGGAGGGCTTTGAAAGTGAGACACAATGGATAGAAATGTGGGGTAGGGGGAGTTGAAATAAGGATTTGTTTACTGTGTCCAACTCATTTATTGTCCAGCACAGTACAATACAATTTGTTCCTTCAAGCCGCCAGGCATTCTGAAAGCTTTCCAGGTGGGAATCGCTGGTCTGAGATCTATTGTCATTGCTTGTTTGAAGAAAGTCAGTGCGAAGTGCCAGTTCTCATTTCCTGCAGGAAAACTCAAGTTGTGAGAACTGTGGAACAGAACTGCACTTAAACACTGGTGAGATTAGAACTAATGAACAAAACAGTGGAAAGCAAACAGAAACTGTTTGTTCTTAAATCTATCCTAATCACCATATCCCCGAGCTTGTAACTACTCAAGGAATAATAACATTACTATTGATGTTCGAGAATTGGAGGCAATTTTCCACTATTGACTTCAGTCCTTTAGAACTTAATTACTCTTGTTGGTGCGCCAGTCAAAGCTAAAATGCTATTTGGCTGTCAATATAAGGTCAGTGTGTTAAAATAAAATGCCATGGATCTCATCCATGCATTGAGGGTAGCGGGTAAATCAATGAGAATGCAACCCTTCGGGCAAAAGAACCAGAGGAGACATTTTTNAACCAGAGACTTGTTATGGACTCGGGACATCCTCCCGACGTGAAAGGCGCTATACAAATGTAATTTTGTTGTTGTTCAGGAATGCATGTTGGAAGCAGATTCGATAATATAATAATCCTTGAGTTTGATATAGCGCCTTATCACATCTTCGAGACGTCTCAAAGCGCTTTCAAAAAAGAATTGGATAGGTACTTAAAAAGGAAAAAAATTGAGGGCTGTGGGGTAAGAGCGGGGGGGGGGGAGGGGGGGGGATAGTGGGACTAGTTGGTAGTTCTTTCAAAGAGCCGACACAAGCACAATAGGCCGAATGACCTCCTGCTGCGCTTTTAAGATTTTGTAAGAACCCACGAGCTTATTCCATAAAAATGGTATTAGCAGCAAATCATCTAATGCGTGTGCCAGCCAGCCTCCACTTTTGTTTCAGTTCAAACTGCTGGAAATCACAGAGTCTGTTTTGCAGAGCTTCATCGAATTAATGTTGCTCTACCATAATTTATAAGCTCAACAACCATGCGGAAATCAAGGCTGTGGACAGAATACTCACCCCGCACTGCAGGATTCCAATCGCAAACGGGTAAACTTCCAAACATCACGACTCTTTAAATATTAATACTATTGTTGCTGCGGTGGATCAAAACACATTGAAGAAAGAAATCCGCCTACAACAAGCACAGGCACAAGTAGCCATCACGCAGAGAATATTTGGTGCAATGAAACTCCCAAATATTGGTGTCCAAACTACGGTTTCGTTGGCCTTAACCCATGGGCAAACCATGTTCAAATGCACCCAAGGACAGGAGAAGGCAATTTGGTAAAGTTTCTTTACTCCACACGCCTCTATTTAACTGGCAGTAAGTAGGAACCTGGTTGTTAGATGATTGGGGAATTGCTTTACAGGGTAATAATCCCTTCAAATAAATAGAAAAATTATAATTTTGTCACTCAATGCATGACTGTGCGCGGGACACTGGTGTGCGCAATTGGCTGCCGCATTTGGCCAAAAGAAATACAGTCAATCCATTTCACAGTGAGTGTATTCTGTGAAGTGCTTTGAGACGTCCATCTCAGCTACGTGGTTCGGCGCTATATCAAATGCAACGGTTACTATTCTAATTTATCACAGCAATGGGTTACCCCACAATTGTCGTATTTGTGGCCATTTGGCAGTATTGTAGAAGGATTGCGTTATTTATTTCCCTGCTACACTCAATGCACGGATGAGATCCATCCATTCTTGTTTCACACACTGTGAGTAAGACTGCTTGGTTCTCTGCCCATAACCAGCCCATAACTAATACATCAATTTCATTCCCATTCTCATTGATCATATAATATTGTTTTCTGGCCGCAGGCCACACTATCAGAAGCAGTGGGGATCTGATCTAAGGCCAATTTCCTACAGAATAAATCATTTGGCTGGCACCTTACTACACAATATAAATAATTTGCCTGGCACCTTGCTGCACTAGTTTTGTCTAATTCCTCTTTGATTACTTTTTGGGGGCAGTTAATTTGTGCCCAGCCATGGCACTACATAGAACATTACAGCACAGAGACAGGACATTTGGTCCAATTAGTTCGAGCCTGTGTCCACATAAGCCTTGACCCCCTTCCTGATCCCCTCTGTTTCACTGCACCGCTCTATTCACTCACTCCATGGCTATTTGAGGGACTCTGCTGTGAGCAGCTTCCTGCCGTGTCTCGCCCACAAAATACTCAGTCACTCCACTTTACACTATATCCCGTGAAGCGCTTTGAGACGAGATGATAAGGCGCCGTATCAAATGCAAGGATTATTATTAGTATTATTACCTTCAACTGTTCTGCCGGTTAATTAACTATTCACTTTCATGGCCGCTTGCTGTGCGGAAAAAAATTGGTTGCCGCGTTTCCTACAAAGGCACAGGTCACTACGCTTGACAGCATTCGCGTGCGAGATGCTTCGTTCGATCACACAGTCACTGTGTCAGAAAGCGAGGGCTGGTTGCTAAGAGCGCAGAGTAAATAAATTTCATAAAAAGCCTCACAGAACAATTGCACGGGGCTCACGGCAAACCTCATTAAAACCTGTATTGCTCCCGAGGGCAGCGTTAGAGATCAGTGATGCATTGCAGCATTGAAAGGGTTTAAAATCTGCCTTTTTTTTATTCCACTGGCATCCTGAAGCTCTGTCTACGCTAGACAAGCAGTGTGAAGGCACAAGTGAGGGAGCATACCACACAGCGTTTAAGAGACTGTGAGCAATGCTGGAATGTATGAGGAGGTTAGAAGCTGGCATTTCTGTTCGAAGGGCTCGTTGATTATAACTCACGGCAGTTACCCACCGCGTTAATATTTCCTCGTGAACAACTGAACGTAAGTTTCGCTCTTACACCGGCTCTTAAGTTGCAATGATTATGCGGAGAGGCTTTTGAAAGGGACATGTCGCACCTCTTTGTTATCGAATTCTTACGATAGAATTCAAATGCTGTGAATTTACATTGCATATACTTTAATTATATGTGGCTTTGTGTTTACCTCTATTGTATGTATATTTGTAAGTATGTCTGTGTATTCATGTATGTACTTGATTGACAATAATTCTTACATTTGATACAGCGCCTTATCACATAGTTGAGACGTCTCAAAGTGCTTCATAGAATATATTGTAAAGATACTTGTGTATGTGTATATATATATACATATTTGTGTGTGTTTATGAATGTATTTATGTATGTATGCACGCATACATATGTTCAGTATGTGCCTGTGTTTATGAATCATGTGTTGTGTGTGTATTTATATATCTATGTGGTTGTTTGTAGAGAGAACTAGTGTTGGCTTTTTGATGGATAAACTAGCCGAGCCACGAGTATTTACAGAATTTACACAGAGATGGACAGGTAGATAGGTAGTTGTGCTGTGTGGGGGAGGGGGGTGGGTGGTGTGTTTGTGTGTGTATGTGTGTGTATGTGGGTGGGTGAGGGAGCATATGTGTGAGGGAGAGTGTGTGTGTACCTGAGGGAGTGCTTGTGTATGTGTGGGAGAGTGAGGGAGTGTGTACGGGTGGGTGGGTGGGTGGGTGAGTGAGGGAGGATGTGCGTGTGTGGGAGAGGGTGTTTGTGCGCGCGGAGTCCTTTTCAATTTTTCAGAGAGAAGCACTGAATGTTTTACTTCCCCAGAATTTTACTCACCTCTTACTAACCCGCAAAGCCCAACAGCCAGCCGCGAAGATGTCAGACGACTGGAGTGTCTCAGAAAATCCGGAGTTTAAGCCAGGAAGCATCACTGTCCCGGTCATCTTCTCCCTGATCTTCCTGCTCGGGACAGTGGGGAACGGTTTAGTCCTGGCCGTTTTGCTGAGGAACGGGCAGATGAGCTACAGCACCACCAACCTCTTCATCTTAAACCTCAGCATCGCCGACCTGTTCTTCATCATCTTCTGCGTGCCCTTTCAAGCTACCATCTACACACTGGATGGATGGGTGTTCGGCTCATTCATGTGCAAAGTCGTCCACTTCTTCATATACCTCACCATGTACGCCAGCAGCCTGACCTTAGCTGCTGTGTCTGTGGACAGGTAAGTGTCCTGTGGCATAGTGGCTAGAGCACTCGCCTCGCAAGCGAGAGGACAGGGCGAGACATTAGTAGTCAGGAAACTTGCCTAGACACACGCCTCTGCTTACTTAGCAGTAATTAAGGAACTCGGTTGTTAGTCGATTGGTGGATTGCTTTCCAGGGGTGATAATCCTTTTTTAAAAAAAAACTCGCCTTTAATAAAGTGCCTTATCACATCATTAAGATGTCTCAAAGCCCTTCACTGGATGTGCTCTAAAGTGAAGTGAGACTGTATGGCTCGTGGCTGAAAATTATTTATTATCCGGGTTTGTGCGCAATTGGCCTCCGCACTTTGCCCAGAAAATACACGATCAATCCAACTTTACAGTATATTGTGAAGTGCTTTGAAATGTCTCAACAAAGTGATAAGGAGTTCTATCAAATGCAATTATTATTAATATTATTATTTATAATCAAGTTGAGTTGGAGTAATTAATCCACTCTACCACACTAGCCCAAAGCTTTGTAGGAAAAACATTCCCCTGGTGCCAGGCAAATCACGCCTTCACCTCACGTATGTTCATAAATGATAGCACGATGTTAGCAATCTTTTGATGGCCGGAGAGACAATCAATAAGTACAGCAGATGCAGTCAATAGAGACTTCATAAATAATACAGTGAAGGTTGCTTCAAGCTTATATACGTGTAGATGTCTTGCCAGCACATCTCGCTGGGCTTTGAAGAGACGACCTTCAAAGGATGAAACGACTAATATTCAGAAAGGAGCTTTATCATTAACCAAGGAATAGAGAGATAGATACATGGTCCAGCCCCCTCATTATTTGTGGACTTATTGTGGAGTCCAGTAGCTCAGTAGTTAGAGCACTCGCTTTGCAAGTGAGAGACCTGAGCTCAATCCCCGGCAGGTCAGGGTGAAACCTTGAGCAAGTTTCCTTACTCCACACAGAGCCTAATAATAATCCCTCCAAAACCAAAAACAATAATAAATTGGTCATTTTCAATCTACGACTGTTTGTGGGACATTGCTGTGCGCAATTGGCTGCCGCGTTCGCCCCAAATATACAGTCAATTCACTTTACAGTGTGTTCTGTGAAGCGCTTTGGGACGTCCTCCCGACGTGAAAAGTGCTATATCAAATGTAAGGATTATTATTATTATTATTTATTCTCCGCAACCCAAAGCATTGAATGTCAATGAGCTAAGACGTAGACAATCCCAGGGTCACATTTACATAACCTCTAATCAAAACAAACTTTGCTCCATATCCTCTTATTATTAACATTGTGGAGTCCTGTAGCCTAGTGGTTAGAGCATTTGCCTCGCAAGCGAGAGAGCCCGGGTTTGATTTCCAGGTGGGACAAATCCATAGGCAAGTCCTGTAGCCTAGTGGTTAGAGCATTTGCCTCGCAAGCGAGAGAGCCCGGGTTTGATTTCCAGGTGGGACAAATCCATAGGCAAGTTTCTTACTCCATACGCAGGCCTAAGTAGGAAGCGGTTGTTAGTCGATTGCCGGTTCCCTCAAAAATAATACTAATTTGGTCGTTCAATCCATGATTATTTGTGGGATGTCCCTGTGAGGAATTGGTTGCCGTGTTTTGCCCACAAAACACAATTCATTTTACAGCGTATCCCGTGAAGCGCTTTGAGATGCCTCGAAGACATGATAAGGAGCTGGGTCAAATGCAAGGATTAGTATTATTATTATTATTGTCCCCAGATACCTGGCGATCAGATACCCGCTGAAGTCTCGTGATCTCCGCACGGCACGGAATGCGGCGGGTGCTATCGCGGTGATCTGGGCCCTCTCGATCATCTTTGCCGGGCCTTACCTGAGCTACTACCAAATCGTCCACTATAACGGCGTCCCCATCTGCATGCCCATCTGGGAGGACCGGCGTAGGAAGATCATGGACATTTCGTCCTTCGTGTTCGGCTACCTGATACCCATGGCCATCCTGAGCCTGGCTTACGCCAGGACCATCAAGTTCCTGTGGACCTCGGTGGACCCCATCGAGACCATCTCGGAGTCGAAGAAAGCGAAGCGCAAGGTGACCAAGATGATTATTATCGTGGCCGCTCTCTTCTGCCTCTGTTGGCTGCCCCACCACCTGATCATCATGTGGTTCTGGTTCGGACACTTTCCCTTCATCAAAGCCACCTATGTCTTCAGGATCGTGGCCCACTGCATGTCCTACGCCAACTCCTGCCTCAACCCCATTGTGTACGCGCTGATTTCCAAGCATTTCCGCAAGCGTTTCAAGCAGGTGTTCGCCTGCCTGCTCAAGAAGAAGAGCAAAGCAGTCAACAACAAGGTCCATGTTGTCCATGTGGCCAATGTGGGATTCTTCCCCACCAACACTGAGGTTTCACAGATCAACGAGGAGAACTGTAAGATCCTGCGGACGGGCGGGACAGAAGACGAGACGGGGCCGGGTCAACAGAGACGTTCCCTGAGACAGCACGTCCCACGCTGTCCCTAGATCGAGCCACAGAGCTGATGAAATTGCCAGCAGATCTTTTTCCTTTGTCCGGTCATGGCAAACGGGCGAGTGAGCCAGAGCCAGGCTGGAGAGTTCCAGAAGGATCCTAGCTACTCTGTCTCAAGAGTTACTCTTTGGAGTGAATAAACTGGGCCTCTTGTTAATAATATATTATCTCTGATATCGTGCAGCTACACTTGCGAACAAACAACCGTCAGAAATAACAGAACCGAACAGCTGGTCTTTTGATCCAAGAGACTGAAAAGTCTTGTGCTGTGGACCCTGTGGACTTTGATGGATCCCATCAGGGCCATTGTAGAATTCAAGAGGAAGGGAATTATCCAAAGCGTTCATCCTAGTCGCTGACCTCTCCTGCCTTAATTGGCTGCCAAACCACCGCCCCTTCTCACCATCGCGTAATTGTCATTGGCTTCTTGTCCTGCTGCCAGCTGTGACTGTTGACCCCAACCGTGCCTTCGATCAGCCTCCTTCCTCACCCCTCCACTCTCCCCGATTCCGGCCGCCCCGTGTCCAGCGCCTTGGGACATCCTCCTGACGTGAAAGGCTGTACCCGTGTAAAGTTGTTGTTGTTGTACGGCACTTTAAGAAGGAGTGGGACGCTCTATCTAACCCTTTTCCTTCAGTGCTCTCCCTGCTCAGTCCTTGGAGTGCTGCTACTTGTTATGTTCAACTGTGTTCCTTTACGAACAAAGCAATGGAAGATCCACAACCCATCAGCCTATTTGGTCGGCCGACAAAATAAATGTCCTTGATCGAATATTTCTTGGTTCACACCACGGATCAGGAAAAATGTATTCATTCAAGAAAAACCCGGAAACATGCTACCCATTTGATCGAACATGGACTTATCTAGACAAGTGGGGTGGTGGGGGGGCTTCTTGAGGGCTCCATGAGCCACTTTCGGAGGCCAATTTCAACGACTTTTCCCAAAAAGAGTAAATCTAGACCCATTTCATCCTGAAGATGGGGAGGGCAGAAGGGGTGGTGGGGGGGGGAGGAGAGAGAGATAGAGAGGAGGTGACTCTGCAGTGATTTAAGAGCGAGATGGCTAGATACTTGAGGTGGGGGGTGGTATTGGTGGTAAAATTATGGAGTAATATGAAGAGGAGGTGGCCTATATTGTCAGAATCATTATGAACTGAATGTCGCAATCTTTCTCTCTTGCTTTGATCCTGTGTTGCTGCGATCACTGTTTGAAATCCAGCCCAGTTTGCTGTTGCTTCTTCTGCTATTCATAATCTGTTGATGTGAGCATGCAACCTAACCTCTGTCCCCCCCACCCCCACCGCCCCCTCCATCTCCCCCATCTCCCCGTGACTGTTGCCTTCAAAAAGGTCTTGTTAGGCTTTCGAAGTTGAGAGTCAATGATGTCTTGCTGTTTTGCTGGGTGTTTATAAGTGTGCTAGCTACAAAGGGAGCTTTTCAAAGCCATCGGAAACTTAACAAGGGAAATAAAAGTGATGACCGTGGCTGTGATTTCTAACGTGCTTCAGTGTTTGGGCGAGGGGTGCAGGGGTGCTGTCTGAGCAATCGGGGAATGCGAGAGGAGAATGTATACCTGTGTCTTTTTCGCAGTAACATACGCTTTCAGGATCGATTTTGTCTGCAGATCCCTTCACGCCCTGGCAGCTCCCTACCTTCAAGATGGAGGTCGATAAGTATTTGTTAGGTCAAAGTATTAAGGTTGAATAACTGGACTTGAGGTACAGGTCAACCATGATCTTATAAAATGGTGGAGTAGGCTCAAGGGGCTGAATAGCCTACTCCTGTTTCTGTGTCTATGTATCTCTCCGACCTACTCTACAACCCATTGCCCGCTGCCTCCGTTCGACCCGTTCCGGCCTCCTATTTGTCCCCCATGCCCTCTGTTCCACCATCAGCCACTATGCTCCGAAACTCTGGAACGCTCTCCCTCAATCCCTCTGCCTGACCCCCTCCTTCCTCATCCCCTCGGTTCGCATAGCTTGCCGTTGATGTAGCTGTAATGGAGTCGGTGTCAGCTGCCTTGGAAGGCTGTGTGCACTCGCACGCCTTTCTCTGTGAGGAGATGGAACACTAATCTCTCGCGCTGATTGATGCTTTTCATTTCGAAACTGCCGACTTGCTCCACTCCACTCTCCTCGTCTGACTCAAATAAGCTACTTAAACGCCCACATTATCTCTAGCTCCCAGGGATTTGGAAGTCCCGTAGCTGTGGTATTTTTTCCTCTTTAACATCCAGCTAATTATAGCAAGCGGGCAGGCATATCACATAATAGCTGGCAGAGAGCGTTGGTCAGAGACCAACAGTGCTAGCGAAGGCAAGCTAATGGTTTTAGCTGGTTAGATTCCAGCTAACCACTGCGCTATAGTGTCTGTGCCAACTCTTTAGAAGATACACGACTGTTCGTGGGTCATTGCTGTCCACGTTTGGCAACTGCGTTTCGCCCACAAAATATACAGTAAATTCACTTCACAGTATATTCCATGAAACGCTTTGAAGACGGCTCGAAGACGGGATAAGGCGCTGTATAAATGCAAGGATTATTATTATGTTATATCATGATTAAGCTACAGTCATAGCCAGCTCTTTGAAAGAGAGAACCATTCAGTCCCATTTATCTGCCGTTTCCCCCAACAAATGAGTCATTTTCACATATCTGTCTGGTTTGTTTTTGAAAGCTATTGTGGCATTTTGCCCACCGCCGCCACCTCGCGTCAGGACATTCCACCTCCTAATATCTCTCCGTGTGAAACCAAAAAAAATGACTCCTAACCTTCCCCTCTTTGCACATTTAGTAATTATTCGAAATGAAACCGGGTGACAGCAAAGTGGGAAGCGCCGTTGAAATTGGATGTGATTTGTTTCCAGCGGCCAAGCAATTTTACGCCTGTGATGAATTTAAGTAGACGAGCCGGATTATTTGAAGGCTCTGACGCCAACGCATCATTAGAGTATCGTGGAGTTCCCGCAGGATTGCGGACCGACAGGTAAACCCACAGGATAACTGATGGTGCAATCGAAGGAAAGGGTGTGGGGGGTGGGGGGGCGCGGGGGGCGGAGGGGGAAAAGTTTTTGAGTCTGTCTGTTCCTCGCTTCAGTGTTTCCCCGAGCCATTCCAGAGCAGGTCACAAGTGGCGCGGTTTCGGAATCGGATGCTGGAAAAGGTTGAACACTCGCTTTCGCTCAGAATTCAGAAGAATGGTGATGGATCCATTGGCGCGGACCAACCCACGGCTACAGGGTGAAGCTGTCTGTCCACACGCTCCCAGCTCAGCCATAGCTTGGGTGAGACAAGGGTAAAGCTTTCAGCCGCAACGCCCCGAAACACTGGAACACTCTCCCTCTATCCCTCCGTCAGGCCCCTTTCCTCCCCGGTCTTGAGTTCGCCAGTGAAGACCTTCCTCGTCGACCGGTCAGCTTCCCCACTCTCAAGCGCTCCAGGACGCTCTACCTGCGTGAGGGGATTCTCCAGCGCTGCGCGTGGGAGGGGGTGGGGAGAGAGGGGGGTTAACCTCGGTGCTGGTCGCCATGGGGATAGCCCGGGATGTGACCCAGCCCAAGTCAGGGCCTCGCTGAGACATGACGTCAACAGAAGCTCCATCCTGCGACCCGGTGCCGTGTTTTTCTATCTGAAGTGCTGAGTGGTTATCTGTAACGTAACTCGGGTGTCATTCTCACAGAGCCCTTTCGAGCCAAAATTGGTGAAATTTTTTTGACAGAGTAACTCGTCGCCCGAGTGTTAAAGCTAACCCAGATCACTGAGCGATTCGCACGAGAGTATTACGTTGCTCACCGCTTTCTCTCTCTCTCTCCGACCTGCATCAGCTGTCTCCGGGGTTAGGTTAGCAGTTGTGCGTTTCAGTCCAGGGAGAGTGAGGGTGAGTGTGTGCTCCATTACAAACGCACAATTTCCACCCGTAGGCGGTACTTGTGGTCTGTTTTGGAGACTCTTAAGCACGGCGATGGGTTTCCGCGCGGGTCAGACACCCAGTGACCAAAAATGCCGGCACAGCCCAGCCAGGCAGGACCTGGGAGGGCAGACCGGTCACTGTGGACGGAATCATCCCACTCAGCTCCCGTTAACCCCGCAAGCCAAAGCCCCAACTGATAAGGCGTTGCGATTGAAAGATTCACTAAGAGCTAATAAACTGGTGGAATAGTGGGGCGCACGGAAGCCATTGGTAATCCGCTAGATGTCGCTTCTCCAGCGAGAGGACCCGGGCAGGTCGGGCCGAAACCTCAGGCAAGTTTCCTTATTCCACACACCTCGGTTTACCTAGCGTTAAGTCCAAACCCAGTTGTTAATCGATTGGTGGATGGCTTTCCGGGGATAACAATCCCTCAAAAAAAATAATAATTTGGTTACTCGATTCACGACTGTTTGTGGGACACAGCACAGTGTGCAATAGGCTGCCGGGTTTGGTCAAAAATGAAGAGTCAATTCATTTCAGTGTATCCTGTCAAGCGCTTTGAGAGGTCTCGAAAACTTGATAAGGTGCTGCATAAAATGCAAGGATTACTGTGGAAAGAGATAGCGCAATCTCCTGGTGACATCTGACAAGCCTGGCCAGGGATTAGGGAGCATGGAGGGAACAGCACAGAGATACTTACTTCAATACTAATTGAACCATCTCGCCCAGAAAGACTATGTGGAGAGATAAATCAATGGCAGTGAAAAAGGTCAGTAGTTTAATAAGCTTTCCCCATGTTTCCTTAGGGTATAGGGAGAGTTTAACAGTCCGTGACTTGTGACAGCCACTGGTGATGTTTGATGGCTTCAGAGAAACGGATGGAACACATATTCTCCTTCCTCGTGCTGTCGATCTTCATCTTCGTCGTGACCTGCTTGCCTTGTTATCCGTCAGAGAGAGAGAGAGAGACACGCATCGGGAAAGTTTAACCTGCTGACGAGACAGGCTGAGAGGAAGAGAGAGAGAGGAAAAAAAAGGTTGGGAGCGCTTCAGCCTTGAAGTGGATTGGCGGATCGCTTTCCCAGAGCGTAATCATCCCTCCGTGTTTTTTTTTAATTAAAATGATAATCATTTGGTCACTCAATCTGCGAGTGTTTGTGGGACACGGCTGTGCGCAATCGGCCGCCGCGTTTCGCCCATGAAACACAAAGAAGGGAGTTTCTTTCTCGCTGTGTTCCTGGCCGACAATTCCCCCCACCCACCCCCCCCAAACCACCGAAATAAAACCGGTCACTCGCTAAGTGGCTGTTTGCAAAAGCGTTGCTGCGTGAAAATTGCCTACAAAACAAAAGTCATTCACGATGCCGGGTTTGGGAGGTCAGGAGGATGGAAGGATGAGATCAAATGGGCCAAAGGGTTTTCATCCAAACTGATCCTGTGAGCTTCTGACTGACTGTCCTTTGAGGCTGGATATATAAAGCTCGTGCACCTCACCTTGTGGTGAAACACAGCAACAGCCATAGTTCGGGGAATAATAATGAATAATAATGAATAATAATGAATAATAATGAATAATAATGAATAATAATGCTTGCAATGGATATCAGACATCACCCGGACGTCTCAAAGTGCTTCACAGGACTACGTTTAGGGCGGGCGCCTCGCAAGCAAGAAGACACGGGTTCGATTCCCGGGCAGGGCGAAACTTTACTCCACACACACGCGCACACACACACACACACACGTCTCTGTTTACGGAACCCGGATGTGAGCCGATTGACGCATCGCTTTCCGGGGGGAGCTCATCCCTCCCAAAATAAAATAGTAACAATAATTTGGCCGCTCAAGTCCGTGACTGTGCGCGTGGGACGCGGCTGTGTACAATTGGCTGCCGCTTTTCGTCCACAAAACACACGGTTAATTTACTTTACAGTATATCCTGTGAAGCACTTCGCGACGTCCTGGAGGTATCAAATACAAGGATTATTATTACTGTGTATATTTTTTTAAAACCTTTGAGTAAAGACCGCAGAACAGGTTACATTCGATGCTGCTTTAATAGTCTTAAATAGTGCGACTGACTTGTTACAGTACAGTTCCTGAGTATGTATGGTATTTAAACCGCAAGTTTAACATTTTGCTTATTACAACGTATTTTGCTCAATAACAAGAACAACAGCAGCAGCAACTTGCATTTGTACGGCGTCCTTCGTGTGGGGCAGTGTCTTGGAGCTCTGTGAAGTCTCAAATACATCAAATTCAAGGGTATCCTTTTTATTATTACCCTCGCTGGCTAGCTCGCCCGGGCCGTGTCCCAAAACTATATACTGTTATCTATCCCGAGACATTATTTCCAAAATAGAAATCTACTAAGAGCGCAATAATATCGTGGCCGCCTTTCGCCCACAAAATACACGAATCAATTCACTTTACGGTGGATCCTGTGAAGCGCTTCGAAGACGTGATGAGGCGCGGTGTCGAACGCCAAGGATTATTATTATTATTATTATGACCATTATTAATATTGCTGTTTTACTGGCACGAGCATTTGCAGCCGGTGACTACGGGGTAAGGGATCTGACGCCAGGTACAGTGCTTGCCCACGGCTGGCCTGGCCGCCAGGCAATGCCACACCAACAGGTTGATGTGGGTCCAGCGATCGCGTTGGCATGTCATTCCCATGGGCCAGGAACAGCCACGTTTTGCCCGGTCGCAGTCCGTGTGCCTCACCCAACGTGGCCAGAATACGGGGCCCAGGTCCTTCCAGGCAGAGGTGAGCGGGCAGGAGGCCACCTTGACCAGCCACCGCGCCAACGCCTCCTTGCCTCCGTCGCCCCCCGCGCCCAAGCCCAGCCTCTCCGCCTCGTGTCGGAGTTTCTTCTGGTACCTGTTGGCCGGCTCGGTCAGGCGCGGGCTGCGCGAGACCAGGTCAGCGTGAGACTCGTTCCCCCGCCCGGCCCCGTCAGGAGGGTCCACCGCCATCCAGAAGGGGTCGAAGTTAGAGCCCAGGAGCTTCTGCAAACGCCGCGGGTTCAGGTGCTGGGCTCCCGGGAAGTAGTGGTAATGGTCCTTGTTGAGGGAGAGCGAGTAGGGGCGCACGGCACTCGAGGCTCGCATGCGGATCCAGGCGCTCTCCACCTCGGCCACCGGCTTTGGGGTCGCACTCCCCTTCCTCCCCGGCCGGATCCGGAGGGAGCGGGCAGGAGGGTACCAGGCAAGCAAGGACAGGCAGCAGAGCACAGCCGGCCAGGACATGGTGGGTGGGAGCAATGCTCCAGCCCAGGGCGTGCGTGTGTGTGTGTGTGTGTCTGTGTGAGCCTGGCTCCTACGTACGCCCTGCTTTTAAACCCAGCCCACTCCCTCTCCCCCAACATGTTGTCGCCCCATCCTTGACTCCACCCTCCCCCCCTTCCTCCCCCCTCACCACCATTTCCCCTGAACCCACCACCACCTGCCTCCCTCGCTGCAGGTGGAACTGTCCAGACATAACAAGTCATGGGAGCGATCTTTCACTCAATTGCACACACACACACAGAAGGCTTTCACTCCAAAGCGTGGGGGTTGTGAGAGGGTGAGGGGTTTGGGGTGGGTGGGGGGGCCGGGAATTTTTACTGCTCTCAGCCCCCCCACCCCCCACCCGCTTCGAAGGTTACTTTCGGGGGTTGTTTTCAGATACCGTAAAATCGTGGTAAAGATTTCCACCCATTCAACCTCGATGTTATTAATAATAATCCTTGCGTTTGACCCGGCGCCTTATCGCGTTCTTCGAGGCGTCTCGAAGCGCTTCACGGGATACACTGTAAAGTGAATTGACTGTGTATTTTGTGGGCGAAACGCGGCAGCCGACTGCGCACAGCGGCGTTCCCCCACAGACAGCCGAGGATCGAGTCTTTTTTTTTTGGTATATCAATTAGTTGATCGATTAATTAGTTTTTCGATTGATTTAAACCATTGCAATTTTTTGCAGTCAAACCGGCGCTTTTCACGCAGGGGAGGACTTTGCGTGGGATTCACTGCGAAGCGGGGTGAAGTGACTGCGTGTGTTTGCGGGCGAACGTAGCCACCAATTCGCACACAGCCACACACACACACGCGCGCACGCATTGAACGCACACGCGTGTCCTCGTGCGTGAGTCTGAACACCACTCGCAATGTTGGGTCACATTGACTTCCAACTGAGCTCATCTCAAAGCTCCTGGCACAGCCCAGTGCGAGCAGCAGCTCTCCAAGGGCGGAGACAGCAGCTGTCTCTGATTTTCCTTTCCCTTTATACACAGGACCTTGACATAGCGCCTACTGGCACCGAAATATCTCAAAGTGCTTTGCTTCAGCAGGAATCACTCTTCACAACCGTAATCAAACCGCCGTCTGAGACACACAGCAGAGTGTCTCGGCCGTGTCCGCCGAGACTCTGGTCCTGTTCTTGTGACGGGAGTTTTTTTATTCTGTTTAATTCGGAGCGTTCACCGCGTTAATAATATTTGCATTCCGTATCGAGACTTATCATGTCGCTGAGCGCTTCACAGGGTACCCTGCGAAGCCGACTGTATTTTGTGGGTGAAACGTGTCCCCGCAAACAGCCGTGGATCGGGCGACCAAACTGTTATTCTTAACTTTTTAAAGGATTGTTACCACCGGAAAGCGATCTGTCGTGTGCTCGGTAAACGACAGTGTGTGTGTGTGTGTGTGTGAGGAGTTAGGAAACTTGCCTTAAGGTTTCGCCCCATCCCGCCCAGGGAATCGAACCCGGGTCCTCTCCCTTGTGAGGCGAGCGCTCTAACCACTGAGCTACAGGTTCTCCTCGCTTTGGGACGCCCTGGATGGCGCTCCGACAACGTACGGATTGTTAAGGCCACGAAATCGGGTGAATTTCTGGCCCAGTGTCTTGGTGGTTTATAAAGTCCCACTAACGCCAGCCTCTTTGTCGAGTTGGCTCCCTCAGCCCGAGCTCGGAGCCCGAACGCATTCCTGCAAACATTCCTGAGCGGCCACTATCCTATCTTATCCTGGAAATTCCTGCCGCGGGAATCCTTGGGACGGGAGGAATGAAAATATTCCGGCCGAGTTATCAGGACAGCCACTACCGACCGACTCCCGTTCGGCTGGCTCCAGGGGCGAGACTGACATTCCTCCCACTGTAACCCCCAGGTCCTCGCGAAGGGTGGGGGTGTGGGTGGGGGGGGGGGGGAGCGAGCTCTCCCTCACCGCCACCCACACCCACACACCCTTCACGACTCACGTTGCCACAATCCACAGCAAATTGCCTGTTCGGCTGATCACTAAATAACAATAATAATTCCTTGCTTTTTTTTTTAGTTTTAATCACCAAACGAGTCAGAAACAGAGCCAACAACAACAATCGTCGTCACGTGTTCGAGACGTCTCAAAGCGCTTCACGGAATACACTGCAAAGTGTAGTGACTGTGTGTGTGTGTGTATGTGTTTGGTGGAAGAAACGCGGCAACCGATTGAGCTCTGAACATTTCAATACTGTCGGATAGAACCGTAGCTTTTATTTGGGGGGGGTGGGGATATAACTTTTTTTGTGGGGGGTGGGGGGGTGGAAGGGGGCAGTGGGGAGAAAACTAACAGGATCCAGGGGCAGAGTTAAGGCAGACGCTTTAATCCGTTGAAAAGTATTTAATGCGATGATTTTTTTTTCTTTCATCCTCACACCCACTTTTCCTGAACAGAAACACGAGAGAGAGACAGATAGAGAGAGAGAGAGAGAGAGACTCACACCCACGAGCAGAGACGTGAGGTGAGGAGGGAACGTTGGGAGTGACTCTGGCATCAACCTGTTTTAAGTGCTCTGGGATGCTTTCTCCCCCCCCCCCCCACCCCCCACAAAACATGCAAGTGGTGGTTGTAATCCGCGTGACGTTAACAGTGGCTCCACTTGCGCATGTGTGCTTGTGTATGTGCCTGCGTGTATGTGCGTACGCGCATCCCAGAGCGTGCGCTATTTTCTTTTGATTGTTTGTGCTTCCCCGAAACGTGCGATGTATGAGCGTCGCTCGGCTCTGGTGTTTAGTGTGTAACAGCGAGTTCCACTAGCGGTGCGATGTAAGCGATGTGTCTGCAAGGCTGACTGACAGACAGCCTCAGCATTGGGGGTGGGGTGGGACGGGGTGGGACGTGGTGTGTGTGTGTGTGTGTGTGGGAGGGGGGGGCAGTGTGTGTGTTTGGTTGTGTCTGAGTGTGTGGGGTAGTTGTGTGACTGGGTGTGGGTGTGTGAGTGGGGTGTTGGTGCGTGTATGGTGGGTGGGGGGGTGCGGAGGGGTGGGGAGTAAAAGCTTTGGGCTTCCGGTGGGGGGAGAAGAGAATCCTCTTGTGGAGGTCATGGGACAACCGTGTGCGGAGGTCACGCGATGGATGACCTGTGTTGACGTCCTGCCAAGACCACGTGTTGCGGTCACGCGATGACCCCATGCTGGCGGCCCACCTCCACGAAGGCTTCCACACAGCGGTCGATGTCCTGCTCACTGTGAGAGGCCGAGATCTGCACCCGGATCCGAGCTTTCCCTTTCGGCACCACCGGGAAACTGAACCCAATCACATAGATCCCTGCAATCCACAGGGGCACAGACACAGGCGGTCATCTGCAGCTCCAGCAACACACCCTCACACACACCCTCACACATATACACTCACACACACCCTCACACATATACACTCACACACACCCTCACACATATACACTCACACACACACCCTCACACACACACCCTCACACATATACACTCACACACACCCTCACACATATACACCCGCACACACCCTCACACATATACACTCACACATATACACTCACACACACCCTCACACATATACACTCACACACACCCTCACACATATACACTCACACACACCCTCACACATATACACTCACACATATACACTCACACACACCCTCACACATATACACTCACACACACCCTCACACATATACACTCACACACACCCTCATACATATACACTCACACACACCCTCACATATACACTCACACACACCCTCACACATATACACTCACACACACCCTCACACATATACACTCACATACACTCACTCATTCACTCGCACACACACACTCACTCGTACTCACACAAACTCACTCACTCAGACACTCACATTCTCACACACACACTCAGACTCACACACGGCGTCTGGCGCTGACTCACCGCGCTGTAGCATATCCTCCGCCATCCCCGAGGCTAGCCGCGCGCCCCCCAACATCACAGGACAGATGGGGTGCTCGCTGCCCCCAATGGTGAAGCCTGCAGCCGTCATCTTACTGCGGAACCTGGGGGGAGGGAGAGAGGGGTGGTGGGAGGGGGGGGTGGGAGGGGGGGAAGAGGAGGAGAGGGAGAGACATTAATACAACAGTGAATAATATCTCATAACAATAATGCTCATTGCTTGAAGCTGGCATCCACATTCACCCGCGAAACACACACAGTCACTACGCTTTACAGTGAGCCCCGCGAAGCACTTTGAGACGCTGTCTTTTTAACACAGGGCATTGGATCAAACGCACTGTCATTACGGCTCTCGGCCACGAGGTGGCGGCCCAGGACCTCGTTCGCGTTCACACACACGAGTGACTGGTACACAATAACACTGTACAGAGCATGTTTCAGGAGAGAGAGAGAGAGAGAGAGTCTCAAAGCACTTTACATCAACAACAAATACAACTCGCCTTTGATACAGTGCCGTATAACAGCGTCGAGACGTCTCAAAGCGCTTCACAGGCTGTATCGTAAAATGGAGTGACTGTGTTTCGTGGGAGAAATGGTGTATCTGTCTATATAATGTATATATGTATATATATATATATGTGTGTGTGGGGGCCCGAGCTAAGGGAATGGGAGGTGGCAAAGAGGTAGAGTTTGTTTGTGCTTACAGGTGTGTGTATGTTTGTGTGTGTGTCTGTGTGCATGTGATGTGTGTGAGGATGTATGTTGGTGGTGGGTATATATGTTGGTATGTGTGTCGGTGTGTTTGTGTGTGTGTGTGTGTGTGTGAGAGAGAGAGAGAGAGAGAGAGGTGCTGTGCTCACACCTACCGTTGGGTTTTGGAGGCCACGCTCTGTGCGATCTCATTGCTGCCCATCAACAGGTCCAGAGCCTTGGAGGCACAGCCCACCACAGGTGGGGGCAGTGTGTTGGAGAACAGATAGGGCCTGGAACGCTGCCGCAGGAGGTCCACCAGCCCTTGAGGTCCCACCGTGTAACCACCTTATACAGTGCCCACAACAGCAAGGTCAGTACAACAACAGGCAGCCATACATTAGATCAGGGTGGTCCAACCGGCGGCCCGCGGGCCACATCCGGCCCTCCCTCCCGCCCTCCCTCCCTCCATTTCATCCTTCCCGCCCACTCCCTCCACTCCCGTAAATGTATATGTCGCGTTTCTGAAAGGAAAACACGAAAACATTTCCTTATACGACCCCTTGTTTCTCAAGTAGGGCACCTGGCCCTTGGCAGCCCTCCTGGCCCCTTCCCCCCCCAAAACCACCCGCCCACGCCACCCCCAGCTCACTCTCTCTCCCGCTGCCTCTGACAATCCTCACCTGCCGCTCCGCCCAGCGCCTTCCCCAGGGTGGAGTTCACAATGTGGACGCGATCCATCACACCCAGGAGCTCATCGGTCCCCCTGACAGCATCAGCACCGGAGCAGAGCAAACACACCGTGTCAGCCTCACCCCCACTCCTCCCCAACTGAGCGGGTGTTAATTCACTTTACGGTGTGTCCTGTGAAGCGCTTTGAGACGCCGCGACGACGTGATGAGGCGCTGTGTCAAATGCCAGGATTATTATTATGTATATGTGTATATATGTATATGCGTGTGTGCTTGTGTGCGTGTGCATATGTGTGTGCGCATTTATGTACAGAGCATTTGCGCATGTGCCTGCCTGTATTTAGGATACGTGTCCAATTGCCCACATGTCAGCGTGTGGAGTGTGTCAAGAGCGTGTGATTGCGGGGTGTGTGTGTGTGCGCGCGTGTCCCCTCACCGTCCGTTAGGGCCCAGGAAGCCGGTGGCGTGACACTCATCGATGAGGACCAGGGCCTTGTACTGATCAGCGAGATCACAGATACCCCTCAGGGGAGCGATGTCACCGTCCATAGAGAACACACCGTCAGTCACAATCAGACGCAGACGGTGTTTCTGAAACAGGAGGCGGTTGTCTGTGAGCGGAGCTCAAAAAACACACAGTCCCTTTGCTTACTCTCCACACGCACACACACCTATTTACCCGCAGTCAGTAGGAGCCACAGCTGTTAGTTTAACTGGTGGATGGATCACTTTTCCGGGGGGTGATAACAACTTGCATTTACACGGCGCCCCCTCACAGCAGCGGAAGACCGTAATCCGGGAGGGAAGGAGGGGGCCGAGGTGGAGGGATTGCGGGAGAAGGTTTTCGGGGCGTAGCGGCTGAAAGCACGGCTGCCGACCGTGGAGCGGAGGGCACGAGGGACAGGCAGGAGGCCGGAGTCAGTCAAGGAGAGGCGGCGGGTGATTGGAGTGGGGAGTACGGAGGTCCGAGAGGGAGGGAGGGAGGTACGAGGGGACGTGGAGGAGTCTGTAGGCGAGCGAGAGGATGGCGAGACTCTCCCAGCCTGGCTGAGCGCCGAGGCTCCTGACGCTGGTTTGGTTCGGAGGCTGGCGGGTTTCCGGGTGTACCTGGCTTTCCTGCAGCTTGCTCTCCAGGTCCCGCAGGTCCAGGTGTTTATAGCGCAGCTTGTTGGCCTTACACAGGCGGACGCCATCGATGATGGAGGCGTGGTTCAGCTCGTCTGAGAGCACAGCGTCCTCGGGGGTCAGGAGGGCCTGAGGGGGAACAGCAGAGAGAGGTTTAACCAGGGACAAGAAACAGAGAGCGGAGTCACTGGGTGGTGGTGGGGGGGGAGAAACCTTCCACTCGGCTCCTGTTATATCTGGGTGGTCTTGGCTGGCGGGAAAGCTGGTCAGACAGCGCTCTCGATGGGCAAGGTACGTGGTTGTAGCCGGTTAGTCAGACGATATGATTATGGGGCAATATCAAACGCAAGGATTATTACTACGTGTTTGGAGTGGTGTGTGAGTGTGTGGGAGTGAGTGTGTGTGTGTGTGTGCGCGTGTATGGGTTGCGAGTACTGGTGGGTAATATGTGTTACGTGTGTGTGCGCGTGTGTGTATGCGCGCGTGAGATGTAGATGTGTGCGTATGTGTGCGCGCGTGTGTGTGAGTGTATGTGTGGTGTTAGTGTTTGGGTGTGTGTGTGTGTGTTTGTGTTATGTTTGGGGGGGGTCTACGTCTCACCTCAAAAATCCCCGCATTGGCATCGAAACAGCTGGCGTAGAGAATGGCATCTTCTCTCTGGTGGAACTTGGCAATCTTTGCCTCCAACTTCTTGTGCGGCACCTGGAAAACAGGAGGGAGGTTAGGGGGGGGGGGGGGGTTCGATTAAACACTAACACGAACGGGGTGTCAGCCCCCGACTCAGTCACTCTTGCCTCCGAGTCAGAAGGGTTGCGGGTCCAAGCCCCATCTCCCGCGCCCCACTTCAGAAGCTCTCGAGCTCACTTTTGTCCAGGCTGATGCTTCAGCCCAGGGCTGGTTAAGGAGTGGGGAGGGCTGGCGGGGCGATGGTGGTGGTGGGGAAGCTGTGGGGGGGGGGGGGGGGGTGAGGGTTAATGGAGAAAGAGGTGGGAAGAGTGTCGCATTTTTGTAGGCGCCAGAGGTTAAATCGAGGTTCAATCTCTCTCTCTCTCTCTCTCTCTCTCTCGCGCTCGCTCTGATTCTCCCCCAGGGTGTCCTCTCTCCCCCACCCCCGGTGTCCTGGCCGACAACCTTCACCTCGGGCACAAATCGCCACCTGCGCCACGTGCGGCTCGGCTCACTGACCTGCGTCCCGCAGATGAAACGCACGGAACTCAGCCCCGCTCCATACTCTTCCAGCGCCTCCACTCCCGACCGTATAACCTCCGGGTGGCTGGACAGACCCAGGTAATTGTTAGCACAGAAATTCAGAATCTCTATAGAGCGAGAGAGAGAGAGAGAGGGATGGGGGGAGAAGGGGAGCACTTAATAACTATAATAATAATAATAATAATCCTCGTGTTTGACCCGGCGCCTTATCACGTCATCGAGACGTCTTAAATAAGCGCTCCAACGGGATACACAGCAAAGTGCAGTGACTGGGCATTTAGTGGGCGAAAAAAACACGGGTGTGCGGCGGAGGGGGAAATGCTTCGAGCCGTCTACTTTCTTTCCCCTGAAGGGCGCTACATCTTAAATGCACGTTATTGTTTTTTTTTGGGGGGGGGGAAAAAAGGGATTAAAAGATCCCCAACTCCCGAGCAGAGGATTTTCCCCCCATTGCTGTGGGGAAGGAAAACTACCCAACGTGCTGCTCATGTACCCGGACGGGATGGAAAGACCTCGCCAGCTCTCTGAGACGGGGTTTAAACCCCCCTCCGCCCCCCCCCCACAAGCTCCGCGACTGGGAAAGGTACGTACATGGGTGTAGGAGTGCGTGTACATGTGTGCGCGCGCGCGTGTGCGTGTGTAGTGTGTGTGTTGTTGGTCCATTTGAGAATGCTTTCCAGGGGTCAACACTCCCTTAGTAAGACCAGATAATTCGGGGGTCACTCTGCACGCCGGTCGGCGGGACTGTCGCTGGGGCGCACTTCACCCGCAAAATACACGGGGTCACTCCACTCCACAGTACAATCCCGGGGAAGCGCTTTGACGACGTCTCGAGGGCGTAACGAGGCTCCGCGTCAAACGCAATGACTATTACGGGCAAAACAAAAGTTGGCCCCGACTCGAAACTCTCCGGGTTCAGTCCCCGAACCAGCGGGAAAACTTCTGAATTCTTCCCACCCCCTCCCACCACCCCACCCCACACACACACACCCCCACACACACACACACACCGCCCCCCCCCCTCCCCACCCCTCGCAAACCAAACCCGGTGACGTGACGGTTCGGTTTGGCCATTTAAAAATGATGCAACCGCGGAGGTGGCGGAGAGGGGGAAACCCAACAGCAACTGAAATGTGATCTCCACAACATCTATAATAGCTGCAAAAGAGAGTCAGTCACTCTCTTTCTTTTTCTCTCTCTCTCCTTCTCTCTCTCTCTCTCTCTCTCTCTGTCCCTCTCTCTCTCTCTCTCTGTGTGTGTCTCTGTCTGAAGCTGCAGGAACCCCACACTCATCACCACACACACACACACACACACAAAGAGGGAGAAAGGAAAAAGAACAGCAATGAAAAGCAGAGATGTCTCATTTCAACACTTCCCTCTCTCACTCACTCCCTCTCTCTCTCACTCACTCCCTCTCTCACTCACTCACTCCCTCTCTCACTCACTTCCCTCTCTCTCTCACTCACTTCCCTCTCTCCCTCTCTCACTCCCTCTCTCTCTCACTCACTTCCCTCTCTTCCTCTCTCTCACTCCCTCTCTCTCTCACTCACTTCCCTCTCTCCCTCCCTCCCTCCCTCTCTCACTCAATTCCTCTCTCTCTCACTCACTTCCCCCTCTCCCTCCCTCTCCCTCTCCCTCCCCCCCTCTCACCTCCCTCTCTGCCCTCCACTTTGATGCGCGCTCCCTGTTTGGAGGCGATGACCCTCTCGTTCTTCCAGGTTCCCGCCTCCCGGATACCCTCCAACTCTCCCTGGAGGACGGCACTGAGCTGCGTGAGGGCACTGTGGGGGCGTCTGGGCGTCTGGACCCCCCGAGAGAGGCGACCGAGAGCCACAGCGCGACTCCACATCGTGTCTGTCTCGTGTCTCCCCCCCACAGTGGGACTGGGAGGGGGCGGGGCCTGGGGGAGGGGGCGGGGCCGGAGGGAGGGGGCGGGGCCTGGAGCGGGAGGGGGCGGGGCACCGAGCGACTGGGCTACATGTTGCCTGTGGATGGGCCAATCAGTGCCCGGGGGTGGCTACTGCTGACCTGCTATTGGCTGAGATTGGACTCAACCCCAACCCCACACCCCCAAACTGAACCCCACATCCCCCAACTCAACCCCACCCACACCCCCCCCACACAACCCAACCCCACACCCCCCCAACTCAACCCCACACCCCCCAACTCAACCCCACACCCCCCCAACTCAACCTCAACCCCACACCCCCGACTCAACCCCACACCCCCCCAACTCAACCCCACATCCCCCCAACTGAACCTTAACTCAACCCCACAACCCCCGACTCAAACCCACACCCCCCTGACTCAACTTCAACACCACACCCCCAAACTCAACCCCACACTCCCCCACTTAACCCCACCCCCCCAAATCAACCCCAACCCACACCCCCCAACTCAACCCTAACTCAACCCCACACCCTCCAACTCAACCCTAACCCCACATACCCCAACTCAATCCCACACTCCCCAACTCCCGCTCACACTCCCCAATTCAATCCCACACTCCCCAACCCTACACTCCCCAACTCAACTCCAGATCCCCCCAACTCAACCCCACATTCCCCAACTCAACTCCAACTGAACTCCACATTCCCCAACTCAACCCCAACTCAACCCCAATTCAATGCAAGAAATGTCACAGAGACAAAAGCCCTTCACAGGATTTTAATATGAAATAGTAAAGTAGTGACTGTGTATATTGTAGGCAAAGCGTGGCTTACAATATCTCGCAGCAGTGTCCCGCAAACAGTAATATTCTTTAAAGGGATTGACAAGTGCAGTAAAATCCTGTGATGCTCTTTGAGACGTCCTGTGCTGTCAGGAGTCTACTGTGTTTATACGTATGTTTAACGTGTCGCTTTTGTGAGACATTGCTGGGCCAAACGCAAGGATTATTTTTTATATGTGTATAATTTCTGGGCGCTCTGAAATACAACACAATGCAAAATTTACATTTGTACAACGTCTTTCACGTCGGTAGGAAGTCCTAAGGTGCCGGACAGTCCTGGTTTGCCACCGAAGCTACAGCTGGGAGAGGAAAGAGGATCCAAAGTACGATCAAAGAAGTAGATCTAAAAATGCTAAGAAAATAGTGTCAAACTCAAAAAAAAAAACCCTGGGGAGGAAATTCAATGTCTGTCTCTCTCTCTCTCTTATGGGGAGTCCTGTGGTATAGTGGTTAGTGTGCTTGCCTCGCAAGGAACCTGGTGGTTAGTCGATTGGTGGATCGCTTTCCGGGGGTAATAATCCCTCAAAAAAAAAATTTTTTTGGTCGCTCAATCCGCGGCTGTTTGCGGGGGACGCCGCTGTGCGCAATTGGCTGCCGATTTCGCCCACAAATACACACAGTCAATTCACTTTACAGTGTGTTCTGTGAAGCGCTTTGAGAGGTCCCAACAACATGATAAGACGCTATATCGAACGCAAGAATTGTTATCTCTCTCTCTCTCTCTCTCTCTCTCCACCTCTGTTTATCTGCCTCTTACGCACTGTCGGTGAACGTATTCCAAGCTTGACTCAGCATATTTTTGGGTGGGGGGAGGGCGGGGCGGGGGTGGGGTGGGGGCGAGGCAGAGTTATCTGCCCAACACATAGCAGGAATGAATGTGAAGGGGAAGATATGTTTGTCAGGGGTTTGACTGGACAGAAGCAAAGAGTTAAATTAATAATAATAATAATAATAATCCCCGCTTTGCAAGCGAGTGGACCCGGGTCTGATTCCTTGGTAGGGTGAGACCTTAGGCACGTTTCCTCGCTCAATGTACCTCTGTTAAGTGCCGCGGGATACTACCCCGAGTGAAGGGCGCAATATGAACGCAAGTGTTTGTTGTTGTTTGCCCTGCAGTAAGGAACCTGCTTGTCAGTCGATGGGCGGATTGCTTTTTCGGGGGAGTAATGGAGGGAGGAGGGTGTTGCGGAGTCCTGTAGCTTAATGATTAGAGCGCTCGCCCTCCCAAGCAGAAGATCCGGGTTCGATTTCTGTCAAGGGCAAGAGCTTGGGCAAGTTTCCTCACTCCACGCGCAGCCCGATCATAATCCCTCGAGAGAAAAAGACAGTAATAGATTGGGCACTTCAATCCGCGGCTGTTTTGTGGGGGACGCTGCTGCGCGCAATCGGCTGCCGCGTCTCGCCCGCAAACATGCGGTCAATCCACTTTACATTTTCATTCTGTGAAGCGCTTCGAGACGTCTCGAAGACGTGGAAAGCGCTGTACCAAATGCAGGGATTATTGTTATTATAGTAATGGTACTTTCAAAAAGATAATAATTCGTCACTTCAATCCACGGCTGTTGGTTGTTGGACGCCGCTGCGCACAATTAGCCGCTGTGTTTCACCCCTCAAACTACGCAGCCGACTCACTTCACAATACATCCGGTGGAGCGCTCTGAGAGGTCTCGAGAACGTGGGAAAGCGGCCGTGTCAAACGCGAGGGTTATCATTGCTCTGCCTCTCCTTTTTTTTTTTTTTTTGGCCCGTTTTCTCATCGCGAAACGTTAAGCGGCGAAAACCGGCGGCGGCGAAGATCGCCCGACAGAGAAATCGCGCCGGACGCATCGCCGCGGCCGGTTTTGGTGCGCGGTTCCCTTTTTTTGTTGTCAACAAGATAACAATCCTCGCCATTTGACGCAGCGCCTTTCGGCGCGTCGCCGAGACCCCTCAAAGCCCTTCCCGGGGATGCGCACCGCCAAGTGGGGCGGCCGCGCCGTTCGCGGGGCGGCCCAACCGAGCCCCCGCCGCAAACAGCCTCGGGCTGGAGCGCGGGCGACCGGGCGGTGACCATCTTTTATCGCTCGTACCGGCGGCGTAAAGCAGAAGGACATCGATCTGGTCTTTTTGAGTGGGAGGGAGAGGGAGAGAGAGGGGGAGAGGGAGAGGGAGAGGGAGGGAGGGAAGTGTTTTATTTGGGATTTAATTTTAATTCTCTGTGTGACCTCAGCACATTATTGAGGGCTGAGCTCAAGTAACTGCACAAGTGATGCCCAACTCTGTGGGGGGAGGCGAGTGCCAACCGAGCAAACCCGGGGGGAGCACTGCAGTCAGTCCCCACTCTCCCACAGAGAGACCAGCGCTGTCCTCTGTTGGTCCAGATTTTCCCCATCGCACGTCTGTCCCCCCCTCACCCCCTCACCCCCACCCCCTGGTCTCCTGTGCACTCAACAGGGGGGGTAACAGGGGGTGCGTTAGTCGTTCCTCTCCCCCTTCTCCCCCCCCCCCCCACCTCACCCCCTCCCAACACAAACCCCCTTTTAAAACAAAGTCGAGGACAAATAATCCAAGATGGCGAATAGCAACTTTACTGTCTCCTCTTCACTGGGGTCCTGTGTGTGTGTTCTCTTAGAATGAAATGGACATAAGATTTATTCTTTCTCCCCCCCCACACCCCCCCCCCCCCCCCCCCCACACCCCCCCCATCTCTCTCTCTCTCTCCCCCCTCTTCCCTGGAGATCAGAAGGGGTTTAAGTTACTGTGTGTGTTGTGTTTTTTTTCCCCCCAATATCTGTCTGTAACTCTCAGACTGTTCATAAACACCTGAACTTTGCCTTTTTATTTTAAACTTGTTTTTTTCTTGTTGCTGTGTGTCTTATCTCTCTCTCTCTCTCTCTCTCTCTCCCTCTTACTTTTTTTTTGGGGGGAAGGGGGGGGTCCGTCTCCCCAACAGTCGTGAATTCGAAAACACTTATTCTTAAATCATAGTCAGAAAATCTTCTTTATTCTCTCTCTCTCTCTCTCTCTTTCTCCTTAAAATAAATCGCCTTCTCTCTTGAAACCACTATCACACACTTCCACCACAACAAATCCCTCTGTTTAAACCACTCTTTTCTCCCCCCACTCCCCCCCCTCTCTCCTTTCCCCCCCACACCCCTCCAACTCAACCCCTTCCCCCCCTCCAACAACTCACCCCCTTTCCCTTTGCCCCCAAACCCCTCCCCCCCCTCCAACAACTCACCCCCTTTCCCTTTGCCCCCCAAACCCCTTCCCCCCTCCAACAACTCACCCCCTTTCCCTTTCCCCCCAAACCCCTCCCCCCTCCAACAACTCACCCCTTTCCCTTTGCCCCCCAAACCCCTCCCCCCCTCTCCCCCCCCCCTCTCCCCCAAACCCCTGGAAAACAATCGAAAATCCAGTTCAAATGTCGACTGACTTGACTCCAGAGGGATTACCCCCAAAGCCTTGGAGGGGGGGGGGGAAGAGAGGGGGTTGGGGGTGAAGTGCGGGCAGAAAGAAAAGGGGGTGCAAATAAAAGTCTAGTGGGGGGGAGAGGGGGAGGGGAGGGGGGGAGAGCAAGAGGGGCACAAGTTGAGAGGGAGAGTGTGTGTGTGTGTGTGTGTCCGGGGGGGGGGGGTGGGGGGTGTTTTTTTGTGTGGGGGGTAACCCCATCTGTGGGGAGACCGGTGTGTGGGGGAGGGGGGGGTTCCCCGACCCCCCCAAAGCCTTGCCCGCTGTGCCCGGACAGCAAAGCCCCCCCACTCTCCCCCCCCCCCACACACACTAGGGGTGGCGGGGAGGGAGGGAGGAGGGAGGGGGGGGGGTTGCACCCGCGGGTGTGAAGCGACCCCCCTCCCCAACCACCCCCCCCCCAAAATAACCCCCCCTCGGAGCGTTTACCCCCCCCACCGCCCCCCCCCCCCCCCACCCCCCCCGAGCGCGGAGCGGGGAAGGCACGTCACGATGGCGGAGCGCACGGGTTCCTGTGTTAGTTGCTCTCCTTCGGAGCGGGACCCCGGGGCCCCCGCGCCCCCGGGGGACCCCCCGCCCGGGCCGGGCCCGAGCCCGGGGATGGCCCCCCCCGCCCCGCCCGCCCCCGGTCCCCTCCGCCGCCGCCCGCGGCCGCCGCCCGCCCCGAAGTGGCAAACGTCGGCGCGGGTCCGGCGGGTCCGGTCGGGTTTTCGGGTCGGTCCCCCGGTTGCCGGGGTCCGGGGGCCCCGGGGCCGGGCCGGGGGGGGGGCCCGGGGAGCGGGCCGGGCGGGGGCGGGGCCGGGCGGGCCGGACGCGGCCCGGGCGGGGCCCCCGAGGGCCGGACACGGAGGGCAACAAACACAGATGGAAGCGGAACTTCGCCATTTCTCCGCTCTCTGGAAGTGCCGAGAGCCGCGGTCCTCAATCAGGTCCGCGCCGCCGCTACAACAGCGCAGCGCCGTCTCTCAGAGGGGACGACACCGGAGTGACTGTGAGTGTGAGGGGAGGGGGGGAGGGAGGGGGAGAGGGGAGGGAGTGGAGGAGGAGGGGAGGGAGTGGAGGGAGTGGAGGGAGTGTGTGTGAGGGGAGGGAGGGAGTGCTGAGTGAGGAGTGGAGGGAGTGTGAGGGGAGTGAGGGAGTGTGAGGGGAGTGAGTGGAGGGAGTGTGAGGGGAGTGAGGGAGGGAGTGTGAGGGGAGGGAGTGACTGAGTGCCGAGAGAGGGACACTGGGACTACCCTCCACACACCCCCACACACACCCCACACACACACACACACACACCCACACACACACACACAGAGCACAGAGGAAGGAGAAAGAGAGAGAGTGGAAGAGAAGAGAAGAGAAGAGAAGAAGGAAGAAGGAAGAAGAGGAGGAGGAGGAGGAGAGGAGGAAGAGAAGAGGAGAGAAGAGGAGGAGGAGGGAAGGGGCTGTTTTGCTGAGAGAGGGAGAGAAAAAAAGAAAAGAAAAGGGGAAGACTCCTCTCATCTCTCTCTCAAGTACGACCCCGAATAATAACAACAACAACTACTCATTCACTCACTCACTCACTAACCCCCTCCCCCTCCCTCCCCTCCCTCCCCCTCCCCAGCAGGAAGAGAAGAGAAAGAAGAAGGAAAGAAAGAGAGAGAGAGGGAGAGGGAAGGAGTGAAGTGCTGAAAGGGACTGAGAAGAGAGAGAGAGAGAGAGAGAGAAAAGAAAGGAGAGGGAAAGGGAGAGAGAGAGAAGAGCGTCCAAACTAACCCGATTTCATCTGATCCACAGGGCCAGAGAGAGAGAGAGAGCGGAGAGAAGGAGGGAAGTAAAGAGAAAAAGGGGTCGTCGTCGTCGTCGACTTATCCGTGAAGACTTACCTCTCCCTCTGTGCACACGCGTGTGGGTGCTGTGTGCGCGTGTGCGTGTCAGAGACTCCCCAAGTTTGAGAGAGAGAGAGAGAGAGAGAGAGAGAGAAGAACAAAAGCAAGAGCGACTCTCTCTCCTCCTTTTGGTTCGACACCCACCGAGAGACTTTCGAGAGCGAGCGAGAGAGCGAGCGAACGAGACCCCAAACATGACCGAGAACTCCAGCACCGCACCGGCCAAGCAGAAGAGGGCCAAGGCCGCCAAAAAGCCATCCAACCACCCCAAGTACAGCGAGATGATCCACGCGGCCATCAAGACGGCCAACAGCAGGGCGGGCTGCTCGCGGCAGTTCATCCAGAAGTACATCAAGTCCCACTACGACGTGGGCGACAACGTGGACATCCAGGTCAAGCTGGCCCTCAAGAGGCTGGTCCTGCAAGACATAGTGCAGCAGACCAAAGGCGTGGGGGCTTCCGGCTCCTTCCGGCTGACCAAGAAGGATGAGCCCAAGGTGGCGGTTGGGACGGGGGCCAGGAAGTCGGCCAAGTCCTCGACCCGCAAGAGCGCGGCGGGACCCAAGAGGGCCACCGCCAAGGCCAAAAAGGCCAAGACCCCGGTCAAGGGCAAGAAAAAAGCGGCCGCCAAGCCCCCCGCCAAAGTCAAGCGGGCGGCCCCCAAGAAGAAGGCCGCCCCCCTCAAGAAGGCCAAGAAGCCGAAGGTGGCCAAACCCAAAGCCACCAAGACCAAAGCCAAGAAAGCCTCCTCGCCCAAGTCCAGGGCCAAGTCCGGCAAGAAGGCGGCCTCCAGGAAGAAGTGAACGGACAAGCGACCGACCGACTGACCGACCGACCGACCGACTGACCGACCGACGACCGTGTTTCGTTCGCACCGGACAAGTCGATTGATAAGGACTGACTTTTTATTTTTTAGCAACTTCTGTATATAGTTATTTAAGACTCTTGGGGTTTTTTTCTATCCAGACTCTTTTTTTCTTCTCTCCCTCTCTCTCTCTCTCTCTCTCTTTCCCACTTTCCCCTCTCTCTTTTTCCGTCCTTCCTTGCCTCTCTCCCTCCCCCCTTTCCTCCCACACCTCTCTCCCTCCCCCACACCGCCCCCCCCCACCCCCCCCCCCCCCCCCCCACCACCACCACTTCATCTTTCTCCAGGTCTTGGCGGAAACAGATTGGGGGGGGAGGGGGGAAAGGGATGGGGGTGGGGGGAAGGGGAGGGGAGGTGGGGGGGTGGGGTGGAGTGGGGGAAGAAAACAAAGTTTAAAAAAAAGTTTTTTAAAAAAAAAGGAAAGCGTTTCAATATGAATGCGAGAGTCTTGACGTTGATCGGGGGGGGTGTGGGGGGTGTGGGTGGGGGTGGGGGGGGGGACAGTTGAAAAAAAAAGTCACCGTACCTTTTTTTGGTAGTTAATAATACCTTTTATGTTTTTTTTTAAAAAAAACTGTATAAAACCTTGTTTTATTTTTAGTGTAGCTGTACAAAGCGGGAAAAAAAAACTTAAGCGTCGTAATGCAACGGAATTGAATGTCCTTTAAATTTCAATTAATAAAAAAAAAGCAAATCGAGACGTTACCCCTCTCTCTCTCTCTCTCTCTCTCTCGCTCTCTCGCTCTCTCTCTCTCTCACACACACGCGCACACTCTCACTCTCACTCTCTCTCACTCTCTGCGAAACATTCCTATCGTGTCTATAATCCTCGCATTTGATGTGACGCCTGATCACGGCTCTCGAGGCGCCCCCCCCCCACCCCCCCCCTCCCACCACCCAAAGCGCTTCGCGAGGCGCGCGCTGTACGGTGAGTTGACCGCGTACTCCGCAGGAAAAACTTCCAACTGCCCGCTGTAAATGGTTAACCCGCCCGCGCCCCCCCCCCCCCCCCCTTTCAGGTCAACACTAAGCCAATACGCACAGGATGATCCCAGGTTCGCAGCCTTGCTTGCTGAGTTGGCTAATCTCTTCGGCAGCGCTGGATTTGCTTAAGAGAAAGGGTGCGGGGTGGGGGGGGGGGTGGGTGGGGGGGGCGGGGAGGGAGGGGGTGAAGGTTAGCGACTTGGCGAAGACTATCTACTGCCCCCTTATGGTCAAACGGTCTCCCGACACTGCCTGCCAGCCCCCGCTCCTTAAAAACTTAAAGGATAATAATAATAATAATAATAATAATAATCCTTGCGTTTGGTACAGCGCCTCATCGCGTCTTCGAGACGTCTCAGAGCGCTTCGCAGGATCCGCTGCGTTGGCCGTGTTTCGTGGGCGGAACGCGGATTGACCGATGGCTCAAATTATTTACTTAAATACTCGTTGGTGTTTTGAAGGGATTATTGCCCCGGAAAGTGATCCACCCATCGACCGACTAACGCCCTGGTTCCCACTCACCGCTCGGTGAACAGAGGCGCGTGCGTCTGGAGTAAGGAAACTTGCCTAAGGCTTGACCCCGACTTGTGAGGCAAGTGCTCTGACTACTACACTAACAGGACTCCACGACTATCTCGCAGAAAGGAATAGGATGTCTTCAGAGGGGAGAGATTTGGGAGAAGAAAAATCGAGACACAAAATAAAAACAAAATACCAATGATCCTCGCATTCAAATAAACACTTTCTCGCCTCGTTACGACGTTCCAAAGCACCGCACAGAATACCCTGGAAGGCGAAGCGTATAATTGTGGGTGAAACATGGCGGGCAGTTAATTGCGCGCAGCGGCACACTCGGAAACAGTCGTGCGTCGAGTGGCCGCAAATCATATGTGTTCGTTTATGTTTGGAGGGAATTATTATCTCCGCAAGGCGATCTGCCAATCGATTATTCCCTGGAGCTGGGTGGGGGGTGTGGGGTGTGGGGTGGGGGGTGTGGGGTGTGGGGTGGGGGGGTGATTGCACTGACGGACGCTGGATTAAGAAGATGTGTGACAACATTGAGAATGGCTGGTTGGCCGGTTAATTAACGGAAGCGTAATCTTTAACTGGGTCATACTGTCACAACGTGTGAGTGAGTGAGTGAGTGAGTGAGCGACTGTCTGTCTCACTGTGTGTCTGAGTGAGTAGAGTATTGGGGGCTAAGGGCAGGTGTCGGAGGGCCGGGGGGGGGGTGGGAGGTGGGGTGGGGCTGGGGGTGAACCCCATGCTGTTCAGAACAAGTCGCCAGTGTCTCGTGCTCTGCGCAGCCCGACAGCTGGTGTCGGCAGCTGTTGTTTTCTGGTACGTCGGGAAAAATTGTTGGTCCTGTCCCGGGAAAACCGGGAGAGGTTGGGTGAGGAACGACTTTCCCTCCCGGACCCGGAGCCCCTCGCGCTTATACGAGCAATCCTTGCACTTGGTATAGCGCCTTAAGCGTGAAGTCGCCCATTGCACACTCACACACACACCCACACACACACACCCACCCACCCACACACACACACACAGAGATAGCCCGAGTGGGCGTGAAAGTAGCCCAATCCACCCCCATAGTAGCCCAAATGGGCGTGGAAGTAGCCCAACCCGCCCCCCAGGGAGCCAGCGCGAGTGGGCGTGAAAGTAGCGCAATCCACCCACAGAACAGCCCAAGTGGGCGTGGAAGTAGCCCCCGACCGCTCAGCCTGGCGACGCTTCTGCTTCCGGCGGCGGCGGCGGAGGGGTCAGCGATTGTCCCGGAAGTGGAAGGTGAGGTGAGCAAACAAACCCCTGAGAGAGAGACAGAGACGGAGCCAAAGACCCCCCACAACTCCTCCCCCACAGCCCCACAACCCCCACACACAGCCCCACACACAACCCCTCCCCCACAGCCCTCAACCCCCCCACACACAGCCCCACACACAACCCCTCCCCCACACCCCCCACACACAGCCCCACACACAGCCCCACACACAGCCCCTCCCCACAGCCCCACAGCCCCCACACACAGCCCCTCCCCCATAGCCCCCAACCCCCCCCCACACACACCCCCACAGCCCCCCAACCCCACCCCCACAGCCCTCCCCACACACACAGCTCTACCCCCCCCCCCCCTCCCCACCTTCATACCACAGGTTAGTGAGTGAGTGACCAGCACTTGGGGGGGGGTGGGGGGGAAGGGGTGAGAGAGAGATATGGGGGTGGGGGGGGAGTTAGGGGTAAGAGCTGCCTATCCCCAGCGGCTGCTTCACGTCCCCCCACCGCCCTCCCCCCCTCCCCACCGCCAGCCATCGAAGGCGGTCGCAAACCTTCAGCCATCTCTGCCCCACCCACTTGAACTCCATCCCACAGTCCCTCGGCTTCTCCCCCACTCTCCCTCCCCTCCCCCCCTCAGCCCCCCCCCCACACAGTCTCCTTCACGATCCGTCCCGAGACCCTCCTCTTTGACCAACTGTGCCTTAGGTCACCCTCCTAACCCCCCCCCCCCCCCACCCCCTCCTCTTCTGATCCTAACCCCCAAACGTCGGGTCCGAATTCCCTACATGTCCCGCGCAGCGTCTCGGGACGTCCTCCCGACAGTAAATGTCATTTGTTGTTGTTGCTGTTGGGATCCCGGTGTTTACACAGCGCTGTCGGTCAGTCACCGGTTGGATTGAGTTGTTAAACTGACCTGGGTTTGAATTTTCACCCCCCCACTGCCCCCCGCCCCCCACCCCCCACTCAGCGTGTCTGACAGACAAACACACACTAACCGTGGTCTGCTCTCCGCAGAGATCTGTCCGGGAACGGCTGCCGGGCTGACAGGCCGCCGCGGCCATGTTCGGCGAAATGGATTTCGAGATCGAAGAGGACAAACTGTGAGCGGCAACGATACGGCGAATATCACGCAGCCCCCGCGTCACTAATAACGATAATGATAATAATAATAATAATAATAATAATCCTTGCATTTCATAGAGCGCTCAGACGTCTCAAAGCGCTTCGCGGAATTTGCTGTAAAGTGGAGTGACTGTGTACTTCGAGGGTGAAACGCGGCAGCACAGCAGCGCCCCGCACACAGACAGCCGTGGATTGACTGCATGACCCCCTTTTTTTTCTGGGAGAGATTATTATCCCCGAAAAGCGATCCATCCCCCAATCGACTAACAACAGGGTTCCTACTTACTGCTGGGAAACAGAGGCGCGTGCGCGCGTGTGTGTGTGTGTGTGCGGAGTAAGGAAACCTGCCTAGAGGTTTTGCCTCGACTTGTATCCGGGGAATCGAACCCTCTCGCTTGCGAGGCGAGTGCTCTAATCAATATGCTGCGGGAACTGATGGTGGAAAGCTTATTTTTCAGAGGGATTCCAACAGTGCCGGGGACAGTGACGCTGAAGAAAGATCCGCAGAATTTAATCGGGATCAGCATCGGCGGAGGTGCCCAGTACTGCCCCTGTTTGTACATTGTTCAGGTACGAAATGCAGTCCCGCCGGGGCTTTGCTGCGAAAAAGAAACGAACAATCCTCACATTTGATAAGGTGCTTTATGGCTTCGTGGCGACGTCTCAAAAGAGGTGTATACAGGATGTAAAGTAAATTGGTGTGACTGTGTGTATTTTGTGGGCGGAAACTCAAAACAATCACACACCACTGCACCGGGTAGTTTCTGGTCCACTCATACTCACGTCAGGAATTGCTTTGGCATATAAAGTGGTCACTCAGAGCTTAACCCTTCTGATCAAAGTGAAGGATAATAATAATAATAATCCTTGATATGGCGCCTTACTACGTCAGCGCGACGTCTCAAAGCGCTTCACAAGATCTGCTATTTAACTGACATCCCCCCCCCCCCCCAGTGTTCATCTTCACCTTTCCTTTCCTTCTCCTTTCCCCTCAGGTGTTTGACAACACTCCAGCGTCTCTGGACGGAACGGTGGCAGCCGGAGATGAGATCGTGGGTGTGAACGGGAAATCGGTGAAGGGGAAAACCAAAGTGGAGGTGGCCAAGATGATCCAGGCTGTGAAGGTGAGGGAAGCGGGAGGGAGGGAGGGGGTCTCCGGGCTGGAGCTCCAGAGAGCTGGGAGGGAGTGGGGGAGTGAGCTTGAAAGCCTGATCGCCGATGGTAGGGCAGGCAGGGCAAGGCTTTCTCACTAGGACCACCCTAGAGTCATTCAAGTCAGGGTAACTGCTGGATTCTTGGCCAGCTTTCCCGCTGCTTGTCCAGCTAGGACCACCCTACCAGCTAGGCTCGCAGGGTTAACAGGAACTGAGTGGGAGGATTCCCCAGTGACTGGTCTGCCCTTCCAGGTCCTGCCCGATGAGCTGGGCTGTGCTGTCACCAACATCATCATCATCATCAACCGCAACAACAACTTGCATTTGTATTACTTCCAAGAGTGGAGAGAGAGAGAGAGAGAGAGAGAGTGAGAGCTCGGTCATTAGGGTGTGATGTTGGCATTTCTGTGCTCCCCGCGATCTAGGTAATAAATATCTACCGACCGACCTGATTTACGGCTGACTGACGTAAAGTTATTCTGTGTCAGGGAGAAGTCACGATTCACTACAACAAATTACAGGCTGATCCCAAACAAGGCAAATCGCTGGACATCGGTGAGTGATGTTTCACAACGACACTAAATCTTTTCTCCCCCCCCCCACTTTGTCCAGGTTTCTGACCTCCATTTGCAGAGGAGGAGGAGGGTTGGGTGGGTGGGTGGGGGAGCGGGCAAAGGTAAATCGTCCCCGTTATTGATTTAATTGATGTCAGCCTGTGCGCAGTGAGTAAGTAGCCTGTTCTGGAGTCAAGTGTTAGTTGTATTAGCGGAGTCATGTAGTTCAGTGATTAGAGCGCTCGCCTCGCAAGCGAGAGGATCTGGGTTTGATTCCCGGGCAGGGCGAGACCTTAGGTAAGTTTCCCTACTCCACACACACACACACCTACCTCTGTTTACTCAGCAGTAATTAGGAACCTGCTTGTTAGGCGATTGGCGGATCACTTTCCCGGGGATAATAATTCCTTCAAAATAAATAAAAGTAATTTGGTCACTTGAATCCACGACTGTTTGTGGGAACGTTGCTGTGTGCAATTGACTGCTGTTTTGCCCAGTCAGCTCACTTGACGGCATATTCTGTGAAGCGCTTTGAGACGTCTCGAAGACCTGATCAGGCGCTATATTGAATGCAAGCATTATTAGTATTATTATTATTGTTATTATTAATAACGTGTTGTAAACCTTGGCCTCGTTTTCCAGTCCTAAAGAAAGTGAAGCATCGGCTGGTGGAGAACCTGAGCTCAGGCACTGCAGACGCTCTGGGGCTCAGCCGAGCCATTCTCTGCAACGGTAAAAACATTTCCCAACAGTTTAGTTGTATCGGGGTGAAGTAGGGGAAACTGGGGTGGAGGGCTGGGGTGGGGGGGTGCAGCGGGGAAGGTGGGGCAGAGAGAGAGCACCTTCTGATGAGACATCAAATCTCACTCTACTTTTGCGCCCTGTTCGGGCGGACGTTAAAGATCTCTCGCGACGCTGTCAGGAAAGAGAAGTGAGCTGCTCTCTCTCTCTCTCCCCCCCCCCCAAGGTAAAATGGGTCGCTCGCTTCACAGCCATTTGTGGGGACGTGGCTGGGCGCAAATTGGCCCCCGCCTTCGCCCCGCACAACACACAGTCGCTCTGCTTTACCGTGATTTCCTGCGAAAGCGCTTTTGAGACGTCCTCCAGGCATGAAGTGGGCTGTATATCAGCCGCCTGTATCTGGGGGTCGGGCGAGAGGAGGGGGGGTGGGGTGGAGTGTGGGGGGGGTGGGTTCTGACCCTGGGCTCAGGGAGAAGCAGCTCCTGTTAACAGCTTGTCATTGTTTCAGATGGTCTGGTGAAGAAACTAGAGGAACTGGAGAGAACAGCAGAGCTGTACAAAGGTGAGATAAACCGTGAAGAGGCTGTTCCCGCTTGTTGGCCATTGTGTGTCCAGGGAACACAAGCAACTCGGGCATCTAAATAAAGATCAAGTGCAAAACCTAACCTCTTCCTCTCTCTCTCTCTCTCTCTCTCTCTCCCCCCCCCTCTCTTTCTCTCTCTCTCCTCGGCAGGGCTGATGGAACACACCAAGAGGCTGCTACGAGCCTTCTTTGAGCTCTCGCAAACACATCGAGGTAGATCTTTTTGATCCTGTGGCAAGAGCAGGGTTACCCTTCTCCGACCCCCCCCCCCCCACCCTCCGCTACAACCCAACTGCACCCCCTTTCGATCCCCCCTCTCTCCCCCTTCTACTGTGTGCCGGCCTGGCTCAGTGGCAGCAAGCTCTCCCACCTTTTTTGAGTTCAAGCCCCCACCCCGTCGGGACTTGGAACCACACAGTCTAAGCTGACATTCTAGTGCAGCGCTGGGGGTAGGTGGGAGGGGGGGTGCTATGTGTTGCGTTGTCGGGAGATGCTGGGCTGCGGATGAGAGAGACGTTAAACCTCACTCGCTCCCCTCCCCGTCTGCCTGTTCAGGTGGACTTTAAAGATCTCCCGCGGGGCTGTTCGAAAAGAGAAGGGAGTTTCTCTCTCTCTCTCTCTTGGTGTCCTTGCCAGCAGGATACACGGGGGGAGCTTATAAAATAAAACCGGTCGCTCCCCGCCCCCCCCCCCACGGGTGTTTGCGGGGGTGAGTACTGGGTTGAGCTGAATGGCTGGCTGGCGTGCGTGGCATTACCGTGGGCGTAAACCTGGGAGTGTGCTGATGGATGCCCCGTTGCGTTGCTTTTTTTTTTCCTGGCAGCCTTCGGTGACGTGTTCTCTGTGATCGGGGTGAGGGAGCCACAGCCCGCCGCCAGCGAAGCCTTCGTTAAGTTTGCCGAAGCTCACCGTAGCATCGAGAAGTTCGGCATCCGGCTGCTGAAGACGGTGAAACCGGTGAGTCCTCGCGGGTGGCTTGTCAGTCCCTTCAGCTGCGTTCCCAGCAAGAGTCCCTTGTAGCTCAGCGGTTCCAGCAATCGCTTCGCAAGCGAGAGACCCCGGGTTTGATTCCCGGGCGGGGCGAAATGTTGGGCAAGTTTCTTCACTCTAACACATCCACGGCTGTTTGCGGGGGACGTCGCTGGGCGCAATCGGCTGCCGCGTTTCGCCCACAGAATCCACAGTCGATTCACTTTACAGCGTATCCTGCGAAGGGCTTTGAGACCTCTCGACGACGCGATCAGGCGCTGTGTCAAAGGCCAACGGTTTTTATTATAGTCGTGCTGAAGACCGGCAGTTACGCTGTCGGTCGGGGTCTGTAAATGGGTGTGATTTGCTGAGTATAGACTTTTTCGCTTGGCTGTAGATGCTCAGCGACCTGAACACGTATCTCAACAAGGCCATCCCCGACACGAAGCTCACAATCAAAAAATACCTCGACGTGAAGTTCGAGTATCTGGTAAGTTGCTCAGAGTCTGACCTCCGCACCAGGTGTGTCAGCCTGGCTCAGTGGTTAGCGCTCTCGAGGGGGACACAGAGTGGGAGGGGGGGGGGGGTTGTAAAGCGCTTTGAAACATCACGACGACGTGCTAAGGCGCTGTGTGGAATGCAAGGATTATTGGTTACGCTCGGCTTGTAACTCCAGCCCAGCCTTGTCTCTGTGGGACAGGCCTGTGTTAGCCGAGCGAAGGGGACAGTCAGGGGCGCGGGGCGCAGACAGCGGTCGCTGATGTTGGAGGGTGTTAAACTCCTGTGTGATTTTTTTCCCTTTCAGTCCTATTGCTTGAAGGTGAAGGAGATGGATGATGAAGAATACAGCTGCATTGTGAGTAAAGCCTCCGTCGATCAGGGTTTGTCATTGATCGGACCCCCTCAGCGATTGCTCACACCTGCGCCACAGTCTATTTTGCCCACAAAATTCACACTCAACTCACTTTACAGTATATATCCTGTGAAGGGTATTGAGACGTCTCGAAGACGTGATAAGACGTTACATCAAGTGCGAGCATTATTATTATTATGTTCCTTTGAGCCATGCGGGAGTTTTGCCTGTGACCCTCTAATCACACACCCCTCATTCCCTTCCCTCCCCTCTCCCCCTCCACCTATTCCCTCCCTCTTTCCCCTCCGCCCCCAGGCCCTACAGGAGCCGCTGTACCGTGTGGGTACCGGTAATTACGAGTACCGGCTGATCCTGCGTTGCCGTCAGGAGGCCAGGGCTCGCTTTGCCAAAATGAGGAAGGACGTGCTGGAGAAGATCGAGCTTCTGGACCAGAAACACGGTGAGTCTTTCCCGCCTCGTCGCCTCTCGCTTCGTCTCGTTCGTTTGGAAAACCGTGCGTCCCCACCTCTCTCTCTCTCTCCGCATTCACCCTCGTTGCCCGACCCTCTGTCTCTTTGTTGGGTTAGCGGATCTTTGTTGTAAATTGGGGGAGGGGGGGGAATGTTTCCCCACGGCTACCTCCAGACGAGCAGCGGGAAGTTTGCTCTAACCTGATGTGTGCTCCGGTGGTTAGAGCACTCGCCTCGCAAGCAAGAGATTCCCGGGCAAGGCAGGGCGAAACGATGGGCAAGTTTCCTTAGTCCACATACACACACACACACACACACACTTTCCAGGGGGGTAATAATTCCTTTTTTAAAAAAATAATAATAATGCGGTCGCTCAATCCACGATTGTTTACGGGGACGCTACTTTGCAGTGTATCCCGCGGAGCGCTTTGAGGCGTCTCGCAGACGCGATAAGGCGCTGCGTCAAGTGCGCGGATTATTATTGTCATCATTAATTAATCGCTCTCGTTTCCAGTGCAAGATATCGTGTTCCAACTCCAGCGCTTTGTGTCGGCCATGTCTAAGTACTATGACGAATGCTACGCCGTCTTGAAAGACGCTGACGTGTTTCCCATCGAGGTGGACCTGACGAAAACCATGCTGAACTACAGCCCCAAGGAGACCTACACCGACACCGAGGAGGATGAGGAAGAGGAGAGAGAGAACGAGGAAAACGGAGAGAAACTCTTCAACGACGAATGAACAGGAAACATTTTTTTCTTCTCTCTCTCTCGCTGTCTCTCGCGCTCTCTTGTCTCTCTCTCTCTCTCTCTCGTCCTCTCTCCTGGATCTTAACGGGTTTTAAAAGAATATATTGTTATTAATTATTATGACGAAGAGGAAAAGTTTTTCCTCTCTCCCTCCCTCTCCCTCTCTCTCTCTCTCTCCTGTTTTTTAAGACATCATTCCGAGAAATCCTCAAGTTATTTCCAGGTTTTTTTTTTTTTAAATATTTTCGTTACTATTTCTTCGTCGACGAATAGTTTTAACACTAAGCCATTTTTATTTATGAATCCTCCCATTAAATCCGTGATTGTTTCAAATGCTCTTTCAGTCCATAAGCAACTTAAAAAGCTTTGCACATAAGAGGGTGAGAGATGGAGGGAGTTTTGAGTCACACCCGGGCACACTCGCTAATCATCTCTCTCTCTTTTTCTCGCAGAAACTAGTCCCCTTTTCTTTCCCCCACCACGCTGTTTCTCTCCACCCGCGCCCCACACACGCGCGCGCGCGCGCTGGAACTCTCTAAATCTCTTTCCCCTGCTCTCTCTCTCTCTCCCTCCCCTTTTCTGACCCTTTCACAAAGTCTTTCCCCACACACCCCCGGGGCCAGAGCAACAGTCTGTATAAACCCGAAACTGTGCCACGCTATTTATTCGAAGGCACGTACCTCAGCCCTGGCCTTCACCATTCAGCCCATCGTGTCCGTGCCGACTCTTTTAAAGAGTGAACCTCTCAGTCCCGTTTGCCTGCCCCGTTCCTTATGGTTTATTAAATTAAAAGTGTCTTACAGTTGGCCTTTCAGGTCTTCAGTCACTGGTACCTGAATGTAGGGCCAGACCAGTTTGTTCTCAATACAGGGGGGATTTGCCTTGTATTGAGTGCGCGCACACGCGCGTGTGTGTGTGCGTGTTTGCGTGCGTGTGTCTGTATGTGTCTGTATGTGAGTCTGTGAGGTGGGAAGGCTATTAATGCTCTTACCTTGTTTGGAGACTGCTTTGTGTTATTTATTGATGGGTCTATGAGGACGTAGCAATGAGCATTGCTTTGAATAAGAATAATTCTTTGCATTTGACACAGCGCCTTCACGTCAAGAGGGCGTCTTGAAGTGCTTCACGGGATCTTACTGTGAAGCGGAGTGACTGTGTGTTTTGTGGGCGAAACGCGGTAGCTAATTGTGCTCAGCGACATCCCGCAAACAGCGTTGAGGTGAGCGAGTGAGTCTATCCTATTGGGGGAAATGTATCGTACATATTTAAGACGGTTTCTACTGCAGTTGTGTGTGATTGTAGGTGACAGTGTGGGTTAGCTGAGGGGAGAGAGATGTTTCGTTTCTGTGTGTTGTGTTTTTNAAACCTTATTCTGTTTGTGTCCTTTTCAAATGTTAATGAAAGATTTTCTCAAGGCCACGGAATCGCTTTTCGCTCTTTTTTTTTCGTCCTTTACCTTCTGACGCTTCACAACCATTCGGCCCATCGCTGTGCTGGCTGTTTCAGTCCTATTTCCTTGCCTTTTCTCCCCCAATTTCCCTGAAAGGTGTTCAGCTATCCAGCTCCCCACCTTCTGAAAGCTGATATGGACTTCTGGCTCGACCACCCCAGTGGAGCATTTTACATCCTAACAGAGAGGTGGGGAGAGAGAGAGAGAGAGAGAGAGAGAAGGGAGGGTGCGGAGGGGGTGTGAGAGGGAGAGTAGCGCAGAGAGAGACAGAGACGGACAGAGGCGGAGAGAGTAGCGCAGAGAGAGAGAGGAGAGAGCAGTACAGAAAGAGAGAGGGAGGGGAACAGCAGGGATAGCGGGAGAAAAAAAGCACACAGCGAGAGGGAGAGAAAGGGGTAACCACCGTCCAGTTTGAGAGAGAAAAACACAAAGGCCTGAAAACAAAGTATTTTATTGAAGCCCTATGCATCTGACCGGATTCCTATCGGCACTTCATTTCGTGAGCAAAAATAAACCCGGAGAAAGTCAATCTGATTGACACCAACCCATGGGCTTGAGGCTTGACTAGAACTAGCGCAAATACAATAAAATATTCTGCAGCGGTTGGGGGGGGTGGGGGGTACACCCTGTGCTGGAGAAGACAAAACAACACGATATTAATCTGCCGGCTACACGGAAATTAAGGGTAAGCGCTCGATAACCTTGTAAACTGCTGTTAAACCATTGTGTGACGATCGGTGAGTGGAAGAAGAGTCAAGTGCCTGAAAACTACATATTTTGGGGATGGGGGTGGGGGGTGGGGTTTGGGGGTGTCGGGGGGGGGGGGGGGGGGGGGGGGTTAGGCAGCCGGGTGTCTGACACGTGTGGAAACCCATCACCGTGTTTTAAGAGTCTCCAAACCAAGCTGAGATCTCCACACGTTCCACCCACACGTGGAAATATCCCCGTGAAATTCGCACTCTCTCCCTCTCCCTGCGTACCGAATTCCGGAAAGCATTAGGCGCAGGTTGACGAGAGCCAAGGCTTGTGGGGGGGGGGTGGGTGGGTTGCGGGTGGTGGGGGGGAACCCAGAATGTGCGTTGGGGGGTAACTGCTGGAGTCTTAACCAGCTGAAATCGAGAGGTTTTAAGGTGAGGTTGTATAAACAGATTGGGGGTGTGGGGGGTGGGAGGAGATGGTTAGGATAGGGGTAGGAAGTCCTAGAGGTTGTAGGGAGGTCCGTCCTTGAAGTGATCAATAATAGTCCTCACGTTTGACTCAGCGCCTTATCACGTCGTCGTAAAGTGAATCGACTGTGTATTTTGTAGGCATGAATGGGGGAGATGGGTGGGGGTGGGGTGGGGGTGGAGAGGGTGGGTGGGCGAGGAGAGAGGGGAGCAGGGGAGGGAATGGAGGGTGAACCATTACACCAAAGAAAAAAACCCAAGCGGCGAGTCCACCTTCATTTAATCGACACGAGGCAGAGAACGTACGGAGCCAGGCCAGTGAGGTGGTGAGTTGTGCTCTCTCTCTCTCTCGAAGTGGGGGGCGGTGGGGGGGGGGGGGGTGTTAAGGATTTTCCGTGTTCTTCTGCCGCTCTCCTCCATCCCGCTCTCCGTCCTCCCGGGCGTTCCCAAGGCAGTGCCCGTCCGACGCTCCGGCCTCCGTCGCCCCCTTCCCCAGCGCCTCGCCGCCATCTGCCCCCGCCGCCTCCCCCACCGCCCCCGCCCCGGCCTCTCCCTCTCTCTCGCCCTCGCCCGTCTCCCCCGCTTCCAGCTCCGGGTCGTGCTTCCGCTTCTCCGACGGACTCTTGGGCCGCCCGAGGCAGAAGTAGGAGGCCAGGGCAAGGAAGACGGACGAGAGGATGAGCTCCGAGCCGGCCATGTAGAAGATCAGCTCGTAGTTTTTGAAAGTGTCCACCAGACGTCCTGCACAGAGGGAGCCGTGAGCAAATCAGTCGCCGCGCCCAGACCTCGCGTCGAACCGTACAGCGCGAGCGCCCAATCCCGGTCAAGTTGTGTCGCTTTTACGGTCAAAATAATCCCCGTGGGGGTGGTGGGGGTGGGGGGGGGTGTAATAATTATAATAATCGTAATAATCCTTGCATTTGATGATGATGATGATGATGATAATTAATTATAATGGGTATGTTTGACCCGGCGCCTTATCCCCTCGTCGACACGTCTCAAACCGCTTCACGGGATGTACCGTAAAGCGGAGTGACTGTCCCGCGAAACGCGGCAGCCGATTGCGCCCTCAGCGGAGTCCCCGCAAACGGCGTCCCAATTTATTTTTGATGGGAGGGATTCTTACCCCCGGAAAAGCGATCGACCGACAACCAGGCTCATACTTACTGCTGGGTAAACGGAGGTGCGCCGCGGTGTGTGCGCGCGCGCGTGTGGAGTAAGGAAACTTCCGCATTGGCCAGTGAGGGAGTGGCGCTGGGAGGGAATGGGGTGTCGGAGTGGGGTGGGTGTGTGGGGGGTGGTGAGGGAAATCACAGCTCGCTCACCAGCAGAGGGGGGTCCGATGAGCACGGCCACCGACTCCACGAGCAGCACCAAGCCGATGGCACTGGGGAACTTGTTGGAGCCTACGATGGCCATGAGCACCTCGAACTGCAGGGCCCCCACCATCCCGTAAGAGATCCCGAAGAACACGCAGAAGATCACCAGCCCGGTGTAGCTGGAGGCCTTGGCGCTCAGCACGTCCGTCAGCCCGTTGAAGAGCATGGAGATGCTGAATAAATAGGACACCCTCGGGCGCATCCACTCCAGACCCGCCACCATCCCACTAGAGGGCCGGGCGAAGATATCGATGAAGCCGATGATGGAGAGGAGGAAGGCAGCCTCTGTGTCCGGGACCCCTATGTCCTTGGCGTAGTTGACGATCATGATGGGGGGCACGAAGAGGCCCAGGACCAGGATGAACTTGGACACGGTGTAGATGATAAAATTACGGTCACGGAAAACGCTGAAATCCAGGAGCTTTTTTTTCTTCTTCTTTCCCGGCTTCGTCGGATTCTTGGCCCCTCCAACACCCATTCCCGTCCCTCCCCCTCCCCTGCCGGTGTTCCTTGACAAGTTCTCCTCCAACTCCAAGCCGCCAAACTCCCCCTTGGGTCCCGGCAACATCTCCTTGACCTCCTGCTTGTCCCGGCTGACCTCCTTGCTGTTCTCCAGGGGCCTCATGACAGCCCCGCAAGTGCAGCAGTTGAGCAGGAGCCCCCCCGTGATGAGAAAGCCCCCCCGCCAGCCGTACTTGTCCAACAGGACCTGCCCCAGGAGGGACAGGGTGCTCAGGAAGACTGGGCTCCCAGCTGCGGCCAAGCCATTAGCCAAGGGCCTCCGTTTCTCAAAGTACCTGCCCAGCATGATGAGGGACGGCTGGAAGTTCAAAGCCAGACCCAGGCCTGAGGGAGAAAGAGGAGAGTCAAATCTCATTCCCCCCCACCATTTGGTGGACTCAAAAGACCAGCTTCCAATCCTCAGGATGACCGGTCTGTGCCAGTGCCTAACCCTGGCTGGTCAACACGAGCAGTCTGGTGTATTGTAAGACCTGGTCCCAGGTGACCTAGGTTGTGGGAGGGAGCCTAATGCAGGCAGACACCCCCCCCCCACACACACACACACACACATCGTCCAAAGCATCTCAAAGTGTTTCACACGTGTAGTGACTGTACTTTGTAGGCAAACGCAGGCAGCCAATTTGCACACAGCGACGTCCTCATAAACAGCCATGGAGTGAGCGAATGATTTTATCGGGGTGGGGGGGGGGAGAGTGGGGTGGGATTGTGGTCCAGGACACCAGGGGAGAGAGAGAGAGAAACACTCTTCTCTTTTCCCGACAGAGCCGTGGGAGATCTTTAACGTCCGCTCAGAACGGGGCACAGACCGGGAATGAGGTTTAACGTCACACCCAAATGGGGCATCTCCGACAATGGGGCGCTCTCTCCTTCCCCCCTCCACCCCCCCCCCCCCCAGCATTGTATCGGAAGGTCAGCCTTAGACGGTGAGCTCAAAGCTCTGGGAAGTGGGGCTCGAACCTACAAATCTCTGACCCAGAGCTACCCCATTGAGCCAGGCTACCATCAGTGGGAAAGGGTCACGGAGAGACTGGCCACAGGTCCCGACCCTGGATAAAGGAGTATCGTAAGCTCTCCCGAGACGTGAAGGGCGCTATGTAAATGCAAGCAATGTTGTATGTTGTTGTTGTTGTTGTACCACCTGTGACCATCCCTGCCGAGAGGTAGATCTGGGTGATGCTGGTGCAGAAAGAGGCGAGAATCATTCCGGTTGAAGCCAACAGCCCCCCGAACAGCATGACTGGACGGCAACCAAACCGATTCACCATTATACTGCACAGAGGACCTGCGGGGAGGGAGGGAGAGAGAGAGGGGGGGAGAGGGGAGAGAGTGAGAGTGCGTAGGAATGGAGAGAGAGAGAGAGAGACGGAGACAAAGCATGAGCTTGTGAGTAAAAAAGGGAGCAAGTGCGAAAGAGCAAGAGAGCGAGAGATGGAGCGTGTGAGAGTAGAGGTAGAGAGGGAGTGGTAGCGTGAGAGAGAGAGAGCGTGTGAAATGGCGAGTGAGAGGAAGAGAGGTGCGATGCGAGAAAGCTATATAGAGAGAGAGAGAGAGAGACAGAGAAGTACCAACCTGAGCCGTACAGCATAGCCAGGATAATGGAGGAAATCCAGGCCGTGTCACTGTAACCCACGTGAAACTCTTTCATCAGCTCCTTGAAGTAGACGCTGACGGCCTTGGGGAAGGCGTAGGAGAAGCCGGTGATGACAAAGCAGCCGACGAGGATCACCCACCCCCACCCTCCGTCGGGGGGCTTGACAGCCACAGCGCTCTCGTCGGGAGAAGACACCCCCATCGTGAGGGGGTGGGGGGCTCTCAGTGTCTGAGACGGAGGGACACAAGTCAGCACACAGCAAAACCTCTGGTCGCTCATCACCGGGAGGGCAGAAAGGGCTCAAGCGACCAGTTATCAGGACCCGCTGAGTTACGCTCAGGTATAGATCCAGTCAACTCCTCTTAACTCATATTTATGCTAATCCTGGCGTTACCGCGGCTCAAAGCGCTTCACGGGAACGTACTGTAAAGCGTAGTGACTGTGTATTTTCTTTGCGAAACACTCATCACCCTGCTTTGCCTCCCACCCCTCCCCTCCCCTCCCCACCGCAAAGGAGAGGGTCATACTGTACTATCATCAGAACGGTTACAGAATACGAATCCCCTCATCGACTGACCCCCCCCCCCCGCCCCCCTTCCCAACCCCGCCATCACAGCAGCAAGAGCCACTAATGATAGTTCACAGGAGCAGGTTTATGGAAGATTAGTGCAAGATTTGGCAAATTAAACCCTTCACTTAAGTCTGTGATCTTGATGAGCAATTGGCAGGGAGTCAGGCAAGGTGGGAGGGAGTGGGAAGGGGGGGAGGAGGGGGGAAGGGGGGAGAGAGAGAGAGACCCACACGAATTCTGGTCCAATTATTCCAATTTGGGTCTTTGTATGTCTGCTCGCTGACCGAAGCGGGGAGAGGCCGTTTTGGGGAGAGAAAAGTGGGGCGGGGGGGGAGTGGGGAAAGAAAAGGGGGCTAGGCTGGGGGGTGGGTGGGGGAGTTGAGTTGCTGAGATGTGTGTGTGTGTGTGTGTGTGAAAGCGGTGATGGAAAGGAGTGAGCGGGGGAGGGTTTAGCGGTATCATGTCTCTGTGGCAATGGTGAGTTGGGCGATGGTTGATACAGGAGGACATCTCAAAGCTCTTATTCCAGGACCCACTGTAGCGAGCGTGTGTTTTGTGGTCAAACAACCCAGTACCAATAATAATAATAATAATCCCCTCATTTGACACAGCGCCTTATCGGGTCTTCCAGACGCCTCCAAGAGCTTCACGCTGTAAAGTGTAGTGACTTGTGCATGTTGTGGGCGCAGAACCTTGCGTCGTAGAATCATAGAGCCCTACAGCACAGAAGGAGGCCATTCGGCCCATCGTGGCTGATGAAAGAGCTCCCACTCCCCCGACTCTTACCCCGTTATCACGGGATCCGGCTGGTTTAAGCCAGACGTGAGGAATGAGTGGATAGGAATGGGGGTTGGCTGGTGAGGCTAATACAGCCTGGCAAGTACTGGACAAAGGAACTTTACTGATCAGGAGCTGGGGGTGGGGGAGACAGACAGACCACTCACTCAGCATTTTTTGTGTCTGGATTTATTAGGAACAGAAGCAGATTTATTTGCGAGTGGTGATCAGCTTAAAGTGGGAAGGCAGCCAAAGGGGCCCCTCGTACCAGCCGGGGCTCCTCAATAACGGGCGGTAATAAGGAGACTCCTTGCGTTTGATATCGCGCCTCATCACGTCGTCGAGGCAATGATACCGACAATGTCTTCCCAGGCATAGACACGCGCATAACACACACGCACACGCACGCATATATGCACTCATACGTTCGCTTAACAACACACACACACGCACCACACGACACACAAACACACGCGCGTACACGCACTCACACATACACTTAACCGACACACACACACACACACACACAACACACATACAGCACCATCCACGTGCTCCAAGGAGTTACTGTGAAGTGTAGTGACTGTGTATTTTCTAAGGCAAAGGCCGGCACTCAACTCTCAAAGTGAGTGACCAATTTCTGGGGTGTTTGGACGAAGGAAGGAGCCCCTTGGGGCCCATTGGATCTCCTCCTCCGAGGACACCCACCCTTACTGTCTTGTGCATCAACACAGTAAGGAAGAGTGTCCTGGAATTCGAGACCGCGACAACAACGTCAACCAAAAGTGTGTGGTGGGGGGGAAATCTATGAAATAAAAAAAAATTACTTTGAAGTAAACGGTCTCACAGGCTAAGAAGGGGTGGAATTCGGGCTCGGAGATGTTTCTAATTCCTCTCCTCCCCGATATTTAAGCACCGAGAGTTTGTGAAACATTGGAATCCATAGCAATGTCCGCAACAGGGATTAATACATGTTAATGACTGACTATTTAACTATAATGACTGTCTCTCTCTCTCTCTCTCTCTCTGGGGCTGAAACCAAACCCCAGCAGAATTGCAATAAGACCGCAAATAAAATCCCACGTCACTATCAAAAACTCTTACGTTCGATGCAGCAGCCGCTGGCCCTTGTTGGCCCCGCAAAACACAGACAGTCACTACACTTCGCCACAAAAAAAAAACCCGGTGAAGCCCTTGTGAGACATTGACGACCTGATGAGACGCTGCATCAATTGTAAAGATGATTATTTTAGGGTTATTAGAAGTGATAGTATTCCTCTCTCTCTCTCTCTCTCCAAAGCATCCCTGTTAATCTCTGTCCAGCCTTTCCCACTTTTTTTCCTCTCTCACTCGCTCGCATCCGAACCTCTCTCTCTCGCCGCTTAAATCTGCTCGAAACGGCCTTCACATCGTTTTAACTCAAATTAACCACTGAATTATTGGAGCATTTCCTCAGTACCTAAAGCATCCTTAACCCATCTGCAGCAAAGGCGGCGGCGAGAGCGCTCGCCTCGCAAGCGAGAGGAACCGGATTCGATTCCTGGGCAGGGCGAAATTTTCCTTACTCCCCACACGCACGCACACACGCCTTCGTTTACGCCGCAGTAAGTGGGAACCCGGTTATTAGTCGATTGGCCGATCGCTTTCCGGGGGTGACAGTCCGTTTAAAAAAAAACGAATGATTCAATCGCTCGCAAAATGCACAGTCGATTCACTTTACCGTGTACTTTGGGAAGGGCTTTGAGACGTCTCGACCACCTGATATAAGGCGCTTTACCAAATGCAAGGATTATTATAATTATTATTAGTAGTAGTAGATCAAACGCAAGGATTATTATTTATTATTAGAAACTATTAAATACACCGGAGTGGGTATTTGAGAGTGTCAGTCAGCCAACGCTCACCTGTGGCTGTCCTCCCGAATGAGACTCTCTCTCTCTCTCTCTCCGTCTCCCGTGTTGGTGTCCCGCTGGTTAAGTTAATCTTTGCAGCCAGTTCCTCTGCTTCTCTCTCTCTCTCTCTCTCTCTCTGTGCCTTAAGCTCCTTCCTGGCTCTGCCTCTGCAGTTAACGCTCACTGCCCACAACTCGGGGCGAACTCGGTATTCACGTGTGTCACTGGGAGTGGTTTGTCCACCTGAATTCCCCACTGCAGCCCTCACTGGCGTTCCTCCAAGTCTCACAGCCTTCAGCCTTGAGGCTTAAAAGTTATTATAATAATAATAATACTTACATTTGATATAGCGGGTTATCATGTCTTCGAGACGTCTCAAAGCGCTTCACAGGTATGAATAATAATATAATAATCCCGGCATTTGATGCAGCGCCTGATCACATCTTCGAGACGTCTCAAAGCGCTTCACAGGATCCGCAGTGACGTCCCACAAAACAGTCGTGGATTGAGTGACCAATGTTTTATTTTTGGAAGGGAAAGCGATCCACCAATTGACTCACAACCAGGTTCCTATTCACTGCTGGTTAAACAGAGGTGCGTGTGCGCGCGTGGAGTAAGGAAACTCGCCCAACGCTTCGCCCTGCCCGGGAATCAAACCCAGGTCTCTCGCTTGAGAGGCGAGTGCTCCGGCCACTGAGCTCCAGAAGTTTGAGACCATAAACCTCACTCCCCGTCTGTGCCCTATTCAGGTGGACGGACGTTAAAGAGCTCCGGCGCCGCTATTTGAAAAGAGGAGAGTTTCTCTCTCTCTCTCTCTCTCTCGACGTCCTGGCTGACAATCCTCCTTCCCCCCCCCCAATGAAATTGATCACTTGCTCCATGGCTTCTTGTGGAAAATTTCAGTGAGCAAACTATGTTTTACTCACAACCTACCCAGTTTACAGTATATTCTGTGAAGTGCTTCGAGAGGTTTGGCAGGTTACTGCGATCGGGAGAGGTTGGAGAGGTCAGGCCTTTTTTCGCTAGAGAAGTGGGAACCTAATGGAGGCGTTTAAAACAATTAAAAAGGGTCGATAAGGTTAACACAAATAGGCTATTTCCGTTGTTTGGGAGCGCAAATATAAGGTAAGTTTAGGAGGAACTGCTTCACACAGAGGGGAGTGAGAGTGTGGAACTCGCTGCCTGACTTGGTGGTTGAATCAGAAAGTGCAGATGTATTCCAGAGGAAAGAGGGAAGGGAAGAGGGAGAAAGGAAAGAGAGAGAGAGAGAGAGGAGGGAGGGAGAGAGGGTGCGAGAGAAGAGAGGGAGTGAAGAGAGAGGGACGAGAGAGTGAGAGGGAGGGAAGAGAGCGAAGGAGCAGAAAGTACCGGTCAACGGGCAGCGAACTTTTTGGAGTTTAATTCATCCACTAGTTTCAGCCTACGTGCTCGTTAGCATTCCTCAGCGATTAGCCTCGACATTTCGTGCAAAATCACGACACTAATCCAGCGATCATGTCAGCACCGGCACGGAACAGAGCTCCTTCAAAATAATATATCTATTAAGAAAAACAAACTCTTATAAATCTCCTTCCTGTTGCAAAGGGCACCACTTAACAAAGCACCGCAGTGTTTGAGTAGAGATGTCTAAACTGGAGACTTGGCATCTCGGATAATCCCAGCCACCTTTGCCCCTTGTTTCTCAACCCTCCTCACCCTTGCTGCCCCCCCCATCCCCCCCACCTCACCTCCCGCCCCCTCCGCACCCCCCCCCCCTCCCGCAACAAGGCGCAGGTTAGGGGTTTGCAGATCGAAAGCCGGTTTATTAAGGGGGAGGGGGTGGTGCGCGGAAGTCCGCTAAGCGTCTTAACATTCTGTTAATGATGCAGAATCTCACAGTGGGATCATTGTTTGGACGCATGTGAGCAACAGAGACACACGGTCTCCAACACACGCAAAAAGTAGCCGCGGGTTTAGCCCGGCACGCTTCCGCCCAGCGCCGGATTAACTGGTGAAATCCACCGCCCGCAGCCAGAGACTCTGAGTTACTGAGCTAGTGTTGCCTCCTCTGTGTGTGTGTCCGCCGAGCTCAGTGATAGCGCTCTCTCTCTCTCTCTCTCTCTCTCTGTCTCGCGCGCGGGCTTCTTGAGTCAGAAGGTTGTGGGTTCGAGCCCTCACGTGATGCTCCAGTGTCGGGGTGGTGGTGGGGGAGTTAGGTGGGGAACGGTTGCATTGTCAGAGGTGCCATCTTTTTGGATGAGACGTTATACCGAGCTCCCCGTCTGCTTGTTAAGTGGCTGAAAGTATGGTGGGAACAATGCTGAAAAAAGTCCCGAAGCTTTGGAGCTCTCTCTCCCCCGTTCTCTCTGCCTCGCCCCCTCCTTCCCCTCATTTAGATCATGACTGAAGACCTTCCTCTCCAGCCGTGCTCACAGTATCCTCCTCCCTCCCGCTATCTCCTCAGTATCCTCAGGCTCTGCCACTGTTACGCGCTCTGAGACGCTGCCACATGTGACGGGTGCTGTGTAAATACAAGTTGTTGTTAAGGTGCACATTGAAAGATCCCATGATGCTGTTTGAAAAGAGTTTCTCTCCCCCCCCCCCCCCCCCACCCCCCTCTCTCTCTCTCTCTTTCTGTCCCTATATCCTGGCCAACAATCCCCAAATAATATCGGTCACTCACTCCATGGCTGTTTGTTGGGGTGTTGCTGTGTGCAAATTAGCCGTTAAGTTTGCCCACAAAACACACAGGGTTACCAGGCAGATGCTTAATCATTAACAGTAACTAATTAATGATTGTTCGTCATTAACACGTATTAATCCCAGTCGGAGACTTCTCTATGGATTCCAATGTTTTACTGTCGCTCTGGTGCTTAAATATCAGGGAGAATTAGAAACATCTGTGAGCCCGAATTGCACCCAGTCTTAGCCTTTAATTCAAAGTCAATTTTTTGATTCCTTTTTTTGATTGTTGTTGTTGCCTCCAAATCCAGGAAGCTGTTCCTTGCTGTGGACTCTTTGTGGGGATGTCACTGTGTGCAAATTAGGTGTTAAGTCAATTGGCAGATCGATTTTCTGAGGGTAATAATCCCTCCAAATAAAAAAATAATTTGGTCAATCAACCCACGGCTGTTTGGGGGGACACCACTGCACGTAATTAGCTGCCGCGTTTGTCCCGCAAAACAGTCGCTACGCTTTGCGGTCTATTCCGTGGAGCGCTTTGAGACGTCTCGAAGACGCGATAAGGGGCTGTGTATCAAATGCGAGGATTTGTTGTTGCTGTTATGAGATCACATCAGCTCAAAACCGTCACAGAATAGACTGTAAAGCGAAGTGAATGTGGGGAATAAATATTACAAGGTGTAATCTGGGGGGGAAGGAAACCCTGGTCTCTGCTTCACTGCAAAGTTCAGCCCTTTACAATGCCAGTTGGGTTCCACGTGTTACCAGTTGGTCTCCTTTACCAACATGGCGCCCGGCTGACGCGTCGTCGTCACACGCCCCGCCCCTCTCCGCTGTGCCTTCTGGGAGATGTAGTTCCCGACCCCGTTCCTGCGCGCGGCGGACCCCAGCCAGAAAACTACAGCGCACTGCCTGCCGGGAGGGGAAGGGGGGCGGGCGGGCGCCTGCGCGTCAGCCGTCTCCATGGCGACGGGCAACGCGTCCTTTCCCTGTTGTGGCACGTGACACAGACCCACCTCCCATCAATAGGTAAATGCACACACACACACACAGAGGGAGAGGTACATGTGTGTCTATGTTTAGCAGAGAAAGGTCTGTGTAGGAGGAGAGAGGGGGGAGATACACACTGTCTTTAGAGGGAGGTATTTTAGAGGGGGTGTTTCTTAATAATTAATACTAACAATACTAACTTGGGCTCTCAACGTCTCAAAGGCGCCTCATCGCGGCGTCGAGACGCGTCAAAGCGCTTCACAGCACACGCGGTAACCCGGAGAGACTGTGTAAGTTGGTGGGCGGAATGGTGGGGCACCACGATTTGGCCGGGACCCCCAAACGGTTGTGCCTCGGGACGCCCCCCCTCCACCCCCCCGCAACGTGAAAGGCGCAAAACAAATGTAATCTTACTGTTGTTGTTGTTGTTGCGGAGTGAGTGACTAATCGGGACAGAGAAATCCCTTTCCCTTTTTAAAGTAGTGCTTTGGTATCTTTAACGTCCACCTGAACAGGCAGATGGGGAGCTCGGTTTACCGTTTCATCCGAAGGCCGTCGTTTCTGCATTGGAGGGTTTGTGGGGGGGTTGGGGGTGGGGTGTGGGGCTCGAACCCACAATTTCCTGACCCATTATCGAGAGCGCAAGTGTCTGAGCCAGGCTAACGGCACGTTAGCTTCAGCTGACAGTTAGATTAATATGTGGCGCGGCCCAAGCTATAACCTGAGGTGTTTTTATGTTGTGTTTTATTGAACATTATAGATCACTGTAGAACAAAGAATAGAAGAGAAATCTGTCAGCAACATGACAGCGAGTCCGAGAGGGAGAGTGGAGCCAGGGCTTGGATTCTGGAGCTGTCCTAAAGTTACATACAGTAAAGAGACCCGGGATCTGATAAAAGGTGAGGTACAAACCTGTGCCACGCACATACATGTAATCTATACACTGATATTGTCGTGTCAAAATCTCACTCACACACTTGTGTACATGCACCCACCCACACACACACACACACCCTCATTGACACACTTACTCACTGATACACACGCGTGTTTGTGCGTGCTTTCACTGATTCACTTACTGACTGACACACTGGTGCACTTGCTCACTGACACACTAACTCACACACACTCTCACTGACACACTTACTCCCACACACAATGCCGTGTAGCTGTCATGTGCTGACAGACGCACCGCCTGAACTCTCTCGTTGCAGTGATGATGGAGGAATCCCGATTGAACAATTTCCAGCAGCGACAGCTGAAAAAACAGATGCAGGGTGAGTGAATCGACAAGCGTCGAGAGCGAGAGAGAGAGAGAGAGACAGAGAGGGCACAGTGTGGGAGAGAGAGCGCGAGAGCTCAGCGTACGTGTGTGAGAGGAAGAGAGAGATTCTGTTCATGCCTCAAAATAATCCATCATACTCCGTGCTTTCTCGTCAGGAGGACATCTCAAAGCGCTCCACGGAATATACTGTAAAGTGCAGTGACTGTGTATTTTCGAGGCGAACGCAGAAGCCAATTTGCATACAGCAGTGTCCCGCAAACAGCCGTGAGCGAGTGCGGTGAATGAGTGATTTATTTGGTGGTGGGGTGGGGTGGGGTGGGGTGGGGGAGGGATTGTTGGCCAGGACAGTGGGAGAGAGAAACTCTCTTGTCTTTTCCAACAGCAGATTTTTAACGTCCGTCTGAACAGGGGCAAGTGAGGTTTAATATCTCATCCGAATAACGGCACCTCTTACAATTCGTCTCCCCCCCCCCCCCTCTCTCTCTCTCTCTATCTCCCCCCCCCCCCAGCGCTGGGCTGGACTGTGTTGCTGTGCTTATTTTTTCCTCCCTTCCTTACAGAGGGAGGTACCTTCCCAGTCAGATGTGATCCTGCCTCCAGCAACTGCCCGAAACCCCCTCCCTCACCCCCGAGCCCCTCCCTGGTGGTTGACCCCATGTCCAGGCCACACATGCGGAGCGAGCAAAGCTGCCGGGCCGGAGATGCCTATCACAGAGACAAGTACCACCCCCGGCCAGTCAGTAAGTGTCCCATCTCTGTACAGTGTCCAGGACAGCCTCTCTCTCTCTCTCTTGCCTCCATCCTCCAGGTGAACGCCACAGGTGTCCGTCCACAGGTTGGTGAGAGCCGAGGTTTGATGGGAGCCCAGAGTGTGTGTTGGAGGGTAACTGCTGGAGTCTATCTTGTGAAGCGCTTTGAGACGCCTCAATGATGTGACAAGGCGCTTTACCAAATACAAGGATTATTATTATTACTGGCCCGTGTTACCCAGAGTGGGGGAGGTAATAATGGGAGTGTGGCCATCCTGACTCTGTTCCCATTCCCGCAGGAGACCTGGAAAAGGAAAAGCATCGACTCCAGAGCATCATGTTCAAAGGAAGGGACCATCCCAAACCGGTGCCGGTCAAGGAGAAGGTCCAAGAGAAGGCAGAGCCGCCACCGGAAGTGGACCGCTTTGAGGAATGTGAGTATTCCCGGGAGCACATCAGGGGCCGTGGGATTTGTAGGCAGCCTCGTCTATGAGGTAAAACGGAGGAATTGAGGCGGATAATAAGCCCAATCAAACTCGGAAGCATCGGGCAGAGTGGGGCAGGAGAAGATTCGAGATCTAGGGACGTTCCGTGCTGTGCTGGCGTGAGGTCTGGTTGTGGGGGAGAGGGGTGGGTGTTGGTGAAGACGGAGCGAGACTTGGGGGCAGGGAATCCTCCCACTCGGCTCCCATTAACCCTGCAAACCAAAGCCCTAACAAGTAGGGAGGTCCTCAACTGGACAAGCAGCAGGACAGCTTGCCAGACGGCGATGTCAATGGTCAAAGCTGTGAGGTTTTATCTGGTTAGACTCCAAAAAGACTTCTTTAAAAAAAAAACACACGGTAATTCTGATCTCTTCTTATAGTGCTCACAGAGATCGAAGACCGTAAAGAGTTCCTGGAGGAAATGGAGACTCTGGGGCGAGGAAAGGACTATCGATCCATCATCCAAACGGAAATCTCACAGGTGATTTTATCTGCTCAACGGTTCGGATCTGTCTCTTGTTGATGCGTAACTTTCTAAAACAAAGGCGCACACGGTAAAGCGATCCGCAAATCGACTAACATCCGGGTTCCTACTGACTGCTGGTAAACAGAGGCGTGTGTGTGTGTGTGTGTGTGTGTGTGTGGAGTAAGGAAACTTGCCTAAGGTTTCACCCGCCCGGTAATTGAACCCGAGTCCTCTCGCTTGCGAGGTGAGGGCTTTAACCACTGAGCTGTGGGGCTTCGTATGAGCGTGAGGAGGTGAATGGTAGAAAGGTACCCCCAACTAATATGTCCCTGAGTACGTGTGTGTGTGTGTGTGCGTGTGTTCCCTGCAACCAGGGATAGCAGCATATTAACACGTCTCTCTCTCTCTCTCTCTCTCTCTCTCGCTCCCTTCCCTTCGTTGGGGCAGAAAATCCGAGAGATGGAGCAGATTGACAGAAAGAGGACCGCCGAGCTCCAGCAGGCGCTGGAACAGGAGGAAAAGAAGGCGTCTGAGAGATCTCAGGTCCCAACCCAGAGCAGATGCACCTAAATAAAATAAGATATAATTAATCCTTACGTCCCCAGTGCAAAAATCACTAAAGACCCCCCCCCACCCCCTTTGTCACACGCCTTCTGTTGAGGACGTGGATGGGTTCGTGTTTTTTTGGGGTGGGACATAAGGGTGGGGGGTGGGGGGTGGGTGCCTTGTTACATATCAGGGGTTCGTGGAGTGGGGGGGGGGGGGGGAGGGGGGAGGGAACCGACATCTCTGAAACCGTCCAAATCACATTAATCTCCGTCCACGTCCTTGTCTTCGACCAACCAGCCCTGCAGCTGCGTTGGTCTTCATGTGATGCAGTTTACACCCGCGCGCGTGAGCAAAAGCCGCGCGCACTCGTGTTCTTCTGCGTGTGCGTGTGCGTGTGCGTGTGTGTGTGTGGGAGAGACTTGTGTGGGAAAGCCCTCCCCAAGTTTTTGGGAGAGACTTGGAGCCCGAGTTCCTGAGAGCAGGAGCTTTGTGAAGACCACTGAGATGCTCACCACGTGCCGCCCAGACTATGGGGACTGCGATCGGTCCACCGGAGGGCGCTCTCACACCGAGGACCAGACCACCGGGACCTCACTGAGGAGAAACGAGATGTCTTCCCAACGGAACTCCTTTTCCGTGGATCGCGGGAGAGGGGTTTGGGTGAAGACTGTCCTGGAGCCGGTTGGATCTCCTCCGGGAATGGCTTTCGGCCACGCCTGGGAAGGTCAACACGTGGTCCCACCGCCCGCTGGGGCTGCCCAGACGTGTTGCGGTCTTCTTGTTGTTGTTGCTGTTGCGGCGGTGGTGGCTGAGACGTAAGGTCACCCACACGTATGCACACATCTACATACACGTACTACAGACCCATGTGCACTCACACACACACATATACACACG